TATCACTTGTGATTCTGAGAGATCTTTAGATTGTGTAGATTTCCTGACATTGTTTATAGCTGTTCTGTAGCCCTCGATAGTAGAAAAAGACCTCTTTTTAGTGTTTCTGAGATAAATGAAGAAATCTGCAATCATTGGAATAGATGCCTCGATGGGATTGGTATCTCTTTCCAAACACCAAACAGAGAATAATTTCCACTTTGAATCGTAGATGGCATTGGTAGATTTTCTCCTAGACTTTTGTACTGCTTTGGACACTTCTTCAGAAAACCCCTCCTCTCGCAAGTTATTGTTGATAACAGACAAGCGTGTAGAGACATCTTTTCTGGATCTTGATGAAAAAACGAGGTCCTTGGCATAAGAAGGAGTTTCTTCCATATTGGAATCAGTACAGGAAAATCTACTAGTAGACTGAGAAGGTCTGGGTACCATGGTTGATTGGGCCATTTTGGTACTATCATTACACATTTTGTGTTTTGGTGAGCCTGCAGTTTGTTCAGGACTGCTGCTATCATTGCTGTTGGGGGAAATATGTAGAAGTACATGTTGTCCCAATTCAGTGACATGGCGTCTGTTTTCCACGACTGAAGATCTGGAACTGGAGCCACGTAAACTGGTAGTTTGTGATTGTGAGATGTGGCCATCATGTCCAGATTGGGAGTTGGCCATATTTTCCATAGATTCTTGGTTATGTCTGCATGAAGAGACCACTCTGTGTTGACAATCTGGTTTTTCCGGGATAACTGATCTGCCCTTCTGTTCAGTGATCCTGGAATATGATTCGCTCTGAGTACAATTTGCTGATTGTGACACCATAAGAGAATCTCCTGAGTTAACTGGAGTAGTTGAGGGGAATGTGTTCCGCCCTGGTTGTTGATATATGCTGCTACAGTTGTGCTGTCTGTGCAAATCAGAATATTCTGTCCAGTTATCTTTTCCTTGAAGAACATCAGAGCTTTCTTGACTGTTAGTAACTCCAGAAAGTTGATGTGATGACTTGATTCCAACTGGGACCAGACTCCAGAGCATTCCTGCGATTGTGTGTGTGCCCCCCATGCTTCCAACGATGCATCTGTGTAGATTGTCATTGTTGGGTGAAATCTGTTGAGAGGCTGACCAGCTTGTAAATTCCTGGGGTCTAGCCACCATAGGAGTGCCCCCTGAGCATCTGGTGAGAGGACAACTAGATGTGACTGGGGCTGAGATAGAGGAGACCACTGTTGGAACAGACAACACTGTAGAGGTCGTAGATGAAGACGACCCAATGGCACTTGTTTCTCCGCAGATGACAACAGGCCTAGTAGAGACTGCCAAGTTTCTGCTGAGGCTATTCCCTTCTCTAGAAGATGTTGTCCAGCTTTCCATATCTTTTCTACTCGATCGTGAGGGGGACGGCAAATTCCCTTGCTGAGATCGTATTCTACTCCCACATAAGTGAACTTCTGAGTTGGTTGTAGTTCCGACTTCTTGAAGTTTATGAGGAAACCCAGAGCCTGAGCCAGTTCCAGCACCATCTGAGTATGTTGTAGAACTACTGTAGGTGAATTGCCTCGAATCAGCCAATCGTCGAGGTAATAATGAAACAGTATGCCTCTGGAGTGAAGATGAGCTGCTAGAGGCCGTAACAGATGTGTCCAAATCATCGGGGCTGATGCCAGACCAAAGGGCAGGGCTTTGAATTGAAGTACTTGGTCCTGAACAACAAAGCGCAGGTATTTCCTGAATGACTGCTTGATTGGGAGATGAAAGTAAGCATCTACGCAGTCTATGGACGTTACCCACTGTTGAGGCTGTACTGCATCCATGATCTGTGCTACTGTTTCCATCTTGAACTTTGGAACTTCTAGATGAAGGTTCAGATGATGCAAGTTGATGACTGGTCTTAGAGAGCCGGATTTTTTTGGGACGAAGAAAAGATGACTGTAAAGGCCTGGACTGGATACGTTCTGGACAACTTCTATGGCCTGTTTCTCCAGAAGTTGAGTGACTGTAGCTGCATAAAGGTCTTTTCTGTCTCTTGTTGATGACTGGAAAGGCCAAGGATTGCATGTAAGGGTAGGTTTTGTGTGAAGTTTCGGCTGGTAACCTTCCTTTATGATCTGTAGAAATCCTCCTAGATCTGTGATTTCTTTCCATTTGGCAAGAAAATGCTGTAGTCTGCCTCCCACTGGTAGCTGTTGAGGGCTTACAGGTAGCTGTGGGAGACAAAGACTTGGAGGACTGGATGATATAGGTAGATAGTCACTGTGATTTTTTCTCTCCTCTTCCCTTGCCACGAAAAGAGTTAGAGCTGTTCTTTTTACCAGGGCCATTGTTGTTATTGAAACTGGACTTTCTGTTGTTGTTGTTGTCTTTCTTATTTGGTTGAGAAGACTTCTTTGATTCAGCTCTCGCATTCATCTTAGCCAAGGAAGTTAAAGCCTGGTTGGTGAGATCAGACTGGTTGGACTTCAAAATTTCAGTGACTGACTCCTGTGGGAATAATTCCTGAGCCAAAGGGTTTATGGGTAGAGTTCTGAGCATTTCCTTTGCTGCAGAAGGGCAAGTCATGTTCTTCAAGAAGCCATCTCTCCTAAGTAGAACTACGTTGGACAGCAGTCTCACATTTTGATCAGTCAGACAGCCAATGGCTTGTGCTGCAGGTTGTAGTAGATCAGACAACATCTTAGTATCAGTGGATGAAGAATCGTTGAGAATTTTGGCCACTGCACCTAACAGCCATTCTGCATATGCCAGAGGTTTCAGTTGGAATCTTAAGCCTTCCTCTAGAAGCCTATACTGGGTCTTGCTGATAGTCAAATCCTTGTCAGCTTTCTTGAAATTTTCTTCAGACATCACCGCTGACAGGCTGGAATTTGGCCTCATACTCGAAACAACAAGTCCTCCGGCTGGAGGAATTGGAAAGCGTGATGCCTTGTCGTTTCGGGAAAGTTGTCCTACTTTTTTGAAGGCGAAATCGTTCGCGATGATCGAGGATCTGTTAGAAAAACAAGTCATCACCGTGGGTGATAATGGTAAGAAAGATTTTTCATTACCTTCAGACTCGTTTTTGAAGAACTGCGATGCCAAGGGCTTGATAACCACCGCTCTGTCTGGAACTTGGTGCGTCAGGTTAGCGTCTGGTAACAGGTTTTTGACTTGTGATATCGCCGCCGCGTTGTACGAAGCCAAAACTTTCTCTTCTTCCGAAATCCTGGAGCCGCCATCTTGAAAATTTTCACTGGGCGAGTCCATATCCTCGGGCCCCTCGTGACGTTCGAGACTGTGATTGGTTGAACTTTCTTTCGAAAGTGAAACTGGAGCAATCACTTCCGGGTTAGGTGACCTCGTTCGAACTGGACTTCTGCTTCTAGAGCGGGACTTTGGTCTCCTATGGGGACTTCTGTGCTTGTCTCTGCTGCTACGAAGTGACGGGTCACGTGGTCTAGGCGTGTAACTAGAAGAGACACTAGTTTCACGACTGTAAGACCTACTACGCCTGCGTGGACTGTGTTCACCATGACGGTCATGATGACCTCTTCTCTCCGGCGTATAACGTCTGGGTTCTGGTCTCCTAGGGCTCCAAACTCTGTCCCGACTGCTCCCACGTCTCCTGGGGCTGCCACGTCTCGAAGGACTTGCACGTCTCCTGGGACTTGCGTGGCTTCTGGGGTCCTGAAATCTCCATGGGCTAGGGCTCCTACGGGGACTCCTGTAACTTTTGCGGGGACTTCTGACAAATTCACTCCTTGCCGCTGAGCTTGGTCTGTCCGACCTTGCCTCCTGTTGAAGCCTCCGAGGACTGCTGTGCCTGGTGTTCACACTGTTCCTTGGGCTTTCTTGTTGCTTGTTTTGAAGCATTTCGTTCATCAGAACAGAAATCTTCTCCTTGAGAAAGTTGTCAGTCAGACTCATGTTGAAGTTCTGGTCTGCACTCTCTTGAATCCCTACTTGCTCAGTGTCTCCATCAGTGCATTCTCCTTCTTCTTGCTGGAGAATGATAGCAGGACATTTCTCTGAGGTGTTCATGTAAACGTCCTCGTTGTTCATCATCTTGACGAATATAGTTGCTCCAAGTTCTGTTGAAGGCTTGTAGCGAGATGGTCGTCGAAAGGTAATATGAAGTAGGTCGTAGCATGAAGCATGGATAGGCAGTGTATTGGACGAGTTCATTCACTAATCCGTTCATTCAATAGGGGTGTTAGACCTTTCGACTAGTCAATTTATTAAGGTAATGGCATATAATTAAGAGGGAAGTAAGTGATATAAACGCATGTATTGAGGACTGCAACTTTTTATGTCTACACTGACAAAAACTTGAAATTCCCGCTGTAAAGATATAGTCACACGCGGAAGTGCACGTCATAAAACTGATGGGTTAAGGCAATGTGCCGTCCCACTGGCACGGATTTTGGTACAACGCGCATCGGTAGGCCTTTTCGGCACAGTGCGCGTCGGTATAATGGGTTTCGGTATAATGCGTGTCGGTATAATGCGTGTCGGTATAATGGGTTTCGGTATAATACGCGTCGGTATAATGAGGTGATCCCGAAAATACCACATAGTCACCAATAGCCATTCATATTTTATGAATCATACATCATTTTGTTGTGAATTGAATCATCTTTCTAATGATATATATAATTTATGGATATTTATGGATAAGTTTAAACATAAATTCTATAAAAGGACCCCATACATCTGGATCTCATTAGAACCTTTAACATTATATAATTGAGGTTGTAAATTCTTTCAAAATCATGAAGGTGTTCACCATTTCAAGCACTTCTCAGGCGGTTTTGGGCCAAGTTGTCAAAATATCAACGCCACTGGAATTTTTTTTAAAGTGAACCCCCCTTAGCAAAAGCTGGCTATGGTCCTAGCCAAAACACCAACAGCAATTCCCATCTCAATTGATTCTAACATTTATTTGCGACACCCCCCCCTTGTCTAATGTCGGGTGTACATGAACATGTACGTCAAATACATCCAGAAACAACATAACTGAACAAAATTCTCACTTTAAGTGTGGTTTGGATTTTTCCAATATATTTTCAACACATCACAAAAACATCGCACACATGGTTAATAAATAATGGTAGAAATATAACATTTGATACACTCACTGAACTTTTGTTTAACCATACATGTATATAGAAAAAGAAATTGGAAGACTTTGTGATCACAACATGAAAACCTCATTTCTTTCAAAAACAATGTGCGATACTTCTTTACTTATCCATATTTGTATACATGTGTTTTATCACAGAGAAGGTATAGCTAGGCGATAAAATACCCCAATAACATAAATATCCAAATAAAAATGAATTAGCATAAGTTAGCTTATGGAAATAATAACAAATTGTGTTATATTGAAAACAGAACGAGTCTAGGCATATATGTTAGGCCTCAAAAAGTATTTACAGTAGTGCACTGCCGAACACATATGTTATATAATTTTTCTAAATCAATAACATTAATAGCAACAACAATCCATTTTAAGTTACTTAGAAGTAAATGTACACAATACATAAATCTTTAAATCAAGCTCTATCAATATTGTAAAAGATAAACATTTAACATTTTATTCCACCAGATATATGGAGGGGCAACAATTATATACAAGTATCTATAGAAATATGTTAGCACCAGTCAGTCTCCTACTGTCATGGTAATTTTCTAAAAATGGTTACCATAGCAGCTAAAATGGTTACTATAGTGACCAGGGTTACTATGGTATCCAAGTAAAGTACTTAAATTACTACAATTCTATGAATTAATTCAATATACTTACATGTACAAATTATGAAAACATTTTGTTATTCATAAAAATACTAACACCCTACAATCATACAAGAAACCCATCTATATATCAAAAGTTATTCCTTAATTAAACGATCCAATCTATTGGAATATTATTAGCTCCAGCATTAACAAAAATAGGAATAGCATTAAAATGTGCATGTAAACAAAGGATGTAAACAAAGGATATAAACTCAATGGTAAACAAAGGGCTGGTTAATTAAATGGTAAAGAGGAGATTGCTCAATGGTAAAAAAGGAGATTGCTCAATGGTAAAATAATGTGATACATTGATATATAACATTGACTAGAAAATTTTGAGTACAGCAAAATCCGAATGTACCGCAAAATTTTCCAAATCGGAGATTCTTGTCTGGATATCAGATCTAATCAACATGAAATATAGATGTACATCAGCAGTATTTTGTGAATCGACTACAAAGCAGAACTACCAATACTATTACACTATGTTTAAAATTAGGGATCTAAGATCCAGTTAAATCAATGACAGAATAAATTATATACATTTTTACAATTTGTTAATAAATTGGCCACCAATCTACCACCTGGCCAGCCAGAGAATTGCTAGTTTGATACTTATCATTTACTCCAATTCTAGTATGTAGAACTCTAAATTGCTCGAGTCAGCAGTTAGGTGAGATCCTACACTGTCATACATCCAATTATCTGCATACAGACATTAAGTACCATTAAATGGTCCTCAACTCCTCAAGTTAATTTTTTTCAATTTTTTATATCCAAGTACATGTTCACATTTATAGTAATTTGAATTACAATACTAAACATAAGATACATTTAAAAATGTCTGCATATCATATTCATGAACTTATTGCATTTTTTAGACTGGCAGGTATTGCATTACTTAGTGACAATACTGTTGAACAATAATCTCTTGTGGCATAAGTGTCCAAATATGGTGATATCCATCCTATGATATATACATTGAGCCCATAATAAACTCATGGATATCATTCCAAGAAGCCCACAGCTCCATTCAACCATTTCACATCCATTAAATTTCCATGGAAACATTAGTGCATTGCAGATTTTATTCCATCATGAATCATGATAATACTATTGCTCGATATAGTTCACAACCTATTTTGCTGTGATCAGGATAAAACTGTTGCTCATTGGTGAATAATTCCATGGAATTTTACTACTGCACATTGTAGTTGCCTTAAGTTGTACTTGTACTAACTACCTTCTAATTCACTCTCGTATTGCTTACGGAAACAGTCACCAATTGGGAAAAAATTCCAGTCTCTTTGTTGGTATAACTCCCAAACATATGTTTCCTGAAATTAAAGATACGCAGTAGTTTAAACAATTGTATTAAAAAAAAAAAAAATTCCTCTCATCACTATACACTTTGCGTCACTTTATGTAAAATTATAAATACAACAATAATTCAAAACATCACAAAGTCAATTTACAAAAAGTTAAACCAAACATTCAGGCAGGCAACAATACACATTTTTATATTGCTTTATATTGCTTATATTTCTTATTTTCATAAATAACAATGTTTGAAGAACGCGGGATTAGGTTTTTACATGATTTGTAGTATCATTTTTTGAAGCAGTCTGGAATGAAGAAAGCAGTAGTGTTTGGTTAGATTATACGGATAATACTAAAACCAACAAAATACAGTAAAACCTGTGAAGTGGAACACCTTTATATTTGATACACTTTTCATAGTTCTGTTAATCATTCAGAATGAGGTGTTGAAAATTGAACACCTCCCAGCCAAGCTAAACACTTTTTGAGGAACCAAAGCGGTCCACTTAAATAGGTTTTGCTGTAATAAGTTTGTTTCAAGAATTCCATTAAGGTACCAGTAATTCCAGTTGGATGCCCACTAGTTTTGCTCACATGTTAATCAAATGAGAATAGGGATTCAAATTGATACTATTATTCTTTTAGGTATTTATGAGTCTTCCTGAGACATCCAATTTTTAGGACATTCAGCTTTTTTCAGTTTATTCAGACAATTCATGGAGTACAAACACAAATGACTGGTTGACGGCTACCACCCTTATGATAAGTTAAAGAAGAATAGATATTAGGTTTAAAAGCTTGTTTCCCAAGATTACACCCTTGTTACAATGTTCCCATTTATTCATATAAAGAAGTGAGAAGAGGGAAATTACCCAGAATTCAAAGATCAAATTACCCAGAATTCAGATATCATGTAAAGATGAGCCATCTTTATATAAAGACTGATTCTCTTTAAATTCTTGAACTTGTGGAGTGCAGAATCAAAAATATTAGTTCCACATGTTGTTTTTAATTGTCATTAATAAATCCGAGAGTGTGTCCTCCACCTCAACATGAATTTCATGTTATTATTGTAAAAAAACATATTAAATAGAATGAATGAATTATTGAATTACATCTGCCTAAGTGAAGATGAACTACATTTGCTGGGGCTTGATGTTAATTCAAGTCCACAGGGTATAACACACTGTATTAGTATGGGAAAAACAAATCATTAAGAGACCAGCTCAAGCTACAAGAACAACCTTTCCCGTGATTATATGAAAAATAGGTTGGAGGGGTGGGCAAAACTCAGAAATCTCATGACAATTTAAATTGAAAGTTTACTATGTTCAAAATCAAAATACAAATGAGGAACAAATTAATGGACCAAATGAGGTACAAACTTATGGACCAATGAGGTACCAATTAATGGACCAAATGAGGTTCAAATTAATGGACCAAATGAGGTTCAAATTAAAGGACCAAATGAGGTACAAACTTATAGACCAATGAGGTACCAATTAATGGACCAAATGAGGTTCAAATTAAAGGACCAAGCATGAAGTCTTGAGAGAACTGAAGCAAAATGGGTCCATGATTAAAAAGCTGAATTTTGTTAATTTGACCTAAAAAGAGTAACTGAAATGATAGCTTGCCCAACCCTGTTAATCATCACAGACCATGTTAAGTGAAAAGCTGCAGAAAAGAAGAACTACAAAATGAAATATCTGGATATCATATATCAAAGACAGATATACAGATAGCAAAATTGATTGTCCTTCTTATCTGTGCTGTGATTCTATTTATATATTTCATCGCACCACAATACTAAGTCAGCATTAATTCTTCATAATGTTTCCGAAAACAATCTCCAATAGGGAAGAAATCCCAGTTTCTCTGCGAGTACATCTGCCAAACATACGTCTCCTAGAATGAAACATGCTACAGTGTCACAAGTGAGCAACATCTAGTTTGTACAAATCAAATTCAAACATGCTTAGAAATCAAGACATGAGGCCAGAGTAAGAAAATCTTTGTTTAGCATGTTTTTTTAAAAGAATGTTTGGAATGTACTTGTTTATTTTTAATTCAAAACATAATATATTCTTAAAATATATGATATACACAGGAACAGACTAATTTCTGACCATATTTATGATTTATTCAGAAATAAATGGAAACAGATGCTAAACATTGTATTTATTTATTCTAGCCTCATTGTAATCCACAAAATAAAACAGTTCTATATCTAGTACTCTAATCTATCAAAAATCTATCAACAATTTAATAACACAAAATTCTGAAAAAGCAGCTACATATAGTTTAAAAACCCTGCATATACGTGGCAACTAAGACACATCAACCACAATGCAAACAAATTCAAATTAATACAAATCGAAAAAGGAACCCATAGGATAGTCTAGTCTACTTAACATATCTTAAATTGTGGCTTATTCAAGACCATGGAAATAGTTTTATTTCAAGATAATGCAGTAATTCATTTAGTTATTAGGTATTTCAAATTTTAAGATATGTAAGCACAATCAAATCATTGATAATACATGAAGTTAAGCCACCTCTATCATGATCAGAAAATATTCGCAATCAAAGATACAGACGTATAACTGTTTAAAGTTGACTGCACTATCCTACGTGGTCCTTCAGATGTTTTACACACATACAAAATACTATTCAATTCTTAATTGAATAAAAGTACATCAATCTCAGTCACTTTATGCACATAATTGCGCCACACTTCAAGGCTTCAATACTAGACTTCACGTCTGTGGCAATCATGGGCAGATCAAGGGCTACTGTGGCAATCATTGGCAGACCAAGGGCTACTGTGGCAAATATGGGCAGACCAAGGGCTACTGTAGCAAACATGGGCAGACCAAAGGCTACTGTGGCAAACATGGGCAGATCAAGGGCTACTGTGGCAAACATGGGCAGACCAAGGGCTACTGTGCCAACCATGGACAGACCAAGGCCTACTGTGGCAACCATGGATAAACCAAGAGCTACTGTGTCAAACATTGGCAGACAAAAGGCTACGTACCTGTCCTGTATACTCTGTGTCAGGCTTATTGATCAAATGCATCAAGAAAAACCTGGAAAAAGAAAGATATATTTCGGAATCGGTCATTTTCACTTTTTGAAATATCTTCATTTCATTTTACCCATGTATATGATATAATCACCCCTACTGGGGCATAAATTTACATGATGTGTTTGTACATAATATGTAATTATGTTAAACGAAAATTGTGCATAAATATTTTTCCTGGTACATAAAACTTGTGTACAATATATATTGAAGTGGCATGAACACTTGATTATCACTTACATGTAATTTGCAAAGTTGTGTTCATTCGTAACATGAACTTCAAACCCATGCGGAACTTTTTCAAAGTACTCCTTCCCTATACCACATATGAAGCATTTGGACTGAAAAGGAAACCATAACAACATTAAAACATCTCATAACACAATAAATACAATATCTAAAGTTTAGACAAACAAAACAGATTCGTTGAATGGAAACTTTTGCTTTGTTATAATTTAAAACTTAAAATGACTTATCAAAAGTGAAACATAATTGAACCTTACTCTTTAATTTATTTCATTTATAAATAAAATATACAGTATTACATACCAGTATTAAAAATCTATAATTACATATAAACTATAACTGACTTTCTTCATGTATTATAGGACATCTGTGAAAATCTTAAATTGGCAACAAAGAGAAGTTTTGAGAGGAAATATTTGAAATGGCATGCAAATGTTTCCATTAAAATTTAATTTCTATTTCTAAAATGACATGTCTGATAAGATATGGAATTTGATGAAAAAATGTCACAATTAAGATAAGATATGGAATTTGATGAAAAAATGTCACAATTAATGTGAATTGAAACATTTTGCCAAATAAACTAAAATTCACAGCACCATCATGAGTAAAGTCAGAACTGTGAGGCCTTTTCCAATAAAGGCATGATGGATTATAATGTAAACAATTTATTTTTGGAAATCCTTCTCAACTCATCTTTGTTGTCTATTTAAAAACCAAAAGTAAAATATGTTATGTGACAATCCTCTAATAAAAAGTGTTGTTCATGAGACACTCCGCTCAATTGTACATTACATGTGAGTGTTTGAGATATGTGAGTGTTTGGAATATGTGAGTGTTTGAGATATGTGAGTGTTTGAGATATGCTAGTGTTTGAGATATGTGAGTGTTTGGAATATGTGAGTGTTTGAGATATGCTAGTGTTTGAGAAACATGAGTGTTTGATATATGTGAGTGTTATACATAAGTATTTTAGAAACTTGAGTATTTGAGATAACCCATGTGAGTGTTAGAGATATGAGGGCATTTGAGTGTGAGTGTTTTGGGTGACTGTTTGAGATATTGAGTGTTTAAGATATGTGAGTTTTTGAGATATATGAGTGCTAGTGATTTAGGAGTGTTTGAGATAAGGAAATGTTTGAGAGATTCATGAGTATTTCAGCTAAGTGAGTGTTTGAGATATGTGAGTATTTGAGATATCTCAATATACAAGCTATAATAGTGCTTGAAAAATGTGAGAGGTTTAACTATATGATACAATACCTCCATGTCTTCAGTGACTTGTTGCAGTTGATCTCTCAGTTCACCAAATGCATCAATGATTAGACCTAATAGCAAAAACACACCCTATCTAAGTCAATTCTCTGCACACATCACTAATACAAATCTTAAGGGGGTCGATTGTCTCAGTTTTGCACTAAATTTTTACTCAGAATACATTTTGAGTCGACCATCCTCTTTCTTAATGAAAGACTATTTTTCAAAACATAAACAATGAAACCTATAAGTAGAACACTTCAATTCACAAGTGGAACGGTATTTTGAGGTACCAAACGCATTCCACTTATACAGCTAGGTCTTACTGTATATTTAATGATTTTTGCCAATTTAGTTAACAATTTAGTTAAACTGCCTCGAGGACCCATTCATGAAACAAAATGGATTTGATGTAGAATTTAGTGCAAAACATATGAGACGATTCCAAAGGAGGTTTACAAATGAGGAGTTCAGGGAACATTCTTGGAGGAGCAAGGCTTCTGTCATGACTAATAGAGGATGGGGGTTGGAAGAGTATAAACTTTTCATCCAAGTTCAACATATGTACCCAAGTATATATGCAACTTTGGGTATTAGTCAGCAATGGAGCATATGTGTTGGGGAGTGATGGATTGTGGGTAATTGGGTGCACTGATTCAAAGAGGTGAATGGAAGGTGGATGACTATTGGTCATCAGGGGCAAACCATAAGATCTTATTGTACAAAAAATCCATTTATACCCTAAATATTTTTCTCCAATACCTTTTTCATAATACAAAACATCTTTTTTTTGTCTTAACTGATTGAGTATCACTTTTGGTTTCTTTAAACAAATGAAAGATTCATCACTCAAGATCTCATATAGTTTGCCCCGAAAATAATCTACATGTACATATATTCTGTACATCAGAAGTTATGTACATGTACATGTAAATTGCACATCAAACTCTGCAGGTACACACAGTAGTAAATCCAAAATGAGAAAAATTTGAAGATATTTAGTATCAAGTCTGGCTTAGTGGAGGCACAAACGGCTGCAATAGAATATTTTTAATAGGAAGCATAAAACAACTCACAAAATATGACATCACGATGAATATATTCATAATTGAAATATATTAATTATGAATGAAGGGTTCAATGAAAAGCTTGCTAAAACCTATGGATGCAAACACTCGATGAAAGCAAAATCCAAAGCATAGTATTCAATAAAACAAGGGTATCAGTAACACTGTTGCCATAACAACGGTTAAATTTGTTGCCATAACAACAGATAAATTTGTTGCCATGGTAACTCCAGTTGTCTGTTGCTATGGTTACCTCCATATCTTCCCTGACTTGTTCCAACTGGTCACGAAGCTCTCCAAACGCATCAATAATGAGACCTGCATGGGATGGGGCAAAGCCACGCAAAGATGTATTAGAGTAAAATAAGGTCACAAAAATAATATGGGGCATTTTCTACGGTTTCTTACAACTGTATCTCTAATATATGATAAAGAATGCATCCAGCAAAATCAATATCAATTGACAGATTTGGAGTGAAAATGATTTTACTGTCAAGTTTTATGATTTACAAGTACAGTGAAACCTGTAAAGTGGAACACTTCTAGAAGTGGAACATCTCTGTAAGTGGAACACTTTTAAGAGTTCTAAGACTCTAAGAGTTCTAAAATAAACCTGCCAAGTGTAACACTTTTTTGAGGCACAAAGTTGTTCCACTTAGAAGTTTAACTGTACATTTTTGCTATGTTCATTTTTGTGACCTCTCAAACAAAATTAGAGGATTGGCATTGGAAAATAGTTTTAAATCTGTAACAACAGTGTGTATTTTAAGATAAAGAGGGATTTAAGCAGTGTTCAAAAAATATCTCACAGGCTATTAACACAAAGTGATATTGTCCTCCGATATATTGCATAAAAAGCATTATCATAAACTAAGCATGTAATAAAGACAGTTAACATTAAATTTATGATTAGGCATCAATTCAATGGAGTTTTAATAAACCATAGGAAGTTTATGTAAATTGTTTTAAGGATTTAAGGATTGGGGAAAATGTTATTTATATAATTTGGCTATTTAATAATAATTTAAGTTACTCTACTTCTGTATATTGAATCGAATTAAAACAAGCAAAAAAATGAAAATTTCTTTATCCTTTTAGGTTCTCAAAACATGTGAAACTGAAAATGAACAAAACTGCTTTCAAAATAACATTATACTAAAATAAATGCAAGAATTCCGTGAGACCTGACACTTCAAGCTTGAGACCTCATGCTTGACACTTACCCTGAATGATGGCAAGAAGGATAATGATGACAAAGAAGAAGAAAGTGATGTCAAAGAGGATACGATAGACCTCCATAGGGTCCCCATCTGGTGCCTCAAGCTCATCACCAATACCTCCTCCTGCTCTTACACCAGCATACAGGTGGAACACAAAACACTGAAATAGAACACAATATCATACAGGTGGAACACATTACACTAAAATGGAACGCAATATTTTCATATTAATTGGTCATTAAGAAAGGCCAAGAATTCTTTCAAAATCATGTTGTTTTTCCCCATTCTGAACTCTCTACAAGAAATTTTGGTCAAAATTTTTCTCATTCCCCAGAATTTTTGAAATGCAAACCCTTCCTTGGCAAAAGCTGGTTTTTGGCCTCCCAATTCTTAAAAATCTTGGATACACCCCCTATAAAAATGTAACAAGTAAGCAGTCTTTACTTACTGTGAGCATGTCATGACATTTGTAATCTGGTTCTCCACCTTCTTCTCCCTCTTTGATGTAAAACTTTCGGAAGAAGTTGAAAGCAACAACGGTGTAGACATACACAACGACACTTGTCAACATGACAGTCAAGATCAGCTACAATAAAAGTAAATATTAATCAGACACTGGTCAATCCGATCACAGTCAACATTCTTACAGCCACTGTATTATTGTTTTCTAACATCCTTTGTATTATCATCATATACATTAGGCAGAGTATACAAATTTTTCTAACAGCCTTTGTATTATCATCATAAACATTAGGCAGAGTATAAAAATTCTTATATTTACTGAAGACTGAATGAACTGAATGAACAATCTTGTTGGTTCATTTAATCATTTAAACTGATGAGATATTTTTAAAAAATTACAGTAAAACTTGTTTAATCCGAATGCCACTGGACCAGTCAAAAGTGTAAAAAGTTGTCAGGTGTTAAAAGTTTTAAAAGTTTTCAACATGGTTGGTTAAAAATTGGGACTGAAAGTGTTCACATTGAGAGGTGTTCATATAAGAGAGATAAACAGGTTTTACTGTATTCATTTATTAACTTAAAGTTACCAGAATTTCCATATTATCAGACAATAGCATTCACAGACAATTTGGAGTTTAAGCCTTTACCTATTAGAGCTTTACCAACACCACCAATGTAGTATACAGGCTGGTCCAAAAATAGGTTTACAGTTTACAGAAAGAGAGGTTCACAGTTATTCTGCAATTTGTTGAATAACTGTAACCCTTACTTTTGGGCCATCCTGTATTACACCATAACCATTGATTAAGTAAGAAAAAGATTATGAATGATGATTGGCTCAAGAATGATAAATTAAAATGTTTCAATGTCAACATTTCACATGTTTGGGTTGTAAAAGTGAACTTGTTGTACCTGCTTCCCATTGTGAGTTACAGACTGCAAGATGGTCTGCAGAGTTTTCACGCTTATAGCCACATCGAGTAAATGTGCAGCGAAGAAAAAATAGTTGATGTTGCCCAGCAACGAGAACAGGAAGTAATAGAAACAGATGTATATGAACGACTGAAAATAAATGTTATCGTGTGTTTATGTTATGCCAAGTGGGGTCCAAAATGGGGAGTGGGGATTGAATTAATAATGGGGGAATAGGGATGATGTTAGGAAGTCCTTCCAGCTGCTCAACATATGTTTTGTTAAGGTCACCATGGAGACGTTAGAAACCTTACTTTATCAAATGAGGACCTAGACCTTGTACCATAGGGTTCCATAAATATAACTTTGATTAAGTAAGATTTCTTTAATGACCATTTCCCCTGATGATTGTTGCACTATACTGAAAGTAATGCACACTTTAGTACAATATTATCTGTAAAGTTCGCTCAAACACATGAATATGCATATGTAGAACTCTTCAAATTATTGCAAGCTTTTATATAACACAACATCCATCAATGAGCCACCAGATTACAATAAATGTAGCAAAATGAGAACACTTCTATATTTGATCTTTCACCACTATAATTGCAGCAAATGTGATATACCACTGGAAAGGTAGTAATATGCCCCATTTATTCCATGATTTATTTTAGTATATTTCAGTAAATCTGAATAAATCAAATATTAAGTGTACTCATTTTTATTGGCTCATCTTCTAGATGCAACCTATAATTGAATTAAAAAGACATTAGGGTAGTGTTGGGTACTGCCACCTATTGGCAGCTGTTAAGAAAAAGTCCAAATTCCTCAACCAAGGAAGATGTTAATGTACTCCATGTATAGCTGCAATTCCCAGCGGATGTTACTGCTGTCACCAATTTAGAGCAGATATAAGCAACTGTCACCATATATGGAGAAAATGTTAGCCTATTCCAGGAACCCCCACCTATGACTGTTGTGATATACAGGTACCTGCTTTCCGTTGTGTGTAACTGACTGTAGAATAGTCTTCAGAGTTTTGAAGCTTATTGCAATGTCCAATAAATGTGAAGCGAAGAAGAAATAGTTAAAATTGCCGAGTAAGCTAAATACGAAGTAGAACATGCTGTATAAAAATGGCTGAAATGAAAATAGATAAATTTATTCAAACTATATTTTCTACAAGTGTTTTATTTTCAATGAAATATTGCTTTTCAAAATTTCTATATGTAAAAATGTTTTATATTTTGTTCTAGAGTGTAAATAGTTTTGATATTGTATTGACTTCTCTTAAAAATTAATGAATTTAAAATTATTTGTAATTATCTTTAAAAAATTAGAATGGCCAAAAATTATAAATTACGTTGTCAGTCAGAATGACTCCCCATTTCCATATTTGGTATTGGAAATCTATTTCCGTGAACCAGGCTGGAAGGAAGACATTCTTGGTTGGTTCTTCTACTTTCTTCTCGTCAAACTTCATGGAATCTCCCTTCTCCATTCCTAGCAGGTTACTGATTTCATCATAGTCGTACTGCTCTGCATACTTGTTGCGCACCTGCATGGAGAATGTAATCGGACAGTAGTAAATAATGTATTAACTAGACAATACATGTAATAAAATACCGCATGGAGAATGCAATAAAAAATTGAAACTTGGTTGAAAGTTGAACATGGTAGACATGGTAAAAAGGTAAGCTTGCCCAAACCAAAATAACAACTGACTCATGAGTACTGGACCAAGTGCTTTTTCACATCCGAAAGCTAATGTAGTATGGATTTAATGAACTACAAAGCCAATGTCTAACATAACAGTACTGTATGGTACTATTTTGGCTACGGTACTGTAAAATGTGGTATTGTACGGTACAGTAGACTAAAACAGTACCATATGACACCTATGAACAATGCGTGGCACCAAACTCAAATGGTACCATAAACTCTTAATGTACCGTATGGTACTGTGATTTCAGAGTGTGAATTGGGGATGTTGGAGTTGAACCTACCTTCTTTTTGACAAACTTGTCCCAGTAGCTGTCAGGGAATGACTTAGTGCTAAGTACGAGTTTATCCCAATGTCCTCTGATGTCATCGTCGCTGGGTTGTTCTACGATCCACATGCCATCAAACTCCAGATTTCTAGAGATTTCTTTCTCACGCTTGAAGATGACTAAAGGTACCTGGAAATCAGAGGCAACTTCCATATTAACTTTCATGGTGATTTACATTTTTCATATGAAGACTGTATAGGAGACTGTCAGGAAAATTTGGATGAGTCTGGAATAAAGCGGGGTATTTCACAGGTTCATTTTCCAAATACGACTGTTCAATGTACAAATGGGGATGTGCTCACATTTCAAGGTTTTTCTATCATGGGTTTAAAAAAATGGCACCAAAAAAGTGTTCATATTTGGAGGTGTTCAGATTAGAGAGGTGTTTCAATATACAGGTTCTACTGTACCTTGAGACAATAGTAGGCCACCAACATGGAGAATCCCGTCAAAGAATGGAGAATTGCCAGCATTCGCAATATAGGCACAAAGTATGCGGTTGTATCAGACATTTCAATGAACTCATCAGGATCAGCCTCCCCATCAGCTTCAGCACCTTCGGCACCTTCGCCTCCCTCCATCTCAAGCTTGGTCACCTAGTAGAGGATTAAGAAACATAACATAATACAACTAACAAACATTATGTAGTGTGAATTCTAATCAATAAAGCCACAAGGGTTCTAATGAAATACATAAGCTATGTGTTAGTTACTTACTTTGAATAAAGAAATAACCATATCATTGTTAAATATCCCATTCAAAAGGTTTATTTTGTAATTGTCAAAACTTTAGCCATCTGTGCTTTTATTGTCTATTTTTACATGGGGGCATTAAATTCCAGAATGACTTTCAGCCCAACCCTCTCTATTAACTCTACATTTTGAATTCATGAAATCAACCTACTGATGTAAAAACTTACTTTGAAGAAGAGCAGGATGAAGTTGATGACAAAGGCCAAACTGAGGGCCAGCAACTTGAAGTTGTAGAAATTCCTGGCAAAGATACTCTGAAATGATAAATAGATGAATAAAGCAGAGAATAAAAGAATGATATCCAACTGCATTTCGTTTTCCCATTTTTAAAATCATATTGATTTGAATATTGTCAATTTAATAGTTGTAGATTATCAGGCCATCTGAAAGTCAGTGTTACGACCATCTCAATTTACACGACATCATTTTTCTCATTTAGCAATCATACATTAATATATTGAAATTCTCAAAATGAAAGGAGTTGAAATATAAGGAATTTTTCCCATCCAGGAAAATTATATGATGGACACCACCAGCTGAAAACATGTGCATAAGACCGAATGATGTTATCTCTGGCATTGTGTGAGATTAGAGAGGTTAAGCTACATGTTTTGTTTTCAAAGAATTTGTAATTTGTAGAATTATGGTTTTCTAGGGATGTGTTTTCCCTTCATTGTATGCACTTACTCTCCTAAGTGAGTATAAAGGTAATTGGGGGCCTTCAAAAAAACCAATTGAGAGGTAGAAAGTAATCCCTGGGGGACACATTATTTAAACATGTAGCTTAACCACCATAATATGTCTAGTCTGATAGACTTTAAGGTAGGCCACATACAATGAGTAATCTGGATGTTTACAAGTAAACTTCCATACTGACATGTACTTAGGTCTACCTTAAGTCCACCTTAATTGGACAAATCACTGATAGGGTTTAAGGTAGGCCACATACAATGAGTAATCTGGATGTTTACATGTAGACTTCAATACTGACATATGTATAAGGTCCACCTTAAGTCCACCTTAATTGGACAAATCACTGATAGGGTTTAAGGTAGGCCACATACAATGAGTAATCTGGATGTTTACATGTAAACTGCCATACTGACATATGTACTAGGTCCCACCTAAGCCCACCTTAATTTAACAAATCACCATACCCTACCACAGACATATAGATCTAAAACACTGCAGATGTTTAACTTAAGTGCATTGTTAAAGGGAAAAATGAATGATTTTCAGTAATTGGTGCAACTCAAGCTGACCATGAACCTCAATTAAGAAACTAAAAGTATGATCATAAATATAAAAAATCTCTTCATTCTGCTGATCAACCCACACAATTGGTGATACAACTACATGAAAATGATTCCAAAATACTAAGGAGTGTATCGAGGTAGGTTATTTAAACTTTGTAAAAACATTGACTGACCAATGGTTCGCACGTACAACCACAATCTAAGTGGTCGTAGTATTTTCGATAAATGCTAGGGACTTATAGACATGGTTATGTGTTCACTAAACTTCACTAAAACCCCCAAATCCAAGTATACATTCATATCTATTTGAGTTGTGTGCAGTTTGGAGTCGCTTGATCACTACTTAAACTCAATATGTTATATCAATTCCAGGTTGTAAGTTCACAAACTGATTCCCGCCAGCTGTAGTCATGTGACATCACAACCTTATCACATGATCTATGTAAATGAACTCGCCTATGTACTTATGCCATCTATACATCACTTACGAGATATATTTAACTGTATGAATATCAAGTCATCTAAGTCAACTCCGAAACACATAAATATTTATATTTTATATAATTTATTTAATAATTGAAATGTGCATGGGTGATTAAAGGTGAGCATCGTAAGGTCAAATGTTAGATTAGAAATATAAAGCAGAAATAATATAAACTCATACACTTGTCTTTTGCTGCAAATAAAACAAATAAAGATCTAATTATAATGATGAACTTAGCGGAAATGATTGATAAATATGTAACTATAATCAAAATAAATAAACATTGAGGAATGAAATCAAAGCAAGCAACATTAGAAATAATACAACATTATATAATAAATTCAATCAGGGTGTTCAAAAAAAACGCAACCCAAAGAAATCGCGATATCTTGGAAAATACTAATCCAATTATGTTCATATTTTCAGGAAAGAAAGAAGAGACTGTGTATGTATAGCCCCAGTGGTTAGTTAGTTGTAAAACATGATGTCTTGGACACTTGCTCAAAAGACGGTTGTACTAGCAAAATACGAAAAACGATAATGGAAAATAACTATATCTTGGAAATACTAATTCAATTATGTTTATTTTTTCAGGAAAAGAAAGAAGAGACTGTGTATGTATAGCTCCTGTCAATGGTTAGTTGCTAAACATGATGCCTTGGACACCTGCTCAAATGGCAGTTGTACTAGGAAAATATGAAAACGCAGTCAGAGGTGACTGCCACAGTAATAAAACCAAATAACTTTCTAACCATGCTGTTTTGCCACTACAGATTTGGCACAAATTATCCTCATTCAATGTGTGGTGAATTTGTGGAGTTTTATCAAAATCACTCCAGGGACTTTATAGTCATGGTCAAAATGCCTTCTTATGTCTCCCTGAACCAGGGCGTTTGACTGCGATTTGAAAGCATTTCAACCATGACAGTGAAGTCCCTGAAGTGATTTTGATTTCACTCTACAGATTTATCATACAGTGAATGAAGATGGTTTGTGCCAAATTTGAAGAGCCAAAACACTATGGTTAGGAAGTTATTTAATTTTTTTGCCGTTGCAGTCACTCCTGACTGCATTTTTCGCATTTTGCTAGTGCAACTATCTCTTGAGCAGGTGTCCAAGGTATCATGTTTTACAACTAACCATTGACAGGAGCTATACATACACAGTCTCTTCTTTATTTCCTGAAAATATGAACATAATTGAATCAGTATTGTTCAAGATATAGCAATTTCTTTGGGTTGCGTTTCTTTTAACACCCTGTAGCTAGATTAACTATAAAGATCTAGCAAAAAACAAAATTCAAAAATACAACATAGCCTATTACCTGATTACTATAACAACACAAGGTTATTAAAAGAAAAATCAACAGTTCTACAGGGTGGGCTAAAAACGTCCATATTTCTTATTTCAATATAAAAACCCTAGAGATTCATTTATCCAACTTTAGGAACAATTGTAAAATTGATTCCTGCATATCCTACAAAATTTTCAATGAAATCCATGCAATTTCAAAAAAGTTATATTGAAATAATAAATATGGACATTTTTTGTCCCACCCTGTACATGTGGTATATAACTATCTCAATATTATGTCCACATCTATGTTATGATGATGGCAAGACCTGTCAAAACAAAAACTCACCAGTATGAATTTTCCATAGTCAAATGGTTTCCCTTCAGGAACCTCTTCGGCTGGTTCTTCCTCTGTTGGGGCCTCCTCACTGGGAGCTGAACCATTCAGAGCAGCTTTACCATTCACCTCGGTCCTGCAACCACACCATATATGGTAACGTTTTGCATAATTGCAAGGCAACAGTAAATCCTATTTGAAATATAATTGGCTTATGATAAACATACAGATAATATAACAAACACAATTTACTGTTAGCCATAGTTCAATTAAAAATACTTTTTGCAGAGGGCGCGCTCGCTGCTATGCTGATTATTTGAAGCAATCATTGTTAAATTCAGTAATACACCACTGAGTGATATGCTGCAAATATTTACAGTCTATGTTCATGAATATAAGTTGACACGGTAACACAGGGATCGGACAAATAAGGCAGTTATGAGATGCTAGGGCTGTGTCAAAATATCAAACTTTTGTAAAACTAATTCAACAAAAGAAGTTTGAGTCTTACTCTCTCTCTTAAAGCTAATGGAACATTAAACTGAAATTTGGCCCTAGTTTTAATAGAGTAAATATACAGACTCCTTCCTTATGAAAATTTCATTCAGAGTTATTTCACCCTTGCTTATATTTTGTAAAATCTGGTCATTCTCCCCGAACAAAATCACTTTCGAAATTGAATTGATATTTTGACCCAGCCCGTTAATGGGTAGAAGGTTAGCGCCTACATTGGTTGACTTGATGGGTCAGCAGAAATATCAGGAGCTGAGACACCGAGGGTTGCTGCTGTCTGCTCTTTGCTACCATGAGGATGAATTACACCACCATCAGAGTAATCCATACTACTGTGTCCACCAGATACAAGGTCCCTGGCTGGTCCAATCACAGTGTACCTAAGCAGTAAGCAACACTTGTTAGCACCCAACACCAGGCTATTAAAATTTGGTTTAAATGGAACTCTCTGTTTTCCTCCACATATTAGTACATTTTATTACTCTTTTCAGTCAAACATAGAACAAAGAAATGTGTATATTTAGCATTGGTTTAGACAATGTCCAAAAAATGTCATAATTGAGTTCAGAAACATCTCCATTGATTTTAATATGATACACAATGTGGTATGATATTGGAGATCCAAAATGACCATAAAACTAAACTTACTCAGTCTGCCCGTCAATCTCCTCTTTCTTTATCTGTAGTCCAAAAGCATTGATCTCCTTACCACTGGCAGAGACATCATGGTCTTCCAGTGATTTCAGTTCACCCTCACTGAGGCCCTCCAGTGCCAGGCGATTCTCCCCCGGCATTAGGGCCGGATGCGTCAATGGCGGACGCTTCATTTCATCTACACTCTTGTCGCCCATCATCATGTTAAGAACGAACTGGCCAAATGTCCTAAAAGAAGGAATTCCTAATTTTCTGATTTTTTCAACATCATTGACCCAGAGGAGTAACATCTTCTGATTTCAAAGCTTCTCTTTATTTTTTTTAGCTTCAAACGTGTGTAACAAACATAGTTACTCGCCTACTTTAATGACACTGACCATCACATATGATTTATTTGCATAGTAAATGGCCAAATCTTTCAGAAATTATCATTGCTTGGTGGTATCAAACAATTCCAGAAAACGATTTTTCTATTTAGTATAAACAAGTGATTCCTAAATCCATAATTACAGAGCCGAATGACAACTCACCAAATGATATGGAAGATCAGGCAAAGAATTGCAAAGGCAACTCTGAAGTTCAGCTTGAAAAAGCCGACAAAGAGTTCCAAGAATGTCATGCCCCTTAAGGTTGTGTAAGTCTCCTTAAGATTGGTCCAAGAGAGGTAAGATAACAAGGAGCCGATGCCATCCTTTACAAAGCCAAATATGGAAAAGATGATGTCTGTTGGTGAACTGGATGAGCCACTTGCTGCGGCAGCTTGGGTGGCCTGCATCATCCTGTAAAATATACAAGTGGTTCCTTACAGAGAGGTGTTTCATTATATAGGTTTTAATGTACATAGTATATGAGGGTTATGTACTGGGAGGTTTTGGATAAACCCAATATCCAAACCAACTGTACATAGCTACTTTATCCTGATATCCAGTAAATTTTTCATAAACAATTGTAATTTCCTAAAAAAAAATTTTTCACATTTTTTCAATTTTCAATTACTGGAAGTAGGAAGATATGCCGAGAGATATGGAGGTTCTGGATATGGAAATCTCAAAATCAAGATACAGGATATATCTATCCTATGACTCTCTCTTGAAGGAATTAAGACATGTTTGTTATACTGTGTCCTACCTTATAGACTGTTCCTCGGCACTAATGCTGTTAGCATGCTGCATTTCAAATATGGTGTCCTCACAGAAGTTGACAAATGATTCCAACTTCTCTTTATCTCCATCTTCATTGACTACATTGTGTAGGAAAGATCTCTTGGAGTCCTGGAAATATACAAACATTTTCAGTTGAGTAAGTTAGTTAGATTTTCAAGTTTTTAAACAAAATAGATGTGAATACAATCAGTAAAACCTGTCTCAGTGAACACCTCTTTCTCGTGAACACCTGTCTCTAGTGGACACCCCTCCTCCTCACATACTCTACTGACTTCTGTTTAAATTACCCTCTCTCTAGTGAACACCAACCTTCAGTGAACACTTTTTGTGGCTAAATAGGTGTTTATTATATACAGGTTTTACTGTGCATAAAACACTCTGTTCAATGATCTTATAACTGATGAATCTCAAAATCCCATTTTCTAAAGCTCTGTTGAACACCCTATGGTATGAAAACTCCCTGCAAACAAATAATTTATTTCAGGATAGTCCTTGGATCTTAAGGTTATCTGGCAAAAATAAATTTGGACATCTTTACATCGAGACAAATCCACAATAATTTGAATGTTTCAATCGGATGCCTTTTCAGAAAATAAAATCAAGATAGTAAGAGAAACACTGGTATGCTTTTTGGCTTTTTTTAAATATTCCTTGCAACTAATTCCTCGACTATTTACACCTGTGAGGCTGGTGATAATTTGTATTCTATATATGAGCCTGGCCATAGGAAAACCGGTCTTATCACAAAAATGAAAATTGTTCTACAGAGCCGAAATTGTGCCCAAGATCAAGAGGGAAATGTGCTAAATTCAAATTCGACATTTTGGTCTATATGCAAGGAAAAATTGTTAAAACATAAGTCATGGCTCATTTGAAAATTCTATTTGCGCTTTTTAAGATAAACAAAAAATAAGAATATTGAAAAAATTTGTGATAAGACCCCTTTTCCTGTGGCCTGGCTCATATATAACTTACCTTGATTTGTGGTTTCTCCCACTGGTCTATGTGGGACTGTTTTATCTCAAAGTAGACTCTCTCTATCCTGTTGGCACTGCCCATGATCTCTATACGACCCAAGTATGGCTCAAAGTAGTCTAGAACACATCTAGCTTTCTCTAAGAATCTTTCAAGTCTACAAAGGCAAGAATAAGGCGTAAGATACAAAGCACAAAGGACAATACTATGAAATAAAACTACCAATGGACAAAATAGGGAAACAACATGATTACTTTAAACTTCATGTATGTCAATTATGTAAATTATTAAATGGAATACAATCTAGAAACACATTATTTAAAACATGATTTTTTTAAAAATCAATGGTGATTTCAAAATGAGAGAATGTTTACCTTGGGTCATTGGGCATGTGCTCAGACAGGTTGGTCAGGAGCACAGCAATGTTGAAGCCAATGTCTTTAGCAGGGTTATGGAACCTGTCTGTAAACTCCTCAAAGTCCACTCTGCCATCCTGATTGGCATCAACACACATCATGATGTATTCAATCTCCTCACTAACAATACAATGAGAAAATATACGGAACAACTGTATAGACTGAATATGATTAGGAAACAAGTATTTCATTCATGTGTATATTTCAATGAATCAAGTTGTTTGACATTCAATCCAGAAGGTATATGTTTTTTATTAGGTTAAATAAACAACTATTTGAAAAGCTTCAGATGCTATTTTCTGAAGAAAAACAACATCATTTTCTAATTTTTCTATTTTATATGCCAAGATATGATAAGGTCATATTTTTTATGCATTAAAATATGGATACAGATTCTTAGCCTATAAACAATAATATTATATTACAACAATGATTAATTCAAGTTATAACAATTTAAGAAACAAAAGGAGAGTCATGCAAGAAATGGTGTTTCAGCAAATCTTAGTATGTGGTGCATGCAAACGAGAAATGTGATTATTAACTGTTGCTCTCGTTGTTGGTAGTTTATTTTCCAAGTTTAACATGCTGGGTGTTCCTGAAGACACAAGTTGACTAATTTGGTCATATTTCAGTATGTCATTGGTACTATTGAAATGGGAATCAACACATTTAATCAAAACACACATAATTGAAGATACTATACATAAAGGGATTGTCGGGATTTTTGGTACTTGAGGACATTATGCCATGATTTTAGAGGGATTCAGGGAAAGAGGAACAATGAACATGTATAATTAACATTAAATAGTATTTTTGTGAATGAATTAATTGGATTTCATGAAAAGTAAATAACTGAATCAGCAAATGCAAAATGTTCAGTTTTAAAACATGGTAGAAGTAATATTAAGTATAAATGAACAGAATAACATGTAGTTTAGTATGGAATAATGAATAACAAGGTCAATAGTGACAAAAAATCACCACATAGCAGCAAATAAACTGAAAGAAAGCACATCTTTCTGCTTTTAGTATTTCTGATGTGATTCCAACATTATCTTAATACTGATAAAATATCCCAAAAATAATATTTTGCCATTTTTATTGACCATGGATAACTAGAACTCAGAGTTTTGTGAAGGTAAATTATTCTGAAATAGATCAAGGAACCTAAAATATTTTGATATATTATTCTCATAACCTGAGGACTTCATTATTAAAATGGCTGCTTTTGACCCGATGGCCATAACTTCGTAACTTTCAAGTAACTTTAACATCAAACCTCATATTTAGATGTAGAACCCTCATGATGGAAATTATCACATGGGCCTTCAAGAGAAAATACTGAATATTCATATGCAGTCGAAAAATATAACAGTATATAACAAATAAAACAGTACACCCACACAGTTCAATATGTCACACACGCTATGGTGACATAAAAGTGCATTGAGCAGAAAATGGCAAAAGGGAAAATATTGGACACACATTAAAAAATTCCATGCTTTAAGAAGTTGCATTGTCTTGTATTTTTTCTTATGTCAAGGCACAACTAACCAACCAATGGTTAGCCTTGAATTCTGAAAATAATTTTCTGGTGACTCATGGAAAATGCAATTCCTCTTTGAACCAATTGGATGCCAGGTAAAATTCACTGCATCCTTAACTTACTCAGTGTACATATTTTTCTGTGCTTCTAGCGCAGTTTTAAATTCTTTATGTGAAACTGTGCCATCCTTATTTTCATCGAACTCCTAAATTGTGTAAAAAGTTAGACATATAAAGTTCAATGTGTAGATAGATATCCACGAGAGAAAGCAGATAAAGGGAAGAGTTAAGGGACTGTGCTCAGAGGGAGTGGAGGAATCGCATGCCAGAGAAAGTGTCCCATAGGTTAGACTTACATGGGATAGTTTCAATGGCAAAAGTATGCAAGTATAGTGTACAGATTCAGTGATAAACATCTTACACAGTTGCCATGGTAGCAGAGACAAAACCAGCCAATCAAATGCAGTGGTCTATGAGAACACATGGAATGAAGTGTCCAGATTGGTTGGACACTACCATGTGTAATATCAAGACCAGGGCATGCTTCTAGAAGAACTACTTGCAACTAATACCAGTGAGTATCAAACTTTTTCAAAATTTTTTTTAGTATATTTTTTGCCAAAAATGTTTGAGGTGATAACATACAGATAACATGTCCATATGTATGTACATATATTTATGTATAAACTCACTGAATAAGCTCGTTTCACGTCACATTTTCACAGTTCAAAGCGATTGGATAATTTGCCACAATGCACCAGGCCAACACGCTAGACGCATATCACTGTCTCTACCTATCACCCATAGACACTGTAAGACGGCTGACAAATTGGAAATAAAAAAACAATGGGGATTGACTAAATAAAAAATAAAAGATAAAAGCTGGGGTTCTACAGGGTTCTAAATAAAAGCTTGATACGATTATTTAAATGATAAATGAATAAGTTAATATGAGGCGAACCGAATCTATAATCTAAAGGATGGGATAGGCGTTAGGTCCAATTAGTCAGCTGTTCTGACAGCGCCATCTATGGAGCTTGAATGATACCAACCGTGTATAGACTTTTTGCGCCTGCATAGCGCGGCGGAATTCTTTGTAGGATATATAACCATCTTTATTTTCATCAAAAGCCTAAAAGCATCATATATTAGTCAAAATTGGGGAAATTGTTGATTGAAATTTAGCTGCATTTTGGTCATACAGGGGGAGTATAGGGGTTCTCGGGATAAAGTTATGCTACCTACCTGTGTAAAGACACATAGATGGAAAATGAATGGGCTGGGGTTTATGAAGTTTGCTCAGGGTTGCAACTATTTTCATTAAGATGCATGATGGGTAATCAAATTCAGGAAAATCGGGTGACTGCCACAATTAATTGATGTTCACACTTTTGACAACAACATCTACATGTACAGGTAATTATTAGTATTCTTGCAACACATTTCACAAATAATTACATCATTTAATAATTGTTTTTGATTAATAAGAAACATGTAGTTATTTTCCACTATTTGAAATATCTGTAACCACGAGTGCATAAATATTTGTAATAAGTATGTTAATACACTAAAATGTATATAAGAACTTGATACTGATACTTACTTATACTTATATAAGACAGTATATAAATGCAATATTACAAGTAAAATATTTTTCGCAAAAAAACATTAAAATGAGAAATGTATAAATTAAATGTCTTCAGTCTAAACTATTCTTTTTTAATATGACACACCTGTTTTAATGTGCCACCAATCTAAGGTGTCTATAAAAAAATAAAATAAATAATAAATAAAAACATGTAAGTGTATATTACCAGGAATGCCTCTGACGTTGTCATGTCTTTCATCTTCAAGAAGATGTCAAAGAACTTCAGAATCATCTCAACGTTGGCAGATGATTCCACCAGAGTATCTACCAGCTGCTTTCCAATGGTACCATTCATGACATTTCCTAAATGAGAAGATTTGTATTATTTATTGTTGAAGGCATTATGAGTTTATTAATTGAGAGCCACACACAACTGCTGGACACTTGAAAACTTAAGTCATGTGAAGAGAATACTGAACTTAACAATGACAAGTTTCAAAAGGTATTTCAAGATTTTATGATCACATATTCTCATGTTCAACTATGACAAGTTTTAAAAGGTATTTCAAGATTTTATGATCACATATTCTCATGTTCAACTATGACAAGTTTCGGAAGGTATTTCAAGATTTTATGATCACATATTCTCATGTTCAACTATGACAAGTTTCAAAAGGTATTTCAAGATTTTATGATCACATATTCTCATGTTCAACTATGACAAGTTTCAAAAGGTATTTCAAGATTTTATAATCACATAATACTATGACAAGTTTCAAAAGGTATTTCAAGATTTTATGATCACATATTCTTATGTTCAACCATGACAAGTTTCAAAAAGTATTTCAAGATTTTATGATCACATATCCATATGTTCCTATCTTACCTTCAAGCATGGAGAGCAACATGATCATCATCTCTTTCTGAAGTTTCATGAATTCTCGCAACAGGTCTAGCTGATCAGGGTCCTAGGAGAAATAGTATGTATAGATATAGCTTAGTATTCTAAAATAGCCAATAGAGTTACCTAAATATTTATTTATAATTATACATATTTATCCAATCTCTTGAAAGACCATGTAAAATAAAACATGTTTAGAAACTAGATTTGTAACACTGTGTATATGTTTATCTTTGGAATATAGTTTTTATTAAACAAAAATATGTTTCTAAAAACAAATGCTGCACCTAAACATACATCAGAAGTGTATTCTAGACATACATGTTATGAGTGTCGCAATTCTTTGAATTTGATTTTAAACAAGTGATAATAGAGAATTCAAATTCCTAATTATGAAAGTCCAAACATTGCATCCTGATCTACGTCAGGGATTATCATGACAGTGGATAACTGAGACACATACCCTAGATAGCTTGTCCTGCATGTGTGCAAAGATGAACAGGAATCCTCCAACAGCATCCCAGAGCCTACTGTGAGCCAGAGCTTGCTGATTTCCTGAACAAGGACCCTGCAATAGAAAAGCGGCAAATATATAGTTAAGTGCAAAGATGAACAGGAATCCTCCAACAGCATCCCAGAGCCTACTGTGGGCCAATGCTTGCTGGTTGCCTGAAGAAGGACCCTACAACAGAAAAGTGGCAAATATACATGTATAGTTAAGTGCATGTGCTGTACAGGAGAAGTGTCAATTACAGTAAAACCTGTGTTCTGTGTACACTTATGGGGCCACAAAAATTTGTTCACTGTTCGCACGGGCAAGGGTAAAGAATGTCTTACCTGAATGTCTTCTGTAAGTGTGGTAAAGACTTGTTTAGCCACCATGATCGCACGGATGAAGTTCTCCTTCCCTGCTTGATCTATGGTGTCCTTGCCAGAGTAGTGCCAGTAAAAGTCCATTATTGACTCCTGAAATTCCAACGGAAGTATTACATTTCAAAAAGTCTCCATAAATCACAAAATTGTATCTCAACAAGTGAATATTTGGGACTGTAAATATGAAATGGTCTGGTTTTGTTGAGTAACTTAGATTAGACTAGATGCTAAAAGAGTACAGTAAAACACAGTACAGAAAAGTAAAGTCGTTCAATGCAGAACAGTACTGTACAGTAGGATACAGTACATGTATTTGTTTGGTACTTTTAAAATATGAATGGATTTGCAGCTATTCAGCACAATATAGTATAAATACAGGGCAAAATCTGAAGAAATACACAATGTTTGACAGCTAGGGCTTTGGCATGAGTCCTGGATTGCCCCTAAAATATAAGCCCCCCCTCACCTGTAGCCTGAGAAGGTAGTCAACTGTACAGATGATAATGTTAACTGTGGTTGTATTGCCAGCCTGGGTACGTAAGTAGTTCTGGAACTCGAGGTTGTGACCCTCACAGAGCAGCTGAAGGAACCTAAACAGTTTACACGTGAGTTCTGCATCGTGGAGGTTCTTCACACCAGCTGAGCCTTCGCTGGTCACACCCAACCCCTCGGCCTTGTTACAACGCTCAAATGCATCCAAGTCCAAGACACTGAAACATTTGTTCATGTCAATTCAAGAGGAAAAGCACATGTGATTAGACATTAAACTGAATCAACATGTTGAATAACACTGAAACTTTCTAGAGATGAACATACTTCAAAGTAGTGTTCAGCTTGGAAGGTGTTCCACTTACAGAGGTTGAAGTGTTCCATTTGGGAGGTGTTCCACTCACAGAGTTCATTAAGTCGATTGGAAACAACTTTGAAAAGTTTTGGAGGAATCCACTTATAGTTGTTAAAAATTACAGATTTTATTGAATAACACATATTGTATATTGTGACTTACCTGCAGCCTTGGATCAGTCCTGCAACAGATGTGAAGAAACCAACTTCCTTTTTCTCTCTCATGTACGTCAACATTTTCTGGAAATTGAGATTGAATTAATAAATAAAAAATATATTTTTAGAGGGCTAGCCTCACAATGATTTCAATTGTCAAAAATCAACAAAAAAATACAATCTCAGTCTAAACACATGAATCCATTCAATCAAATCCTGAACTTGAAAGCAAGCATTTGTCAAAGAAATCCTTGAAATCCTTTAAAGTGAAAATTGTCTAAAGGTCCTGTGTAGAGATGTGTAAAAGATAGGTAGGAATAAATGGGGCCTTTAAGATAATCTACCTTTTGTACATCCACATTTCCACCACGTAGAAGGGAGATCCCAAGGTCAATGGTCTTGATCACCATTGGTGTAAACTGACCTGTAACCATAGTTATGTGTAAATAACATACTAAACATACAGACTTTCCTGTTATCAACTTTTTTACATTGAGAATGTTGATGATTTTCAAAAAAGAATTTTAAGTTTTTAAAAAAATTGTCACATACCCTTGCTAGTGCTTATATACAGTAACACCATCTCAGCTGCTCCTCTGTCTGCCAGTCTAGACTGCTCAAACAACAGCTTCTGCTTCTCCATTTCTTGTTCCTATAGCAACAGAACAACAACATTTAGTATGTATAACAACCAAGTAATCTGAATTTGCCAAGATTATTAAAGCCAAACAGAAGACCAAGGAACAAACAAGTAACTGATTCTATATATTATTAAAAGTAGAAATGAAGTAAATGTTCAGAAGCATAGGGTGGAAAGCTGAGCAATGTGTAACTTACATACACAAGAATGACAGAAATATGTCCAGATTGTTACAATGCAAGGAAGATCAGCTCCCAGTAATCCTTCACAATCTTATTTTGACTGGAATTGACCAATTTGGTAATAATATACTACAATGTTCATCTCCAGAAGAAACATTTATTCAGAGATGAACATTATGGTAAAATAATTATTACCTTATTTGTCAATGTCTGTCAAAAGAAAATCCCTCCAAAAATGCTGGGATCTTCCTTGGTTACCATATGAATTATAAAACTACATACAGTATATATGACCTACATTGTACAGTATCGATGACAATCTAAATATCACAATTGCTAAGATGTAACATGTACTTGAAAATATTAACACTGCTAGGTTAAGAAATGGGAAACATCGAGATCAAATAAATTGACTGGTGAGCTACAATATTCAGAAGCTCTGAATGAGTGAATACAAAATGGGACTTTTAAGGTGGAAACATTGGAGAAGAGAGAGGCTGCATATATGAGTGTAACATTAAGACTTTGAAAGGCCTCAAAACATGAAAGAAGGCCTCAAAACATGAAAGAAGGCCTCACAACATGAAAGAAGGCCTCAAAACATGTTTTAATAAAGTTTTGGGTGATAATTTGATAGAGATATTGTAATGGATTTAGACAAAGATTGTCTGTTGATTTAATTTGCTGATTTGAATTTTTTATACAACAACTAACCTAACAATTTGACTTCAGTTTCTTAGAAGTTAAGGTTTGGAAAGAAATCAGCGTCACTATAATAAAACAATGGTGTCACTTTTACAGGACAAGGGGTCACTATATAGGAAAAGAGTGTCACTATCATAGGACAAGGTTTTTACTAGCCTAGGACAAAAGGGTCACTAGATTAGAACAAGAGGGTCACTAGAATAGGATAAAGGTGATACTAGCAATAAGTGACACAACATGTATGATTGGAAAACTAGACAAAAACGCTAAAATGAGAGCTTTATACCTGTAACCTTTCCAATTGTATCTATACAGAAGATGAAAAGCATAGCAGTATACAATAAAGCTTATTTCATAATATATATTAAAAGCTATAAATGGAGACGTAACTGCCATGCTAGACTACAGTGCGAGGGTTCCAACACATGTGTTGAGCGATGAAACTATCCTTTTTTCCCTGACCAATGAAATGTTATTCAAGAATAGCAAAATGCTGCATAGACATTTATCAATTTATGTGTTTAAAGCCATCTTTATTTTGGTAAGTTTAAAAATTCAATTTTTGCATTTGACAAACAACATTACCCTGGCATTCTAATATCTTTTTGGCTATTCAAAATTCCCTGATCATTTTAGCCAAGTTTGAAACAATTTCTTGGTCAAACTTTTCCAAGTGAGAGAAAATGCTTTTGGTTTGCACTGACTTTTCCGCAACTGTAGAAACCCTGGTTAAATACGTTGAAATACAAGATGTTAAAAGATGATTCACACAAATAGCTTAAAAATGGAGACAACCTAACCCTTACTAAACATTTCTGTTTTCTTGCAATGCGGAATAAAAATGGTTCATAGAACTATGATAATCTTTTTTCTGGGTCCATATTTACTGACTGAAAGGTTAGGTCTCCGAAAGAGGGGAATACCCAGAATCCAATGATGAACATTCATTCAAGGTATAACTTACATGTAACATAAAGATTCATGTACATATTGAACTCTGGGTTATTTCCCTCTCTTTTTTTCCATTCATATCTAATGATCCACCTCTAATATATAAGAATTCAGAGAAATAGAATGAATAGAAAGATAATGCAAACAAGCAATTTGAAAGATAAGTTACAGTCAATTATTAACATGAAATGCTACTTGCTAATAGGCATCAAGAAAACCTTGCAAAAAGTTATGGCACAAGGATAGTTCAAATTGGGAGTTTAGCATGAAGGAAGCAAGAATAAATATGCTGAGATAAGTGTGCATTATTTAAATAAAGATGCATGTAGATTATCTCATTGTTAAAATCGCCAACACGTTTATGCATACAATCCAAGCAACCAACCAAAATGATAATTAGCAGTAGTGGTCATCAGGTCAATATTTCGTTTATTGCCCCAAACTAATTGATCCCTTACTCATATGTAACAAATTTATGTTTATTCCTGTTTTTTTTTACATTAGTCACCTTGTTCTAATAATTGATGTATTTTAATATGTAGAATTATCCTCTCCTAAAATTTAATTCAAAATGAGGTTTGTGGGCATACGAAGATACATTGACCTTGACCTTAGCCAAGAGAGTTACTGATAATTGAGCAAGTCAAGAAGTGTTTCTATGGTTACCTGTATTGATGCACTAGCATCTTCACCATCACCTTCGTCATCATCATCATCTTCATCTTCTCCACTGCAACTCTGAAACAATAAAAATTCAGACTCATTGAACAATACAACATGCATGTAGGAGGTCGAGACCAGCTTACATAGTTTCATATTTGAAAAATAGCAACTCCCTGGAGTAGTGAAGACAATTTACATGTACACTGGTGATCCGCTCAATTACGCTGGTTACCGAAACGGTTCATGTCGGTAACAAAATGTCAGAACATCGAAGGTACGATTTTTCTTTTTTCCTTATTTCACGTGTTGTATAGGCAGAATCTTCACAACGTTTTTTCTCACAAACGTATATCAGTATCATATGTTTTAGAAAATGTACATGTTTGCCAAAAAATAGCTCAGAAGACAACAGAATCGTCGATTTAATTCCTCACTTAAGTTACAGAAACAGTTTGGGTTAAAAGTGCAGATCTTAACTAGTTTTTGAAAAAAATAAATGTTTATAGGTTACCTTGCTCATGATATCAGCATAGGCCATGAAGAGAAAGTCTTCTTCTGATGAGGCACCACGACTGAATGCTGTCATCAGTTGTTTCAGAGAGTCCGGTTTCTCACTCTCGTCATCCTTCTTTTCCATCTCATCCTCATCTCCTTCACTTTGCTAAAGACAATCAATGACAATGTTTTATATATCCTACATACAGTCTAGCATCATTCATCTTTAATTTTTAATCCAGTGATCTCCCCAGTATCAAAGCAAGTGGGTGCTGTACCCACTTGAAAATCTCTTTGCACCCACTTGAATATATTTGGTTTAAAATGTACCCACTTGAGAAAAGTTCCTTGGGAGAACACTGTAGTCAATTATTATACAACTCACATAACTTTTTTAGACAATTGGAAAAACTCCCATAGTTTACCATTGTCAAAAGTTTATCTCAAAAGAAAATATATGAAAATGCAAGTTTGACAAGAATCATTGATATTTCAACATAGCGCTGGAAAATCATTTATTCTTTAGTAGTTACTTATCATTATTTATAATATGTACAGTTAAATCTGGGATTAAAAGACTACACATGCACAACATAATTTTGAAAAATCTACTTAAAAATATGACCACTCAGTAAACCCCTCTGGACAAAATTGTCCACTATACCAGTATGTTAGTGGTCCTTAGCAAATACATTCTACATTACTCATTTAATAAGGTGCCATTTCTAATGTTATTTAAAGTTAGTACCAAGTCCAACATTTTGGGTTATGTATCGTGTATCACTAAAAGTGGCAATTAAACACACGTGTCTATGACTAGGTTTAAAGTGATAATATTATGCAGTGCCCAAATAATTAGTTATCAGATAGGCAGATTCAACAAACATGAATATATGGACTAAGATGGGCAATTATTTCAACACACACACACACACATAGACACACACACAGTAAAAATACTAAGGGTAAAATGATAAACTGTAATATGAAGAAAGGTGAAGCATTCTGATGAACACCTAAAAACAGTAGAGGTAGATCAGATAATTCATGCATTTGATATAGCAATTACTGAAGGAAACATCAAAGGAAATATGAAAGACAGAAGACGCCGCAACATGGAAAAGATCACAGTGTTTGCAGTATAAACCTTCAAACAAGTTTAAACACAATATACATATGTAACATTTACCACAGAGCTAATTTGTACGAATGAAGATACATATAGAAACTGGGATATGGAGTAAGTCACTTCTGGTGGTGACATAAAAATCATAGAAAATTGCCAGAATATAACAATGAAACAATCAAAGACAGGGCAGGGAGTGAGTACAGCATGCAAGACAACATGCAGAACAACCAGATAGGCTTGGAATCCCTACAGGTGGCAGATACAACAAGCATTCCAGTACCTTTAATAACATATAAGACCACTACAATCTAAAAATCTGTTTAGCAGTACATATCTCGAGTCATCCAAAAACAACCTGTTACCTCCTTCCTTTTTTCTTGCCTCTTTAAGATTTTACCATTTTTTCTTTCAAATTAACATCTATAATCAATTTCTCTATCAATGTAATTTTCTTTCCTACTTAGGATTTAACCATTTTCTTTCAAATTCACACATTTAAATTCTCTATCAACGTAATTTTCTCAACAATTTAAGAATTCACCATTTTTCCTTTCAAATTCTCATGTATTCTCTGTATATTATCATGTAGTTTTTGAATATTCACAACTCTGCTAAACAAAAGGTTTGTCTGTAGTGGCCTTAAAGTCAATAAGGATACGCAAGCAATGGACGACTCACTGTCAAATCTTGTATAACTGTATCACACCCAGTCTCATCCATATACAACCAGCGTATAGAGAAAGACTTTAAGAACATGTTAATAGCGCGATGCCTGAAAATATTATAACAGGGGCACACACATATTAATATTAATTATAGAAGCTTCTGTCATATGCAGGTGGCATTTCCAGGTAAGAAACAACCAGGTGGTTTAAATTATCACTGTGCCAGCTAGATGACATTAACTGCAGTTATCGCATCACAATGGTGGACAAAATTCTTTACACAGTTGGAATCATTACATGACAGGTAAACTCATTGACTTTTGATGGCAATTACATCATGAATCATCAAATTATATTCCAAAAGCTCTGAGTTTGATTATATTTCATGCTGATTGGTCCAATTTTAATCAAGTGATTCAAAATATTGGTAGGATCATGTCCACCATTTTGATTAAGCTAACTGCAGTTACCGTCACCTAGATGTGGCACAGTGTACATGAGCTAAGACTAATACAGGCTTGTTGTCGAACACACCCAGACATCTCAATGCTGAAAGCCAGGGACGTCTTCAATATGCAGAAGGACTGACAATAAGGATACTAAAACATTCATTCAGTATCCGCATTGGGTATTTACTATAGATGCCCATGAAGGTAGTCCTATAATAATGCTATCTGATAGCTAAAGAAAGGAGGGGAAAGAAAGTGTGAATGCTGCGTGTGGTAAAAGCGAATAAGATCAACCTTTGAAAAGAAATTTTGGTTATTGAGTTAGTTAGTTTGAAGCTAGATTCTGAAAATAAAAGAATTTTGGTTAGTTAGTTTGTACTTTATGTTACAACCAAGAAGAAGTCTTAGTCACACACAAATCAATGCCATAGTAACTAAACAGGTTCAACAAGAAGCACTGTCACAGGTACAAATGGTAAAATAAGAAGCATTGACGAATGGTTCAATGAGTAACACTGTCACTGGAAACATAACATCTAGACAGTCACAAATCCAAACCCTAGATATCAGATGGGCTCCCTAGTATAGGTGGTTGCTAGTAGAATCCCATCCTCCAAATGCAGGTATCATAAGGTATCAACAGAGTGGAAGATCTCTGGACCCCTGCGTTTGGAGAATGGTATAACTCGAAAGACATTGTTAATGTTAAGCTGATCGGCACTTACTTCTGTGGTATCTAAGATGAGGATTTCGGGGTGGGTCTCCTCCTTTACGAGCCACATGTCATAGTAGCAGGAGATGAGCATGTTGATACCTTTGTGGCTGCAAACATGCGGGAATACGAGAATATGTCTCCAAGGAGACCAGGGTGAAACATAAGCAAGCACTGGTTTTATGTCAAGCAATTGCTGGTTTTATGTCAAGCAATTGCTGGTTTTATGTCAAGAAATTCATATTATGGACCAGCTTATGATTTCAGCATCGAAAAACACCACAATGACTGGTCTATGTTTCAGTTTTGACCAGTAGATGTAATACACTTATGGCGCACCCTGGTGGAGGAAATAAATAGCAGTAAATACTAAAGAGGGCGCTACTGTATGCATCATGTAACATGGGATTTGATTGGTTCCTACAATATCAGCGTGTTGATTATGGAAGAGGGTTTTCTAAATGCATCAGAAATTAGGTCGGGTAGGACTATGAAGGTGTTTTAGGTACCTAAAGAGAAATAGATATTTTATTTGTCAAAATGAACATGGTTAAAGAATGATAGTGATTTTAGGGTAGGGGATAGTTAACCTGAATTCAAATCTACTTGAATATAATATATCCACAAAAACTGCCTCCAAAAACAGTATGATTGTCAACATTAAGAAATGCAACTGTGACAGAAATACAACTGTGACAGAAATGTCATCCACAACTTAAATTCCATTTCACTGTTCAGCCCTAAATGCTGAAGAAGTAAAAAACACAGAAGAACCTGTTTAAAACCCAATCCACAGAATCTGTCTTTCTATGATGTAAGAAGGTTCATTCACCATCCATTCAAATCAACTCCACCTTGTAGCTACATGTTATGTCTTATATACTTGTATAACAATCTCTTATGCCTTACCTCTGCAAATGGCAAATGACGTCATTTTAAACATTCCCATTTTAAAACTTTATACACTCATTTTACAACTGCTCGTCCAAGATTTTTTCACATATTTTCACTTACACTGAAAATTAAGATCCTGACTACATCCCACATAACTGTGATAATTAGAAATTAGATTTGCCATCAGCAGAAATCAAAGCAGAAAACAGTGCATTTAGAGAATGGTTGTATGTTAAAGGTCTTTTAATTTTCTACACTGTACTTGCAAACATTATTTAACTATCGTTAACATTGTTAAGATTGTGACTCACTGATATATGTTTTACTCCCGGGGGTTCACTCCAAATAATTTGGGTAGATATGTGCAGCACAGTCAATTTTGGCTTTGAGGAAAAAACATGGAAAATTGTCTAAGAAAGTACCCTTTCTAAGTCAAAATTCAGTTTTTCTACAGAAAATTGTATTAAATTTGTTAAATCAGTTGCTGAGGCCTGGAACAAATCACTAGAAAAGTTTATTGTTAAGTCATTTATTAGTCTCAGAGGAATTAAACATGGAACCCTTCTATCTTGTGAGAAAATTGCCATGGAAAAAATGCTCAAAAAGGGGGTCTTTGGGGCGGCACATAGGTATTAAGAAGCATATTGGAGTAAACCCCCCGGGGTTTTACTCTTGTTTAGACACGGCAGAGAAGCCACCACCACATCGGTCATTGAGTCTCGAAAGCATTACAATATGTGCTTTAATTGGTAAATTGTCATAATACATGTATTCTACGATTTCTGCGATGCCAAGTTGTGATTTTCAAAGAATTCCATTGGTTGATTAGATTTTAAGACAAACAGTGCTTGTACCTGGGACGTCACTTACAGTTATTTCAGGGATTAAGTAGTATTTTGTCCCATTTTCCATAGCCTCACACACAGCTTCATTATATGTGCTTATGAAGATATTCATTGCTCTGTGCCTGTAAGAGCGCAAAGCAGGACATGTACAATACAGTCAAACATTTAACTCAGCAAGTGCTACTACAATGCAGCGCATGTACAAACTCTAAGCAATTATGATTGTGCAGAAATTGTGAAAATTGTCACAACAAAATGCCTGGGCACCTTCATGTTTTTTGTCATATGCCCCACAAGGTTCAGCAACTGAGCCAAGAAAACAAGAATCAAGAAATTGTACGAACCAATTGACATAAATGAAATCCATAAAATCCCTCCAAGTACATGTGAAGTACATGTAGGCTACATGTAAGAATCAAAATGTCAACTCATTTTTCAAAGGACAATTACTTAGGAAATACAACACCAAAGTTCAGACCTTGTCTAACTGCTTAAGCGCGACTAAACTTCTATTCAATTAAGTATTCTGTTACCCCTTTCCCAAATGAAATCCTACTATTGAACAAGAGATTACCACTTTCCCAAACACAATCCTTCTATTGAATAAGGCATTACCTTTTTCCCACATGAATCCTTCAACTGAGAATGGTATTACCATTTTCCCACACGAATCCTTCAACTAAGAATGGTATTACTATTTTCCCACATGAATCTTTCTACTGAACAAGGTATACCACCTTTCAATTAGGAATCAATCTATTGATTGAGAGGTCATACATTTTGAAATCTTCTAGAATTTACTAAGACTTTTTGTCTTTTAAGTGTCTTGCATAAAGCTAGAATACATGTGCATTGTGAATGAATGGGTGTACTAACACTGTAGTTCCTAAAGCTTGATATGATAAAAACAGATGTTTATAATCCGATGCAGCTTATTGGACACAGATGTTGAATGGAATAAACATGACAAGCAATTCCCATGGGATAGAAAAAGCTTTAACATAAGCCTTGGAATCTATTAACAAACTTCGCAAAGCCCCTTGGCATAAGCCCATTGGCATTAACTGCGGGACAGTTTAAAGCCCCTTCGCATTAACTGTGGGACAATTCAAAGCCTCTGAACATTCAATGTAGGACAGTTCAAAGCCCCTTGGCATTCACTGCGGGACAGTTTAAAGCCCCTTGGCATTAACTGCGGGACAGTTTAAAGCCCCTTCGCATTAACTGTATAGGACAATTCAAAGCCTCTGAACATTCAATGTAGGACAGTTCAAAGCCCATTGGCATTCACTGCGGGACAGTTTAAAGCCCCTTGGCATTCACTGCGGGACAGTTTAAAGCCCCTTGGCATTAACTGTGGGACAATTCAAAGCCCCTTAACATTCAATGTAGGACAGTTCAAAGCCCCTTGGGATTCACTGCGAGACAGTCCAAAGCCACTTGGCATTCACTGCGAGACAGTTTAAAGCCCCTAAGCATTCACTGTGGGACAATTCAAAGCCTCTGAACATTCAATGTAGGACAGTTCAAAGCTCCTTGGCATTCACTGCGGGACAGTTCAAAGCCCATTGGTATTAACTGCGGGACAGTTCAAAGCCCCTTCGCATTAACTGTGGGACAATTCAAAGCCCCTTAACATTCAATGTAGGACAGTTCAAAGCCCCTTGGGATTCACTGCGAGACAGTCCAAAGCCCCTTGGCATTCACTGCGGGACAGTTTAAAGCCCCTTAGCATTCACTGTGGGACAATTCAAAGCCTCTTAACATTCAATGTAGGACAGTTCAAAGCCCCTTGGCATTAAATGGGGGACAGTTCAAAGCCCCTTCGCATTAACTGTGGGACAATTCAAAGCCCCTTAACATTCAATGTAGGACAGTTCAAAGCCCCTTTGCATTCAATGTAGGACAGTTCAAAGCCCCTTGGCATTAAATGGGGGACAGTTCACTTACGGCTGTTAAACTTCGTATAAGAGAATTAGTTGGATCTGCTCTTGTATCCAGCCAAATCTTGGTAAATACTCCAAGGTGGATATTCATAGCCCTATGACTACAATATAAGATAAGATGAAGAGACTGTATGTCTACTGTAACCCTATGTACTGTGGTCATCAAATGAACCCTTCATCAACAACCTACCCTCAAGACATCCACGCATCACAACATATAAGTGATTCTTTCATGATTCACTTTGACGACTTCTGTGGAATGAAATGGTAATTAATGACTAATTTGAGATGTAGATCCAGATAACATTGTCAATCTATTAAAAAAATTTCCTTGAGATCTAAAAGATTCACAACTACAGCGTAGTAATCTCTTTCCTCCCCTGACTTAATGGAGTATACTGTGTAAGGTAAAAGTCCCCGGGCTAAAGTCTGTAGTTTTATATTCCATTAGCTACAATCAAGCTTAGAATCATGTAAAGGCTCGTATGGCAGACCCCTCCACCTCAATTACAAGAAGAACTTCATATCAATACAAGTACATGCTAGATAATGCAAGATAAACAGTATGGTATGGATATATGTAGCAGATGTAGGAAGGAGCAGTCCATGCTATTATCAATCTAAATGGAGGTTTCATCGAGAAGAGTCCTATAAACATTATAGGGGAATAAATGTGTAATAAGATGTACCAGTCCTTTTCTGGGTTTGAAATTACATTTTTGTATTGCATTGAAGAGTTAAATTTCAATTATATAAATGGTGTAAATAAGGAGGCTGGTGAGACTGTATAATTTGAGACATCTCTTTAAGGAGAATTAGGGAGAAGTACAGTGCATTTAATAGAGAGAATATGGTATATTGGTCGCACCAAATAAATAATATATTAAATTTGACATTGTTTTTCAGAGCCAGAAAGGAACTGATTTACTAAAGGTTGATTAAACACATCTAACAGTCCTTGCAGGGTTTGTGGGGCTATCCATCAGGACTTACAGTTGCGTATGGCACTAAACCCTCCGTCCCAGGGTCCTTGCTATAATCGGACTGAGTCCACAATAAGCGGTAATAATTTACAAACAGATTGTTGATCCTCGTCCTAAATGTGAAATCAAAATCATGTAAGTTATTTATAAATACACAGATACACATATAAATGTACAGGGGATTAATCTTAACAGCCTGTAAGCAAAATACATGGACTGTATACTGACTCACTCCATTTCTAGCAGGGTTTAACTCATCAACCTTCAACTCTCTAAAACATATCTATCTTAAACTAAATAAAAAAAATAATAAAAAAACTCATAATTGTTTAATACAGTAACATACCACAAAATCTTCAGACTTGAAGAACCATTTATGTGGTATGTAAATGTGGCTAATAATGCTCTATTATATAGCTATGTACTTTTCTATGAAAAAAGTGTATAGATTCAACATACCGTGGTAGGTTATGCAGCGGTACCATTCTGAAGCAGGCCATGACGGCCTTCTTCCTCTGTGTAGACACCAGCTTCTTCCACATGGCCTTCTGGGAATGTGGCGGGTGCTCCACCTACAATTATACCATATAAAGTCATTAATATAAGAACATGCCGTAAACCACATACATGGCATACAGTAAAACCTGTGATTTTGGAATTCCTTTGGTGCCTCAAAATAGTGTAACATTAGAAGATGTTCCACAAGTTGAATTTTATTTAAAGTTAAAGAGTAACAGGACTCAGTTTGTTGTAGAGGTGTTCAACCAACATAGGATTTCCAGTTTACAGGTTTAACTGTATATGCATATCACAGCGCTTGAAAATTACAAAGGCCCCATGTCAACGAAAATCATTTCTCCGAAGTTGGGAAGGTCAATGTATACCATAATTAATTCGGGTATTATTGTTACTAATTTGTATAATGGACTTTATGCCCATATTTGGGTTGCTAATTTGGATCGAGGACTTCATGTCCATTTTTGGTATGGGATATTTACTAAATACTTTCAGTGACACAGATTTACTACAAGTGTATGATTACCTATTCAAGTTTTTGTACTTTTGCGTCTATTTTTAGGGAAGATTTATCATGGGAAATCTCAGCCAAGTTAGTTAAATCAGGGATTTAGAACACATGGTATTTCAAAAACATTAACCAAACATACATACATTCTCTGGGGCACTTCATTAAACTTTCATTTTATGAATCAATTAGTTCATGGATAATTAAACAAATACAATTGGGAATTGTGAAATACAAATAGAAATTTTCTTATCAATAGATTTGCAATTAATTAGTCAAGTGAGGGACCAATCGCCAGGTACTTCATTAAATTTTTATTTCAATAATAAATTAGTTCATGGATAATAAATAACAAATACAAATCATGAAATACAAATGGGAATCATTATTTGCAAATAGAGAAGGTTACCTGATTTAGTAATCCAGGATTGACGAAAAAAAGTGAAATGTTTTGATTTTTTTTGAATTTCTACTGAAATATATCATAAAATAACTCGTGGATCATGCTTTTAAAAAGATTTAATGATAGCATATAGAGGATATTTTTCATTCTACACATACCTCAAGCACCTTAACAACAGAAGTATAGTGGTTCAAAAATTTTGACAATAGAAATATTTATTCATTAAACCACTTTCAATATAAATAAGATAGACAGAAAAAATAAAAGTGTTTTTATCATTTATAAATTAACTAACTAATCAATGTATGTTTTCATTTCCAATCACCAGATATTACATAAGTTTAGTTTTGGTTACATTGATAGAGAAAGGGGCAAAGTTATGCAATTTGTATATTTGTTCTATATATCTTGATCCCAGTGATTGAAATTTATTTTAATCAATTCTAAGTTGATTGATGGTCACTTACACAATGTAGTCCATAGAGAGTCTTGGCCATAGAAAGCACCCTCTCAACAACTTGGTCTAGAGTCAGTTCCGGGGCATTGTCATGTTTTGATTGGCCGATCTTCTTGTACAACACCTGCTGCCATCTTTGTTTCTCATCACTCTGCGGCTGCAATGACAATGCCAATTTATTTTAAAACCTCCACCCATTGGCTAATAGGTATACAGGGTGATCCAGAATTAATGTAAAAGATATTGCCATTTCAATACTACTGCCCCAATCATTTTGAAACTCGGTACAGATGTTTCCTAAACATTATAATATAATTCTGGATCACCACTACATTTACTAAACAATAAATTCGTAAAGTGATATAAATTTGAGTCTTCAAGTACCTTTTTGTTTTCTTTACATTTGATTTTTGTTTATCTGAACAACCATAAACAAATAAACACATCAAAATAACAGAAAAGGTAATCTTATTTTTACAGTTATACATGTATATATGTTTAGTAAGCAATTGCTCCTACCTTTTCATCTGCTGTGAGAGCGATCTTCAAATATTCCTCGATGTCAATATCCGACTCCTTCTAAAACATGGAACAGTTAGAGGGTGCCCCGTAAATATACGTTAGTTCAAACAAAACACAAGCCATGCCCTTAAACCAGCCACTGAGCCAACCAACCTGACACCCCTTTAGTCATCCACTTTAGGCAATTCCATTATTCTGATTGCTTGAGATGGGTTTGTTATAGGGGTGTGAGGTGAGAATTACATTTGGTACCCTGTATTGTTTATGAATATTCTCACTTTTGTGAAATTTTTGTCTAAACAGGATATCAAATGAAAACTCGTAAAACGCAACACAGACAACAAATAAATAGCCCAAGCCCCATACAAGATGATTTCCTGCAATTTATGTGTATAATTTAAATTTTCATATGTCTAAATTCATATGATTATATTCAAAATTCATATGCTTCTAGTAATCACAAAGACCAATCAAGTTCCATCCCTCTTGTACAAGTATAAGTCCATGATTTGATATTTGATCAAAAAGTAAATATTTGATTGGCAGTTATATTTGGGAAATGTTTAGAAGTATTGAAATTGCAATATCATACTGATAGCAAAGTTATCTATTCACAAATGGTATATTGAAAAATGTGCGAGTAACTTAAATACTCTTTATGAATTTGAAACCTCATCTTTGTACTATACCTGTAAATAATTATGTTAAACTGAAATAAATTTTATCAAAAAACAACAAAAAAACTTCTGAACCAATCATCTTAAAACATGGTACAGATATTCCCCAAAATTACTGAGTTACAACGTCCAGATCACTGATTCAACTATTTGATTGATGGATACCATGGTTGCTATAGTAACCCAATGTGACATCCCAGGGGCAATATATGGAAATATCTTTGATCTTACTACAGAACATTCCTCATACGCTATATTATAACGGTAATGTTATTCTATTTTATATTCAAAGCCCTATTTATTTGTTGTCTGTGTATAAGAGAATCTATCTGCTAATAAATGTGCATGATATGATAATAACTAAGTGTCAAGGTCGAGGCATGTCTATATGAGGAGGGAAGCAAGCTCATCTTGCATTACACAAGAGACATATAAAACACCAAATCTTTTGATTCAACCATTCAAACAACTCTGTTAGACCCATCCTCCGAACACAGGCCTCCAGAACTCGCACCTCCTTCTTCTTGGAAGAAGGAACGAACTCTGTGGATGATGATGTCTGGAACCCTGCGTTCGGAGGATGGTTAGACCCTGCTAGAGGGTGGGTAATGTTTGAGAAATACATGTCGAATTGAGCAAAAGAAGGGGCACTATTAGTTTACAGATTAAAAGCTACTAAAAGGTTCAATCAGATTTGAAACATCCCTAGATTTTGTAATCAGAAGTGTTTAGATGGTTGCATCAAAAGGTACAGTGTACATATAATGTATGTAAGTATATCTGGCTAGTTGAGTAAAGCTGCTGGAAAATGCTGCTGTTAAAACCCCACAACCTTTCTTTTTAGGGCACTGTAGATTGTAATTGCCACTTGCTAAAACAAATCAAAATTGAGTATTTGTCTACATATTTTAACAAAGATTGGAGCAAGGAAAGCTATCTCCCATGATGCAATACAAAAATATATGCAACAAATTCTACCAGATTACACCAAATGTAAACGAGAGAAAAACCAGAGACGATCTGTCATGCGGAGTTTAACTTTGGGCAAATAACTTATTTTTGACATTTAAAAAGAAAATATATGTTTTTAAATCACGGTGTTTGCCAATATGCTTATATCATCCAATTGATATCAATATACAGGAAAACCTGTATATAGTGAACATGTGTGGAGCCACAAAAAATGTACATTGTAGGTAGGTGTTGAAGGCACTACATGGAGGTGATTTTATACAGGAATCAAAGTAAAGTGTGTCTTGAAGTGGTGTTCACTTAACACAGGTGTTCCCCAAGGAGGGGTGTTCACTAAGACAGGTTTTACTGTACAACAAAGAAACATTATTCTAACTGAGCACTTTCATTGCATCCAATTTAAGGTGAATGCATTAACAGGTGACAAATATACCTGCCACACAGTACATGTCAGTAAAGGGTGTTTGCCTACAATCAAACGTGATCACAAAGAAAAACAAAACAAATTACATATCAGGAACATATACCAAATAACAAAATATGTAACATTACACAACAAAATAATTTTCAAAGGATTGATATCATAATGCAAACATGAGTAATTACAATATTTTGCCCAATAAGTCCCAACATGCATGCTAATTTTTTGACAAGATGTTTGTTTATATATCTAAAATCTGAATCACATGTGGAGTACAAGCTGCTACAGAAAAGATACTTTACATTAATAGTCTTATTATAATAATCAACTTCCTCTTTTAAATAGCAGGCTGCCACAATCAATTTTCTTGCAGATATAATAAACATTCATTAAATCAAATTCAAATTCCAAAATTCCAGATAAATCAAACAAGGCGATGCATACATATTCGCAACTACATTTATGTTCAAACACATTTGCATTTATGCTAAATATTTTCTTGAAATATGACATTAATTGATGTTCAATACAAACAGTCTCTCAAGTTTAATACTTCAATACAATGTGATTAGATATTTAAGCAATCTTTTCAGTACAAATTTCTGATTTTGAATTTAGCCATATTAATTTCAGAATCTATATCCTCTGTTGAAAAATCTAGAGGACCTATATCCTCCATTGAAATATCTAGAGAATCTGTATCCTCTGTTGATATATCTGAGAATGATCACAGTACCTCCATGTACTTCTGCTTGGCTTCTTGTACAAGCTCTTGCTCCCTTCCGCCAAACAGATTCAGGCCAATCGGGAGCAACCGCTTCAGGCATGCCACATTCAAACTGAAATTATATGTGATATGAATGACTAATTGGCAAAAACTTGAAGATTAAACCACACTCTACTATACCTTGCATTTGGTGTTCATGAGCAACCCATTTGGCTTATTAGTATTGATTATGTATTTGTTTTTATTAGTCTGTTCCTTATTAATGGTTTATCGGTTGAATGTTAGATGTTGATAAGGTACTTTCAAAAATATACTAAACAATACAATTAGACAAACAAAGTATCTTATGCATTTCTAGGTGTTAGATATAGTAGTGTGACCTTTTTTTCGTTTGTCTAATTGAGAATGAATACTAGTTTTTTTATATTCTTAACATTCGCAACATAAGAGACATACTATACTAGTATTAATACAGACCTGTTATTGAAGTCCTTATTTTTCTTTTTGATTTTCAGTTTAGTCTTGCTGTCTTCAGACTTCTTCGTGGCAGATGAAGTGGCAGATGAGACCCCACTACTGGGCATGATCAGTGCCATGTTGTCGATCTCATTGGCAGATATAAAGTTCTGCTCCTCCCTTTTAAATATCTAAAAACAGACACAATATAAGTTGTTTATTTCATCATGTAAATGCAACTGTGTTACATGCATATAGGGCCCTGATGAAAAGTACTTAAGACCAACTTTTAAAGAACTTACAAACCTTTTCATTATAGCATTTTCATTCTTGTATACCACCAAAAGCAAAAATCCTCAAAACAGATCACTGACTTGAAATAAAAAAAATCATGCTTAGGACACCTACCTAAATAGATTTAACTCAAAGATTGAATGCAAAAAACTCAAAGTTCACTTACAGTAGATTTTGACCAAAGGTTGAAGATATCTGCAATGTTCTGGAAGAGGTGCTCAGCCTCCAGACAGGGGTTCTTCAACCATGATGACCTGTGCAGGTCAACATATTTGATCAGCAGTGGGATGAAGGCATACAAATCCCTCACTAGGATCTGGTAGTTCTGTAATAAGAATACCCAAATGCAATAATAACACAAGGCATTAACATGTAAAATGTCACCACCTGCCATTAGTTACAGATGCCAACTGCAGAACAACAATCGCCTAACAGCATCCACAAAGTTCAAGATTATAACATTGTCACCACTTCTGGTGGTGACATAACAAGCTTTTTTAAATTCAGTGCAACCATGCATAGGGCCTTATATTTACATGTTATGTAAGTGAGCTATACAGCAGTCAGGCCTGTAAAGCTGGTCTACTTTTCCAATGACTCCAAGGTATGTAATACATAGTGATACTAGAAGGTTGGCATCATACACATTGAGGGAGTTACATTTCACTAATACATGTATAGTTGAGTGAATCAACAAAATGAATCTTACATTCTGAAGGTCTGCTTCACTCTCAGGTTCTTCCTGTCCCGTCCTCTTCAAATGCAGGAAGTGGTCCTCTTCTTTGCCTACACGGATCGCCTCTTCTCGTAACTTCTCCGCCACAGGCAGGATGTGCTCTTTCAGCATAGCTGTTGTAGAGTTACCAATGATTGGCTGAGTGCGTGCTAAAATATAGGGTAATCCTTAATTGAGCTTCAACATATCTTGTAACCAATGATGTGCAAAAAGAGAGTGGCATTATTAGTAGTATTTAAGGGGCGGGGTCAAAATATCAATGTTCATATGGAGACGAAAGTAATTTCGTTTGGACAACAACCCCCCCACCCCCCCTCTAGACGAAAGCTTAGGTCACTTCAAAAAAACATTGATTAATAATCGTATCCTATTTGCCGGGTTATTATTACGGTGAATTAACACACATTCGCAATTTAACTGCATTGAACTCTTCAAAAGGAGGAGGGAAAAGTACGGAATTTATTTGAAAAATGATCGAATTATCGTCTTTATCTACCGATATTTTGGACCTATCACACAAAAAAGCTCACGAACTATTGAAAACAAGCCTTTTTATCAGAACATAGCGCCAGAAAAAGTGGGTAAGTCCAATTATTTTTTGTATATCAGATCCGAATTATCGATGTTTTTTTGGTCAACGAAAGTGCCCCAAAACCCCCTCCCCCCTCGCGAAAGTACTTTCGTCTCCATATGAACATCGATATTTTGACCCCGCCCCTAACATATTAATCTTGTAGAATCATCAATGATTGACTGGGTATGTGCTAAAATATAGGGCAACATTATAATAAGCAGTATTCAACATGTCTTGGAGAGTTACAAATGATTGGCTGAGTACTTGCTAAAAGATTGTGTAGCATTATAATTGGCACTCAAAGTCTTTATGACAAGATTTAATTTTCATATGATCAGCAAAAAGCATCTCACTTAAAAACAAGAAGTCTTGTTCAAAGATTATCAAACTAAAAATTTCAATTATAAAATGAACTTTAATTAGATGAGAAGATATGATCTTACTTGCAATTCTGTTCATCCAAGGAGCATTTGGAGTTCCAATGTTGTTTTTGATTAGCTTGAGAACATTGCCTAGTACAGTGTTCATCAGGTCAGCTGTCACTGTTGTAACATGGTTCCTATAAATCAGAGAGAACAGCTAATTATAAAATAACACACATACACACTGTTTGGTCAATACAAATTTCTGGAACTTCTAGTAAGTAATATTTCAATATTATCTTGAACCATAATTGTTTCATAAAAATAATTGCAAAAATGTGGTACAAAGTGTACCAAGCAACCTATTTTTCAAAACCAAATGTATGTTTTATTTTATTGTTGATATGAAGACAGAAATATTATGGTTCCTACCCATCGTTAGCAGTTACACTGTCGGGTCCCTGTTGCCACCAGAAGGGAAGGTAGCTACACAGCATGGGCAGAGTCACTTCAATGACGTGTGGAGCCTCATTGTACTTGCCCCCTGACTCTGCCAGGTCTGCTATTTCAGCTACAATGTTGTCCAATGAGGGCAGGTGCTCTGCTAGGTGGTTCATCACCTCTGGAATAATAATGCAAAGGTTAGGGGGATTGTAAATAAGGGTCTTGTCTGAATTTTTTCAAATTTGTTGGAGGGAACTAAACCTTGGTAGGAGAAGTATGTTCTATCCTAATATTACAAGTAGGGTTTAACAATTAATAAAAAATGGCATGTCCTAATTTTGTCCACTTTTGTTCTCAGCAAACTGAAATTAATTCTGTCTTATAAATATTTTGACAACCACTGTAAATTAATCCAGTTGGTTAAGGCAATGAACCATAAAGAACCCGTGTCAATATCATGTGTTTGTACAACTATATCTCAAGATCTTAAGCCTATCTGAGGCTTTTAAAACCCTTTAATATTGGAAATGCATTTCAATATTGGTTATAGGAAGAATCCCCATGGGTTTACCAACCTTGCGCCTCAAGTGAGAACTCAGCAATCTTCTCATCAGAGATTCCATAGAGAATGGAGTGTTTATTGTACTTGTTTAGATTGCTCTCCAGGAATGCTACAGGGAAGGCACTTGCAAAAGATGCAACACATTCCCCAAGTGCTGGTCGATGCCTAAAATAATGGCATACGGTTTATTAAAATATGTACAAATGTATACTCATTAATCTACACAACTTGTAAATCTAACCAATATGGTGAGAGTGACACTATGTGACTATGTACCATGTATGTACAGGTGTGAATGGGAAAAATACTATCAAAAAGCGATACAAGTGATGTGTTTTTAGTAAGAAACCTGCATAGTTTTATTCAAATTTATACAGTGCTTGTTATGTTAAGTAAATGAAAAAATTATAAGGTGTGATTCACAATATGTTTGATTTAGTTTGGTACAATTGCAGGGAATTTGGCTTATTAGTGGTGTAGAAAAACATTGCAGAAGTAAGACTTTGCACAAATATCAAAATATTCTGGGGAAATACTTATGTTTTGTTTTATAACATGCAGGTTTGGGCATTTGATTGAATGTGTCAGTAAGTTTGTTGGTATTATGTTTTCAAAAATGTATCTTAAAAAGAGATTAATATAAACCTTCACACTGCAAAACATTCCAAAACCATGCATTAATTGAACATGTGTAGAAGTGACTGATCTGAATTCAAAAACGCAGAGCACATAATTTTGGGAAAAACTGAACTGGCATCTTTATAGTAACTGTACATAAGGCCATAAAAGCAAATGAGACAATAGGCCAATCAAATAATTTAATTTTTCCTTTCCTGAGATGAACACAATCACTAGCAGAAATAGCAGAATTCACAAGATTATACTCCGATGGATACTGATAGAATAAGTACAACATAAACCAAACTGTTTACTGATAAACTTCATGACAATGAAAGGAAAAAAATGTTGTCAGCCAACAAATACAGTAACAGGCCGTTTGATAAATGATGATAAAAATGTGTTGCCCGAGGAAAAGAAAACCTTTTAGATTAAATAAATTATAATAACAATTTAAAATACAACTAAATACTACAAAAATGTAAGTACAAAATCCTAATCACACCCTCTACCCAAGTTAAAAAATACTTAACGGCAAGTTTTGGCAAGTTTGATCATAGTTTATAAGTGCCTCCTACATGTACAACTCAAATTAAACGCCACAAAGTGCTATTAGTGATAATTTAAAACATGCAGCTAAGAATTATTTTGGAAACATTTTAATTTATAGTTTATTGAAATCTAAATTGAGTAACTGAATAAATTAATTAAGTGAATGATCAAAAACTTCAAAATTGAGCATATTCTAGACTATTTTGGCTAAAACTGCCCCTATGTGTTGTGTATTTTTATGTATTCAAGTTGATTTATCAAAAGATAAATGAAAACTTGCTCCAAATTCATCAACAATAAGAAAGATTGAAAACTAAAACATACAAATAAACTAATAGTCTAGAAAATGCAAGCCATTAATACCAGCTATCTTGATTAAATTATAGCTGGAGTTTATGGAAGGGTTTGAATGCTTAAACTTGGGTGAACTAAATACCTGTCCAGTTCTTTGTGAATACTTTCCCTATATATAACACAGAAAATATAATTACAGCTAATATCACTTGCATGTTCATCTCATCAATTGATCAGGTGAAGAGTTTTCACATACTACTATGTATTTGTCAAAAGGTATGTTAAGGAAATGCATATGATATGTCAATTTTGATGGATTAAAAGAAAAGATCAAACAAAAGTATATTTCAGATTGAAATTGAGTTATCATAGGATTAAGAAAAGATTAGACTTGCTCATAGAATTTGTATCAAGTGATTGAGTTAAATAATTAATAACTACATGTACTTGTAAATCGACAGTTTCCTCAAGGCTAAAATACATATAAATATCAACGTTACATGTTTGTCAATACTAAAAGGGGTGAGTTACTTACCGTTGTACAAACACAGAGCTGTTGGTTCCAAGGGTATAGAGAGCATTTAAGATTTTGTAGCAAGCTAGCTGGAGGTCTTCAACTAAAATAAAATAAAATGTCAACAATAAATTGATGTGATGTGATTTCTCGAGTCAAAAAGAGAATGTACATTCTGATACTCAGATCATCTCTGCCTTGCTAAGAGGGATCTAAGAACAGTATTGAGAGAAGCCTGGAGTCTCTTAAAATGCATTATGTACAAGTGTTTGCATTTTTCATTGTGAATTGGTGGCATGACACTGTGGCATTAAGGATATGTTTTAGCTGATTTACTATTACAGAAACTTGAGTTTTGTATTTAGTACATTAGAGGTGACCACATATTTTAGATTAATGTAGTACTTTTCTTCTAGCCACAAAAATAAGGATTCTACATCTCTATGATAACATAACAGAGGATTATTGAGATATGAATTCCAGTTTTATTTATTTGCCACAGAATAATTAAATATTAAGCTTCATCAAGTATCTTAACAGACCAGACAATTTACAGACCAAAGGCTGTGATTTTGACACGTCTTACTTGAATAAATATATGAATTTCAAAATAAATCTCAAAATCTTACTTAATAGGTCAGAACCATAGTTGTTCTTTCCCAAGTGGTCAAAGAATGAAGAAAGCACTGGCAGAAGTACCATGTGAACATAGTCCACACTGGTAGCACCGCGTGTGATAGTGCCCTTCACGTGACTAAATCGACCAATCTGGAGATTGTGAACAGTCTGGAGGAGGTCATCTGCTGCATTGTGGAAGAATGGATGGATGGAAGAACGCACTATTTCGGGACTGTTCTTTGTTATTGCCCTAAAATGAAACACAAGTATTAAACACAAGTTAAAAGTCAAATCAAATTCAGCACAAAATGTACTAAAGCTATGGAAAATGAAGAAGAAGTGAGCTTTCATATATTTATCATTTCTCCTTTGCTCAAAAATTATTTTATTACCTTGCATCAATGGCTTGCACCAAACACTGCAGACATCTTACAGAGATATCCACATCATGACCAAAGGCTGTGATCTTCTGTCTTAACAGACCAGACAATTTACAAAACAAACTGAAAAAAAGAATGTAGAGTAAAGAAAGATAAAAAATGGAAGAAACAACAAGTAACAGATAGTGCGATACAACTGGATCAAAATGTTGTGGAGATGAAAATGGATTTGATCCTTAATAATGTATATCACAACAAATCAATGGTATTGTCCAGTGACTATATCAGCATACTGTAATGCAATGAAATCTGTTTTTCCTGATACTCAAAATATCATTGTGTGCTGAAGAAAATATGCACCTAGCTGTCATTTCTTTCTCTTTCACAGAAGCAGAGCCATAAGATGTCTGTGGCGCCATCTGGGATGATGTGAAATAACCACGATGGGCTTGGAAATATCTCTCCACCAAAGGTAGGACAACCTGAAATATATGAAAGGTCATGATATATACATTCTATATGCACCAGAATCAGCAGTGCTTAAATGAAATGGCTGATAATCCTTAGCCAGCGGGTCTGATTCATGAAATTTGTATTTGTATATTACAACGAACATAATTTGAATGCCTATAAGACTGGAAAACGTTTTTTGAATTGGTAGGCGTTCATATTACAAGGTTCTTTAAAGTGAAAGTGTAGTGACAGATTAAAAAAATGGGTACAGAAAGCAGTAATAATTATCTCTCATAGTTTCATCTAATTCTGCTTACCTTTCCAAAGAATTTCACATCCTCAGTGGCAGTTGAGTAACTTTCACGCCTGCTGTAGCGAGAACTTGGTCTGTCCTGTGTCATATTATATGCTGCCTTATCGACATACTCCAGCAGCTTTTCCAACAAACTGTACGCAAATCTTTTCTCCGTGGAGGAGACGCCTACGCCACTGTCGGCCTCAGAGTCTTTGCTCTGTCTAGAAGTGGTCTCACGTTTAGCATGTGCGTTAATGTCATCATTGCTGTATTAAGTTGGCAGAAGAAGGAAAGAAGAAAGAACAGATAGTAAGCCAGGAGAATCCCATAAATGAAAAACAAGCAGTTTTAAATAGCTATTCTATAAACGGTAACTTGTGGTTTTCATACATTAATTTTTAAAACATTTTGTAAATGAAATAGGTATATTTGTCCAGTCTTGAAAATCATTACTTTTCTTATAGTATCTTTTCCTCATATTTATTTGTTCTGTTTGTTCATCAATAACTTATTTTAATTTCTGTCAAAATTGTTACATAAATAGGAAATAAAATACCATTGAAATAAGAATAAGCATGGAAGGAGGTCCTGTATCACCATTCAATTTCCGTAATATCATGCCACAGTTCAAAAACACCAGTTCATGCATTTTTATTAGTTCGTGGAACACAAAACAGTCCAATCTTCTATATTTCAAATAAAACTGTATTATTTCAATTTTGACATTTTAGAGATCATTTTAACATAGCAAGAGTGTCGGAAGTAAATATTTGTATATCCCACACTACGATATTACATGGTTCTACAAAATAGAAAGCCAGATCGAATTCAAGAAAAAGACTGAGAGTAGTTTGCATGAAAGCATACTGGGGATTTGTTAAAGAGAAACCAGAAACATAGAAGTAGAAGCAAGTAAGAGAGAATGAAGAGGTTACAGAGTAAAGCAATACCAACATACAGCACATGAAATGGGTAAACACAAAATATGATTCAAAAATGGATCATTTGGTTCTTTTTTAGGAAGTACGGTGATAAACTAGTTTCAGAAATTAAAAAGAATCAAATCATTCATTTATCTAAATGAAATCGAGTCAATGTAGCACAATCATATATATTACCATAATCAGGAATGTTAAACTGATAGATATACAAGATCATGACTACTATATAAAAAATTGTGGGTTTAAGTACATTGCTACTTAAAAAAGACACTTTGAGCTGTCTCATTGCCCTTATGAATAATGAACTATCAGTTTAACAGCTTTAAATAATGTTACAGATAACACATGTATTACGATGAGTTACCATAAAATACATATTACAAATATTTTATTACCAGTAACAGGTGATGTCCATGCTTAAATTCAGGAACATTCATTGTTGCCAGATTAAGCATGAAGAGTAGAGGAAAATAACTTCTAAATCAAAGATAACATACATAAAGCATTCTCTCACATTTTAATTTGCACATTTAAGTTTTGTATGGATGAAATACTTTAGTTATGTTATATGTTGTGTTTTGTTATTAACCATCTACTGTCGCATTATCATGGTCAATCAGGGGTGCAACAACGTTTTTCACAAATACCTAGATGTTTTTCCGGACTTTTCCTAAGAGACTATTATATGTTTTTCTCATATCACGTATCTTTTCAATTTGAGGTCTCATGTTTTTTCCAAAGGTTCTTGGATTTTCTTTGAATTCTAAAATTTTCTGACATTTTTGAGTCAGAAAAGGGTCAATGGATTAGATGAAATTGGTAACAGATCAAGGCTTGCTCATTAAGGGCAGTACAAACTTCCCACTGACCCATTGACCCAAAATTCCCCCAACCCATATCCATCCAACCTTTAGTATTCCTCTCTAGACCAATCATCTTCAACATACAGGGTTACCCAAAAATCCAAACCCACAAATCTTTGAATAAAGGGAAATGGTTTGGTCACCCTGTACCATGATAGTGCAACAACCTATTATGGTAATATTGGGATGGATGCTTTTTGTTATTTGGAGTTTGATTTTGCAGTACAATACCTTGCACCAGGCCTAGTACTTGTACTACCTGGTATCGCTGGGATACCAGCATCATAACTATCAATAACGCTAAAAAACAACATTGCACGATAAACACTATACTATCTAATCATTATAAACATTTCCTTTAACAAATATTAAATACTATGAGTATGGTACATACAACCGATGACATGCGTTTTACTCAATCTTTTATCTAAACATGCTACACGTATCAATATCAATTCCACCCAGCTCTTGAGTTAAAAATGGCCATCACTCTTGCCGAGGTGATGTAAGTGCGTTTCAAAAACCAAATGCACTTCTGGATAAGTGCGTTTCAAAAACCAAATGCACTTCTGGAAATTCCTTTCATTCAGAAGGACAATGAAATAAGATCTTGATATTTCATGTGATTGTACATGAATACATAATGTGGCAAGAGGTTCATGACCAATCATTAGTAATTTACTATAGAACAGACAATACCTGTGAAGTCGATAGTTATTCAGTTGCAGAAATCTAAGTAGTTCTTGCGCTCGTTCGCGATCTTTTTTCTTTTCCTTGTCTGTAAGTATATCATAAGGCACCAACTGAGGGTGAACTCCCCCTCCGACAATCTCGAGTTCAATCTTCTTCTTCTTGGCCCAGTTGTCGTGAGTGTTCTCTGCTAGTCTCTCACTCATGTTCTAACAAGCAAATAAATATTCTGAAAAACTTTTTTGTTATCATGATTTTTAAGAAGTAAATTGAATTTCTTCCAGTTGTCCGAGACAGTTTCAACAAGGCATAAACATGCAAAATGTCACCATCATTCGTTCCAGACGCCAACCACTGATCACCAACTGCCGATCCCAAACCACCATCACAAATAACGTTTGACATTAACAATATATGTCACCACATTTTGGTGGTGACATAACAACAATTTTGCAACAACCCATCCATTCCATTCCTAAATCATAATAATAATCATCCCTCCTTTCCCTCATTTCTTACACTCAATTCATAACCTAACCTCCTCACATCATCCCCTGCTATAATCCCCCACTACAATTATACCCTCCTTACTCTCAGTACCTACCCTTCCCTCATACACTGTGCTACCACTCACCCTCACCCCTCTTCTCATCATTAAGTTCCCCTCATAACCCTCACCCCTTCCTTTCCCAAACTTCCAACCCTAAACCCTCCCCTCATCCCCTGTGCTCCCCCTTTCCCCTCACCCCTCCTACCCCCAAGCCTTACCTGCATCTCCCTTGTGAGAGTCATGTTCCTCAGGTCTGTAGGTTTGGGATTATATCCCTCAACTGTATCCTTGGAAATCGTGTTTGCACGCTTACGTTTCTGTACATCTTTATTAGCACGAGACCTGTCCTGGTCCAGAGTCCAACCCCAGGCAATCATAGTCTTCACCGACTCATAGACTGGCGATGTATAGCGGTCTGTATCCTACAATTACATTAAAACTAGATGTCAATTACAGTAAAACCTGGGTGAGTGAGACACCTTTGGTACTTCTGAATAATTTTGGGAGGTCTTCTACATGAAGAAGTTCATTTTACATTGATGTCTGACTTTTCACGCTTGGCAATGAACTGGTTTCCTATTGGACAATAGACTGAATACTGATACGTTAAATTGTGACAGTCATGTTTTCAATCTTAGTCCCGACCCTACGTAAAACTGTAAATCACGAAAATTAAAAAGCTTTATTTAATACTCACCTTTTTACCAAGAAGGTTGAATGGTTTCAGACAAGGGTGTAATTTCTTGTCTTCATCATACTGAGACCCAAACTGCCATCCAGCCTCCAATCGTTTAGCAGCCCAAGCATCGTGGAAGTGTTCAGCAAACTCTTGTACCATTGTATCCAAATGGCGGGGCAGGGATACCCTGAAATATTTCAAAATGCAGTAAAACCTGTCTAATCTAAACACCTTAGTAAATAGCTTTAGTATTCAGATTGGCACGAGATCATATCATGAGTTTTTTAACATAAATGGAAAATTAAATTGGACTAACAAAAGTGTTCACATGGAGAGGTGTTCTGATAAGAGAGGTGTTCTGATATACAGATTTAACTATACATTGTTAACAAGTGGACACCTTTCTACTAAGCAACAATCATTTCTATCAGTATTTCTAAGTAAGTCAATTCCAGTATGAAGCAAAAAGAGCACGTGGGTTATCGCAAACAATTTCAGAAGGTTGTATCTTGGATTATGCCTATTTTCTGACAATGAAGACAAGTTTATCTTTTAGATCAATTCATTATCTCTAAGAAAATTATGCACAGTAATAATAAATTCAAACAAACTCGGAGATATTTAACTAGCAATTAACCCATCAACACACTTTTTGACCCCATTTTGAAAATGTTGACCCCATTTTCACCAAAAATGCAATCATTTTTTACAATGTTTAATGCATTACTATTCTTTATTTTGATGTATCAAATAGTTCTTGAAATAAAAACTTAATTGCATTAAGATAAGTGTTCCCCATGTTATTTCTCCATTGAAAAATCTCATGCTATCCATTGGTTTCAGTTCATTTTGGTCATCCAAATTGAATATCTTTAAAGTCCCTGGAGCAATCAAATTTCCCTTTTAGGAAATCAAACATGTCTCAAAGCACATTCTAATTATGCATTCAACAATATAATAATGGGTTGCATTTTTGGTGAAAACTAGGTCAACATTTTTGAAAAAGTATGTTGATTGGTCCATTGCCCCTTCATGTCACTTAGTCTGATTAACTAAATTATCATTATATATACTTTTCTTGAAGATAATGAATGGATCTAAAAGATACACCCAATTTCATGATCAGAAAATATTCATAATTCAAGTTAGAATCGTTTGAAATTGTTTGCGATAACCTACGTGCTCCTTTCTTTATTTATTGTTATTTTATATAGGGTGACCCAACTACAGTACAATACCTTGATGTTTCAATAGGGTTAGGGTTGTAGACCCCATCAGTGTCAGAAATCTGCTGGTACCATTGCTCATCCTGATTGGTCAATGAGTAGTCAGGTGACAGAGCACAGCCAATCGCAGACAAGCAAGGAAGGGCTTTGGCAAAGAGCTCTGGATCATAAGTCTGAAAATGAATGGTCAGATTTTAAGACGTATTCAACTGACAAGTCAAGGGTCCCTTTAAAGTAAAGGTAGCCCTTAGTATTATTGACTTTCAAAAACCAAGACGAAATGCGGTAATTTCTGTTGTGTCAGTGATTGCTTTTATTCTTTCGAAGACCATGTATTACAAATGTGCAAAAAACTTAAAATCATTTTCAGGAACATTAAAATGTCAATAGCTTAACTTTGACAACGAAACACAAGAAAATGTGATATATTCTCAATCAATAAAATTAACAATTTCAGCCCATAAGGGAGGATTGAGACCATGATAATCAAGAGATGTACTTACTATTTGAGCCAATGAGTCAAATATACTGCTAAAGAGCATCATGGTTAGTCTCTTCTCTTCTTCTGTAGCTGAACCATGACCTCCAAATCCTCCAAGGCTGCCATAGTAACGACCACAACGCTCATAGTGATGAGTCAGCACCTGTTTAATAAATTTATATTTTATTATATTTTAGTATACGAGGATTGTTCAAAAAGTTCTGCACAATTTGCTATACATTGTATATATATAAAACTGATGTCATTGTCCATTAGGCATAGATTTGATCATGATTATTGTTTAACATCCAAAATATATATTTGAGTAAATAAGTAGAAGGGAGGAAAATTTGTAACTCTATGCTTTGATTTTGGAGGGCAAGGCATTTTTATCCAAAACTTATTTTCCCATAATTGGAGCAATAGCCCCATTTCTTATTTCAATTCATAACTGATATGCCTTGATATGCACATTTAATATTGACCCTAAAATGACTAATAACTAAGATTGTAACTAGATCAACAGGATAATTATTTTTGTGCATTGATTTATTGTATTTCAATCACATGATATATTTAGGTATAATTTAATAATAATAAAAAGATGAAATAAAAGGAATGTTCATAGTGTCCACCTACTCGCAATGGTACTACTGTGTTCTCATTCAGGGCTGGAACATCTACGGTCAGCTTCCTCAACAAACGGGTCATCATTGGAGGACGCAGTTGACTGAAATACATTAAACAAAAAAAACTAGATCAAGACTAGGAGCTAGCTGAAGGAAGGTTATTCAGTATTATTAGGATCTGCAGGATGGTCATTACACTAGACATTTTTTGATGCATTCAATCAATAAAATATTGGTAAAAACAGTAGTTATTCCACTTTTTATGATCCACAGAGTGCTGCCATGTTATATACCCAGTATGCCCAAAACCAAACCAAATTTTGGTAAAGTAAAGCCTGTTAAGTGGAAAACCTTTATGAGTGGATCACCTTCTTTTCAAAGTCCCATGAACAACTGACTTAATTATCAATAAACATCAGAAAGTGGAATATCTCCCACTTTTTAGAGTACCAAAAGTATTCCACTTAATACACAGGTTTTACTGTAGTAAATATTTCAAAATTTATGCCCATCCACCCGGATTTATGTCAAGACATACATTGGCATAAGAGGGCGAGAGCAGAGCTCTTTGAAAGTGTGAAATTTCAACACCTGCCATTTGTTGCAGAAACCAAATGCTGACTGCCAAATGCCAAACACCATCCACAGAAAAGTTGGAAGACTTTAACAATATATCACTTCTTCTGGTTATGACATAATGACTGTTATAAAAGGATTGATATATCTAACAATTATAATACCTAGTTAAGGCCACCAAGAAATCAGAGACAGTGTCCCTCTGTCCTTTGGTGAGAGATCTGCACTTTGAAAGACGATACACTGTATGAAGAGTGGAGTCTAGCAGCGTAGAGGCGTGATCAGCATCATCGAAGTAGAAATTATGCGTTGTGAGCAGGGGCAGAACAGAGTTGCAGAGATAGCGATTCAAGGCGAGAGCCATATCACTCTCAGACGCTGCAGCCTGAAAATTAATGAATGAGTTACATGTATTTATACTACAGGAAATCACAAATGCATAAGTAGTCAGTATTATTAATTACATAAAGAGCTTGTTAATAACAAATAAGCCTTTTTTGCAATTATCTTAAAATAAATACATTTTTGACAAGGGTTCATCTAAGAAAACAGGATAAAATTCTGTGCTAGGGGCCTATTCCAAAAGATCAGTCCATACCCCAGCAAGGACTGAACCTATGACAGACCCATAATCATAGAATAATAGTGCAACAGTCATGTTTTTTAAAGAGTTTCCAAGAATTTCCATATTGAAGCTATGGAAACACCTATCAACCAACGAAATTACCACGACGTCACCTATGACATTGTGTTTGATGGGCAAATAAAAAATTATCCTTTTTATCACGTTGCATTGTGGGAAATATTTATGTTAATGACCAGTAATTTCCTATCAGGAATAGGACTATTAAATCTTACTGTATCAAGAGTAGTTGCAGCTCTGAGGTCGGGCAAGAAGCAGTTCTCTAGAAGCCTGAAGAATGTCAGCTGGTCCTCTATTCCATATACTCTCTCCAAAAATAGCACTATTGCAGCCTTGTGAATGGGCAGGAGGCCTGGTGGTAGGTCCTCTTTGGTGGCCTCATTCTCAGCTGAAACATCACAATTAATACACATATAAGGTCAGGCCCATAGCCAGGATTTCTCAAGGGGTCACTTTTAAAAAATTCCAGGGAAGTTCACTTGGGACAGCTTTGGCCAAAGATGGCCAAAATCACTTGAATAGTGCTCAGAATGGTGACAAACTGCATGATTTTGAAAGAATTTTTGGCCAGGGAGTTCGAGTGATCCCAAAACCCCCCTGGCTATGGGCCTAAAGGTCATTGTCTATATCTTTCATTGATTCTTAATTATGAAAGTCTTCCTGACATGTGGATCACTATACAGGTTTTTACATGCAGCTTGAACAGTATATAATAAAGGTACATCAATTAATATGGCCAACTGAAGGTATGCACTACAGTGGGATTTAGTCTATGACAGATCAATAGACCAGTTCTGATTAAGAAAATATATTGGTGCTTTTTTGTGGTAGCAAATAAACAAACGTTTGGGTAAAATAAAATTGGATAATGCTTAATCCGCTAATAATTGCAAATGCTCCAATCATTTATTTTGATTTTATTAATTGTTGTTTCCCTTTTCCATTTAATATTCTTTTTCTAAAATAATTCTACAGTCTCAAATGCAAATGAGGTTTTGATGATATCTGCAATGTGTGATTGAAACGCTGCTGAATCATTATTTTCATGTTGGGTTCTGCATGGATAATGAGAGATAAAATTGGTGTTAAGAAATCTCAAACAGTATGTGCTGAGCATGCAAGATGATATGGCATTCTATATATGAACATACATTTGTATGAACATACATTTATATGAATATACATTATATATGAACACACATTTATATGATCATACATTATATGAACATACATTTATATGAACATATCTTATACATGAACGCACATTTATATGAACATACATTATATGAACATACATTATATATGAACATACATAAATATGAACATACATTATATATGAACATATGCTTATATTGGAACATATATTATATGAACATACATTTATATGAACATACATTTCTATGAAAATATGCTTATATATGAACATTCATTTAATATAGGAACCTATATTATATACCTATGAACATACATATATATGAACTTATGTTTTTAGTAAAGGCCTGGGAATATGTATGGGTGTTAGACTATTTGCTGGGGGACATTTGCACACAGGTTAAGATGGTAATTTCATCTCATTTTCTAGAATCAAATCATTCTTGCAATGGAGGAGACTGACTCCATTCCATACTTTTACTTCTATCAACATATGTGAGAAAAAATCATTAGAAAATATGAATTATGTATGAAACAAAGGACATTTTGCACAATAACGAGGCAAATCACAACAAAAGGAGTTATAAGAGCTTCAAAGATGACAAAATGACTGACAGTCTTTCAACTCAGCAAACATTCAAACTACCCTACCCCCATACTGTAACCTGTATTTCTTTGAAAGGGATACAGACTACAGTAAAGTTGCTGAGTTTAGATACATTGAGCTATAAACATTGTGCGAAACTTCTCTAAAGGATTACAATGGCACAATTGAGCCATATCAACCATTTAAAAACAAGAATTGCATTATAATTACAAGAGTGTAAAGTCTTAATCCAAATAGGCACTGAGTAACCTAGAGCTTCAATAATTCAGTACTTCTGAAATTTCTATACTCTGTCTGAATATATCTACCCTGTGCGCAGTCTAGTTATAAACTACCCTCTGCCTATATAGACTATATTACTGTTTAGCAGCCCCCCCCACAAAGATTTGTGCCTGTGACAGCCTGGGTAATAAATCATTTCAAATCTACCATGCTGACCATTTCTCAACCAATCAACAAAGTGTAAGGAACACATGCTAAATACGTGCTCATTAACTATTCGGTGATGTCAGAGGAAATGACCATATGTAAAGTCAAGATTTATTGTAAACTGAAAGAGTGAAGACGAAGCTCTCTTTTAAGAAGTGAAGTCGAATGAATGCAAAGGGTAGAATATATCATGCTTATACAATTACTTAGTATATTCATTAAGGTCCCAAAAATTATTTAAACAATAGCTCTATTCGTTGTGTTGCATACCATCCAAAATGTTTGACACCTGTTATTATTTGTATTAATTTATTTATATATATTTGTAACTCATTCATAACTCACTGTGGTAAATCATGCAATCGAAAATTGCAATTGTGTAATAATGATTAAAGTAGCTATATGTTTTTATCTTGATCTGACAGATGAAATTGCTGTCAAATGAAAGATCCAATAACAGCTTTTGCGACAAGTACAAACTCGTACCGCAATTATAAAACAAGGGACCCAAAAATCTTTCATCATCTTCAACTACCACACACGTTGGATCAGTAGATAATTTTAAAGCGTTTATATCAACTAATTCAGAGAAAAAAAAATTGCAGAATTTATTTCCTATTAACAAAAAAGGCACACGTAATTAAATCAAATAAAATGGAAATTGAATTGATAAAAGCGTGCATCTTTTTTCTGCTTTTTGTGAAGGATGCTTTTTCAACTCAGATACTAACTACAGGGGTAACAGTAAAAGCAAGGATGAGTGTTAAGATAACTGACGACCCAGATGAAACAATTATGAAGATTCACACGTGGAACCATTGCATGCTGCTATGTGTTCATAAACAAACCTGTGAGGAGTTTAACTACCACGGTGATTCCTCCAGATGCGAGATGTATACAACAGCGGGTTGCAAGAACTTTGATATCTCAACAGGGTGGAGACTTGGTTATATTGAAGCAGGTTCGAAAATTACATATTACTGATGATTAGCATAGTTTTATTAATATTTTGAATTTGAAACTCTACGTAAATGTTATTTTGCAAATACATGCCTCCCTGAACTCAGAGATTTTTTACATCTTCACGGGTTGTCATCGAAAAATTTGTCCAGCTTGATGAAGCATGTTATTTCTTGTAAAAACACTAAAACAATTCACAAATTATTTTTTAACTCATACATTGTTCACGGAGCGGTAGGCAAACTGCGCGCCTACTATGCACGCAGTTTGGAACACTGACAAACTGCGCGCCTATTCACAAAATGACAGACAGGGAGGACACGACTCCCAAGAGGATGGAAATTACTGGAAATACTAGGCTAGTTTTGGTTTTCAGACAGTACCAAGATGTGGAGACTAACTTAGTTTATACGTAGCACTCGATTTTTTTCCCGATGCATATCTAGTTATCTCAAAATAAGGTTCCCAAGGAGCTTTCGTGTTAAAATTATACAGTGTTGCGTCATATAATGTCTGTTTTTCGTAGTTTGACGTTTATTCAGCCCTTGTGTTTGCATATTCTGAAAGATATAGGATTGCTGCACATGGATTAAGTTATATAGTTTGTTTGTTAAACAGTGACAAGCCATTAACGTGATTTTATTTTTTTCGCTGTCAAACTGCGTGCATACTTTCACGTGGATTTCACAAACTGCGTGCCTAATATTTACAAACTGCGCGCCTATATTTTCAAACTGCGCGCCTAATTTGCAAGCTGTGTGCAAGTTTGTTGTGTATTTTCAGAAAACGTAAACGCCACTCACTAAATCTGTCCCTATATAAAAAGAAACCAAAGTCTTACCCTAACAAAAATGTAGATAACAACGGCGCATCTTCAAAAACCATGACACCCCCTTCAGAATTTCTGAATTTTTGCTCGTCATGCATGCATGGTCACTTATTTATGGTAACATGGGTAATAAACAAAGTTTCAAGTCGAAAGAGTGAGATTGTTGTAAATATCTTTTTCTTACTTATGTTGCTAAAACTGTGAATTTTTATAGCATTTTATAATGAGGAATTCATTGAATTCTAAGAAATGGCTTTTTGGACTGCATCAATAAAAAATATAAATAAAAAAGGATTCAATATATATTTACACAATTTCTATGAACGAATTGTATTTATGTTGCACCATGCATCATGCACCATGTTAGTTGAAATAAAGTAGTAAAATAGGCACTTCGGCACTTCGATGGGGACTAGGCGGGGGCCACCTGGGTGTCTTTTAGTAGGACCCCAATAGAACAAAACCATTTTCATGAGATTTTTGAACTCAACTCTATATGATGAAATCGAATTATTGCATCAATTGTTTATTAAATCATATAGACAAGAACAAAATAAAATATAAATATGTACATTTCCACTGGTTGTCAACCATCAACCCAATTTTAGTTTTTGATTTATTTGAACCTTTTCAATCTCTACCTTTTCAACTTACTTACGTACTCCCATGAAATCACATAGGCCTGCATTACAGTGAGAAGTCATCGATAATCTGATAATATGCACGCAGTTTGGAAGAGTAGGCACGCAGTTTGTGATTTCTGGCTAAAATATGCGCGCAGTTTGTGTTTTATTACTTCTTTCTGTCATGTTCATCTGTTTTAATACGAAATATTTTGTATTGTACGGGAAAACTGGGTTGAGCTTTACCTGTGAATCAAAACCCAAGTGTTTTATATTTCTGTGAAACGTGCGATATCAACTTATGTATCGGTGATCGAAAAATCGATGTCAATTTTTTGTATTAATCTGCTTATATTTTTAAACCTACGTTAATCTGGACATGCATTTCGCTATCACAACGTTGAATCATATAATCGCCACCGAATGGACGTGTTGAACTATAAAACAATTCAGAATAAATGTCTTAAAATGACGTTTGAAAACACAGACTCCAACTTTTATGATGCAATGTTGATAGGCGCGCAGTTTGTCAGTCTTTCAAACTGCGTGCATAGTAGGCAAGCAGTTTGGCTACCGCATCGTGTTGTTATTCCAAGGGAAATTAACTACTCCATGCAATGAGTAGTTAATCTGTTTAACTGCTCCATCAAGCTGGACAAAACTTATTACAGATTAGACTGTAGGTTTGTTTTATTTATATTTATTTGAGTGTAACGAATTAGAATATAAATTATTTCTACATATTACTTCAGAATGTAGCTTTAAGCGTTACGAAAATCGAACGCTATTTTCGAATGTGAGTAGAATATGAGTGAGTGAATAGGTGTGTAGTGTTTAGGAGAGACAAAATCATTCTGGCTAGGTCGTCTATACAGTGAACACCTTCTTAAACGTCATTACAGGTTAAACATGTTCAACGTTCGATAGGTTCCATGCATTAGTTCATACCTTTTCAGGCCACATTCCGAGGCTCCTCACATAGAGGATTTAATGGTGGAAATTAATGCATTCAATCAATCGAAAGTTTTTTCAACATATAATTAAGTCTCAGTCTTTACGATTTTATGTACTAGTAATCCAAATCAACTCAGACATGCATCTGTAGGCATACCTTATTACCGATATTCATAAATGATGTGTAAATTTACACTACTGGAAAATTATCTGATGTAATTCAATGGGTCCTGTCCTTAATAATTAATAAACGAGATGCGACCTCTAGCCAAAGCTATTTTTAATATCTAATGAGTGTCATGTTAATCAAAAGCGCAATGCTTTGTAATGTATAGAATACTATATAACCAAAGATTCCTTGAACTCGACCTAGCTGCAAATCCGAACAAGTTTGGCCAGCCCCAGATGAGATCAGATTAGACTGTAGGTTTTACTATATCGCCAAAAATTCCTTGAACTCGACCGAGCTTAAGTCAAAATAATTTATTTCAGATCGCCAAAGAAATACAACAAGCAGGAACATCAATGTAGCGCTTAACAAACCTACATATCAGTCAAGCACTTTTGATGGGATTGCTTATGGATCTCCTACTGGTTTCGCAGCAAATGCAGTAGATGGTGGTACAAACACAGAGTATATGTCTGGTTCATGTACGCATACAAAACATGAACCAAATCCATGGTGGATTGTAGACCTTGGAAAGTCATATTACATTGATCGAATTGTTATTTGGAATCGAAAAACGAAAGGTAAGAAACCATCTAAAATTGAATTTCGGTATAGCTATTAAACATTGGTGAAAGAAATTCAATGTTGTTACCACAAAGTATACCCATTGACAACCACACAGTACTGCTTGATTCAGCTACATGTAACTCAATGACATTTTTATTTCAAAAGCACACAGACTCCATGACTTTTCTATTGACACCGCCTGTCACTTTGATGGAGTGAACCCAGACAACACAAACTGGACGAGACAACATCTGCATGTTGGAACGTTGGATGTTAATCCTAAAGTCATGCCACTTCCTAATTCCGCATTTGGCAGATTCGTAAAGATAGAAAAAACAGTTCCAACGGTTACAGATCAGAACCTCTTAACTCTATGTGAAGTTGAGATCTATGTCGTCTAAGTATGCTGATATCTGGCTGTAAGGTAAAAGAACTTTCATCCAAGAGCCACAGACTATTGTTACAGAAAGGATTCATCTCAAAAAGCAAGAATCGGGTCAGCTAATTAAATAATCGGCTCAAGAGCTGAACAATATACTATTTATATTTCGCTTTTCTGTTTTCTTCAATTGATACTGAATGCTTTTCTTATGATTTTTAGCATGCTCACAAGATTTCAATAATACATTTTTATATACATTTTGAGGTCAATCGATTAAGAGACCTTATATTTTGATGCAGAATACCTGTGGCCTCTTGCAGTTTTTAGAGTTTCAGTCATGTTATTTTGAGGTTATACTACATTAAAATACAAAAGGAGACAGATTTGTTAACCAAATCACAAAGAATTCAAAACAAACAAAGTTAGGTCTCTCTCTATAACTATGTTTATATTTTCCATAAAAAGAACGATTTTCAGTTTGGAGAACAAAAATCATTTGCATATTTCGACGTTATCAATGTTGCCAAAAATTTTCATGTTTTTATTTTTTTTTCATGATTTCTACAACATGTAATGCATAATTCTGTTAGACTTGATTTTAGAATTTATTGTTTTCGATATTTTTAATGAGCATATTCAAATGATTTTTTCATGATATGCTTATAACATGCCAAAATACATTATCTGTTAATTGTTTTACATCCGTCCAACAAAATTATGCAAAACATGTTGATCAAAAGTTGGTATGAATAATGAAAACGACATAGGGTATACTTTGTTTGCTTATACATGTATCTTTAAGAAAAAATTAAGAATATTGCCATCATTAAACTAAAGTATACAAAAGAGGACATTTAAAAAATATGAAAATCTTTGGCAACATTGATAACATCAATATGCAGATGAATTCGGTTCTCCCAACCGAAAATCGTCCTTGGCACCAATGTCACTTTTATGTTTATACAGGGTGTCCAATAAATAAGGTGAAAGATATTGTAACTTTCTTAATATTGCACCAATCTTGATGAAATTTTCAGAGTTTGTAGCCCAAACCTATTTACCTTTATTCTGTGAATTTAAAGTGTCTTCTATTTGATTGGCCAGAGTTGTGGTTGCTATAGCAACCAAAATAACAAAAAGGCGGGGCAAGTTTGTTTACGTCACAACTTTCCAAAACATATTTATTCTTTCTGATAGCTTTATTCATACTCCCAAGTCAATTACTACCAATAATACAACATAAAACAGTCCTAAAGTCCCATTGTTATGAAAATAAGCTATTCAACATAATGTCCATATCTAGCTATACACTTCTTATGCCTATTCACCCACTCTCTAAACACACATTCAAACCCATTCTTGCCCATATCCTGAAGTCTTGCTAAGACATGTGATCTGATTTCATCAGTGCTTCCAAATTTATTTCCTCTCAAGTCACGCTTGAGGTCTGCATATAAGTAAAAGTCATTGGGTGCAAGGTCTGGGGAATATGGACGGTGTACAAGTAGGGGTAGTCCAAAAGCCCTAATAGTTTCATTAATGAGCATAGCTGTGTGTGAACTCAGATCACATGTCTTAGTATTTGTGGTAGTGATAGACCCGGGAGTATGAATAAAGCTATCAGAAAGAATAGATATGTTTTGGAAAGTTGTGACGTAAAGTTACAATATCTTTCACCTTATTTATTGGACACCCTGTATATAACACTATAAGTTATTGAATGATTTGAAGTGCAATACAGGATATATATTCTGCTCGAGAAATTCTATATTGGAACGAGACGAAGTTGAGTGCCAATACAGAATATTGAGACAGAATTGCTATTGAATTGTATTGCTACTGAGATTGTCCCCTCCGTACCAATTTTTTCTGTATTGCGAGGGAGATGATCAACGGGGACAATCTCAGTAGCAATACAGATTGGTACAGCACAAGAACTGACCAATCAGAGGGCTTCATTTTACAGATCATAAGATAAATTCATATATCAGCACTATCTTACTGGAGGTGCCGATGATTTAGAATCTTCTTGCAACTTAGTGAGAACGAGTTGAATAAAAACATTGATTAATACAATTCCTTAGAAAAAGTAAATCAATTGTATAAAATCGAGAAAATGTATTTGAACAGACATGCATGGATTTTCAATCATTATGTCCACCTATAGGGACGAGGACATAAAAAAATATGTGCAAATGAAATGCACTGAAAATATTTGTAATGTCTACCCAAATAATTAGGGGCTTATTACTCAAGGTGAAAATAATGATAAGACTAGTACAAAGCAGCCAAGTGTATATAAACCTAACTGCAAAATAAAATTAAATAAATTGGCAAGTATGGCATAATAGCGGGTTAATTCCTAGACTACGATGGACATGAAATGTTGCAATGGGTTGCTTAGAGATATTCCTATTCTTTCAGAGCATTCCGTTTTTAATTAATAAGATTCATTAACTTTTGGTGTAAACTTTCTATAGACAAATCATCTGATCATAAAAAATGCATTGCCATTAACTGATGAAAACCACAAATAAAAGAGAGTGTCAAATTAAGAGGCAGTGTCTGACAAGAGTACAATAAGACTGTCGCCCTCTTGATATTTTTGCACTAGGAGATGTAAAAAGGTTCATCAATCTACTTGCCAACTGTCAAGATACCCACTCTAATGTTTATAGTGTCAATTTCATGATTATATGCAGAAATGAATTATTAAAGGGATGGTTGGAAATTCGAACAAAAAACAAAAATCCGCTTTGAATCTGATTGGCTGATTGGGTTCAAATCAAGTAACATATGTGACAAGAGGGGGAGAAACCCCAGGGTTCAAAGATGACATACGCTTATAATGTAAATCTGTATTGAGACGACATTGTCGCTGATTGGTTTAGCGAATCGATCGTTGATTGGTTTAAAACTAGGTCAATTTGAAAACTTTGAAAATCAAGATGGAGAATAAGTACTTCCGGGAAAAGAGGTGCGCGGAGGAGGAAATCGTATGTCATCAATTGAATCATGGGGTTTTCCCTCCTCTTATATGTGACTCAAAGTGATGGGAATTCCCCTTCATGGTGGAAAGCACAAATTGTGTTCAATTCTGACAGTTAATGGTCGTTGTGTTGATTTTTTCAATATACCACAAGTTGGTCTCAAGATATGTCTACGCAATCATTTGTAAATTGAGTTCAGTTCTGACAGTTCCCTGTTCTGTTCTGTTCCCTGTTCTCAATAGGAATATCTCTTGAGTTAGCATTCCTAGGGAATAACCAAATAGGTATACTCTACCCATTAATTCCTGTAGGAGGGAAAGTTGCGGAGGTACCTGGCCCTGTTGTAGCCTAACAGCAGCTAGAGAATGCATAGTCATTATAAAAATACTTCATTCCATTGAGGGAATACTTGTGTATATTTCCACAAAGTCCAAGTTTTTGAAAGTTACACAGGCATTCCCAATATAGGATGAAATATTTGTTTTATTATTCACTGTTTATTGTCTCTCATTTTGTTACACACATAATGAAGCCTCTTTATGATAGCAATATGAACCAATTTAAAAACGAAGTGTAGGAAATATCAAATTTCAAAATGAGGCTCAAATATCTGCAGCATGTGAAGTGGTTTAGTTCTAGTTGAAGAATACAAGAAAAAGGGAAGGAAATATTCACTTTTCAAAGCTGAAGATCAAGTGGCTTCATATTAACAATAGACATCACAGGGAAATATCGTATAATATTTTAGGTCATGTGACTTGGATTCAGCCAATCACAGAATGAGAAACATGACAGTGGGATAATAATATTTAATATCAAATCACAAACCTAAAGGGATTAAATTGAAATCATTACAGGTTGTTAATCACACCAAACTCTGATAAGATGGCCAGCAATAAAATATAATATACGGGCGGCCATGGCCAACTTGACCAAATATATTAGATTCTTGTTTCTTTTTCAAAAGTTGACTAAGTTTACTTCAAATTTCAAAAAATGTCAAAAGCACTGAATGTTGTTTTAAAAATAATCGAACTCTCTGGATTATTGAAAAATTTCGAAAAATGATCATAATTTTTATCATTTTATATTAATTAATTTTCTCGTTTCTAAAAGTATTTTATGACTTTGTATACATGCTATATCACAAAAGTGTAAAGTACTTATAGTTTTTCTTTGTCTAAATCTGGCCTTTTTCCAACTGTCAACAGGACATTTTTAGAATTCTAAAATTCCCTGACCAATTTTGAGAAAATTCTAGAAAATCCCCTGACTTTTTCAGGCCAGGAAGAACTGACTTTTCCTGTCAGTGGAAGACCCATTAGCATAATTAATCCAATTAATAATAATTATTAATCAACTCTGCATCAATTAATTGATCAACTATGCATTTACTTATCATTAACTAACTTTGCAACAGTTGATTAATCACATCTGCAAAAATTCATTAATTAACTCTGGAACTGAAAACCAACACACTGTATGGTAACATATTGTCTATTCTATAGAAACCAAACATATTACAAATATTAGTGTAGAAATCTCATTTTTATCAAAACAAACACAAACAAACCAGTAAATATATATTGTATCAATTTCAATGAATGTATCCATAAATCGGATAACATTAATGGCTGTTACCACCAAACAACTACCATGCTTTTCCAAGCTGTTGAATCAACTCACCTTCCTCCACCTGCTGTTGTGGGGATGACACGGGGAGGATAAACCTCAGCCCCAAGACGCCCTCTAGATCCTCCATAGAGACGAGACTGCGTAAGATTGCACGAGCCCTGAGTGAGTCGCTGCGTCCTGCTTTGATAGCTTCCTCTCCGGGGGCACAGCGCCCTAGTAGGTCAACTAGTACAGAGTAGAAAGTTAAGATGGCGCCACCCATGTCTATGTAGTCCTCATCATCGTCAGGGGGAAGTGTCGAGAAGTCCCATTTACTGTAATGAAATTTCGGCAAAATAACTAGGGAACAACACCCAAGACAGGGTTGTTGCAATTAAAATATGGAATTAAGCATGTGGTCATAGATCAAACATGTGCTTCACTAGATTACTCTAGTAATTATTCTCTAGTAATAATACTTCAAGTTTGGGAAGATTACTATTTCGTTTTCTATTTCTTACAGTTTGTTCAATCATAAATCATAATTGAGAACATTGATGACACTAGTTTCTATGACAACTGCAGGGGCGGATCTAGGAACCAACAAGGGGGGGGCCCAAATTTCAGGTTAGAGAAAAAAACGGCCGCTGTTGCGCGAAATTTTTTTTTGAAATTTTGAGGCCCATTTTCTTCAAAATTTGGCCTGAAATTAAAAAATAAGGCCCAGTAATGACCAAAAAGGCCCACTTTTTGGAGCCTGAAGGCCTTATTTGGCCCAAAAAAAATTTTGAGCCCAATTTTTTTTTCTGGGCCCACCCAAGGGGGGGGGGGGGGGCCCGGGCCCCCAGCCCCCCCCCCCCCCCTAATCCGCCAGTGAACTGTTCTCTACTGAGCACATATTGTGCTTAGTTTCTATGCCAACATACCTTTGTAGCAGATACTGTGCTCCATCCTCATCCTCATCTGCCACAGCCTGTAGAAAGCCACTGTTCTCATCTCCCTTAGAGGCAGCTATCTGTTCAGACATTTTGATACCATCCTTCATTGCCTTCAGCAGACCCCCACCCTCACCACGCAAGGCCGGACCAAGGGACTCGGGACGTCTGATCAACAGACGAACCACCAGACTAGCATTCTCTTCTACACTCTCACCTGGATGATATATAGAGGTTATTTACTGGGAGGGATTGAATATGGGTTTTATTCCAAGGAACATGATGGCTAACATTCTCCTCTACATTCTCACCCATAGGGTATATAGAGGTTATTTACTGGGAGGGATTAAATATGGGTTTTATTCTAAGGAACATGATGGCTAACATTCTCCTCTACATTCTCACCCACAGGGTATATAGAGGTTATTTACTGGAAGGGACTGAATATGGGATTTATTCTAAGGAACAATATGGCTTGCATTCTCCCCTACACTGTCATCTGTAGGATATTAAACATATACAACATAACATAATTCATGAATCCTAAATTATCAGTGACCCATTATTGTCTATATCATGACTTCCAGCAAGGGTTGCATGCTGGGAGAAGTCTGGAACAGTCATTTTAGCTCAAATATGGGGATTCTCAACAGCCATTTTAGCTCAAATATGGGGATTCTCAACAGCCATTTTAGCTCAAATATGGGGATTCTCAACAGCCATTTTAGCTCAGATATGGAGATAATCAACCTACTGATTTTTTCTGAATAAAGTGAAATAATTTTAAAAAAGACAATAGAAATACTGTAACATCTAAAAACAACATATTCCATTTTTCACTTTTAATTTAAGATTTTAAACTACATGTTGTTTTTGTTTCCCAATCTCATTCTATTGTGTTTGTATATTACAATACAGACAAATACATGCACACTATGAATAACGGACATGTTTTATATCTAGAATCCAATAAATACATGTGCAATTATCAAAAGAAATCTGTATATAAAAAGGGCCCTACCGTTTACCCAGACACAGAATCTGAAGAAATCAAGGAAACGTTCTCCCTCTACAGGATCCCAACCGATATCTGGGTATCCCTTGGCAACCAACTCAGCATTTGATTGGATACCACAGCGAGCCAAATAGATGGCTACCTTCTCAAGATGTGACTCTCGGAGCGCGAGAGCAAGCTCGTTGTTATCCATGAGAGAGGAGTAAGCGACATCTAGTGGGCAGCTACCCCTCAGTGAAGGTCGGGATAGCAACATACTGCTGTTGTCAAGGAGATAGCTAAGATGTTCAAACATGGCTCTTTGGTTATGGCTGCCTGTACGACAGAAGTAACATAGGAAACGACTGCACATCACGACCATGTCTGCGCTATCCTGGAAGCCAAAAAATCATAATTAAAACTACAGAAAACTTTAGACTGAAGTGATTGATGCTATATGTAAGGGATCCCCATATAAATACACCACTGATTCATGTCTTGAACACACTCTGCCAAACCCCCCAAAAAAATCATGAAGATTCCATCACAAAAAAAGTTAAGATTGTCAAAACAAGAAAATTCATGAAAATTCTATAACGAAAAAAAACAGTTAGAGGGTTGCATTTTATGTGTCGCCCTGTACAGGGAGTGTAAAAAGTTGTGGCTGATTCGGGGGAAATAACATGGCAGGGTATTGCAAAATTCCCTTTAACCTGAATATTCATCAGTTTTACTGGTTCACTTTTCATATGACCCTTATGTATGTGATAGTTATACAAATTAGAATATGACCAGTAAAAAAAAAAATATTATCTGCCAAACACAAGACAAGGCATTAACATGACAAAATGTCACCACCTAAAACAATTTGGTCAATTTAAAGCAAGTTGGAAAATACCTTTTGACCTTAAGAAGAACTTCTGAGAACATGTAGATGATTTTGAAAAAAAATTAATCAATTTGAAGCAAGTTGAAAAAAGACCTTTTTGACCTTGAGAAGGTCATTGAAGGTCAAAGGTCAAATCTAAAGTCAGATTTGAACTTCTGAGAACTTGTAAAGTCAAATTTGAACTTCTGAAAAGATGTAGATGATTTTGAAAAAAAAATTTGGTCAATTTGAAGCAAGTTGAAAACAGACCTTTTTGACCTTTTTTTACCATGAGAAGGTCATTAAAGGTCAAATGTCAAATCCAAAGTCAGATTTGAATTTCTGAGAACATGTAGATGATTTTGAAAAAAAAATTAGTCAATTTGAAGCAAGTTGAAAAAAGACCTTTTCGACCTTTTTTGACCTTGAGAAGGTCAAATGTCAAATCTTAAGTCAAATCTAAAGTCATATTTAAATTTCTGAGAACATGTAGATGATTTTGAAAAAAAAATTTAGTCAATTTGAAGCAAGATGAAAAAATACCTTTTTGACCTTTTTTGACATTGAAAAGGTCATTGAAGGTCAAATGTCAAATCTAAAGTCAGATTTGAATTTCTGAGAACATGTAGATGATTTTGAAAAAAAAATTTAGTCAATTTGAAGCAAGTTGAAAAAAGACCTTTTTGACCTTTTTTGACTTTGAGAAGGTCATTGAAGGTCAAATGTCAAATCTAAAGTCAAATCTAAAGTCAGATTTGAATTTCTGAGAACACGTAGATGATTTTGAAAAAAAAATTGTCAATTTGAAGCAAGATGAAAAAATACCTTTTTGACCTTTTTTGACATTGAGAAGGTCATTGAAGGTCAAATGTTAAATCTAAAGTCAGATTTGAATTTCTGAGAACATGTAGATGATTTTGAAAAAAAAAATTTGTCAATTTGAAGCAAGTTGAAAAAAGACCTTTTTGACCTTTTTTGACTTTGAGAAGGTCATTGAAGGTCAAATGTCAAATCTTAAGTCAAATCTAAAGTCAGATTTGAATTTCTGAGAACACGTAGATGATTTTGAAAATTTTTTTTAGTCAATTTGAAGCAAGTTGAAAACAGACCTTTTTGACCCTTTTTGACCTTGAGAAGGTCATTGAAGGTCAAATGTCAAATCTTAAGTCAGATTTGAATTTCTGAGAACACGTAGATGATTTTGAAAAAAAAATTTAGTCAATTTGAAGCAAGTTGAAAACAGACCTTTTTGACCTTTTTTGACCTTGAGAAGGTCATTGAAGGTCAAATGTCAAATCTAAAGTCAGATTTGAAGGTCAAATGTCAAATCTAAAGTCAGATTTGAATTTCTGAGAACATGTAGATGATTTTGAAAAAAAATTTAGTCAATGTGAAGCAAGTTAAAAAAAGACCTTTTTGACCTTGAGAAGGTCATTGAAGGTCAGATGTCAAATCTTAAGTCAGATTTGATTTTCTGAGAACACGTAGATGATTTTGAAAAAAAAATTTAGTCAATTTGAAGCAAGTTGAAAACAGACCTTTTTGACCTTTTTTGACCTTGAGAAGGTCATTGAAGGTCAAATGTCAAATCTAAAGTCAGATTTGAAGGTCAAATGTCAAATCTAAAGTCAGATTTGAATTTCTGAGAACATGTAGATGATTTTGAAAAAAAATTTAGTCAATGTGAAGCAAGTTGAAAAAAGACCTTTTTGACCTTGAGAAGGTCATTGAAGGTCAAATGTCAAATCTAAAGTCAGATTTGAACTTCTGAGAAGATGTAGATGATTTAGAAAAAAATTGAAGTCAGTCTAAACAGTATTTGTTAAGTTATAGGAAGTTGTAAGAAATTGTAACAGACGCCGGACGCCAGACGCCGGACGCCGGACGCCAACCACCAACCGCCGTCGCAAAAAAACGGAGACCATAACAATATGTCACCACTTTTTGGTGGTGACATAAAAAGATATTTCACTTTTTGTGGTTTTACAACATGGGGTCTATGGGGAATGTCCCCGACCTAGAAGTCACATTTTCAAAGAAAATTAAATTTTCAAAGTTGATAAACTCTTTTCAAAACCACATTTCTAGATGTAATTTTACATGTAGATTCCAAATATGACATCAGTTTGACTGAATTGAGCATTTTCAATGACGTAAATCAAGATTATTTCTACTCGCATCTAGGATATTGAAAAGGCCAGCCAGTTAGCCAGCCAGCTTACACTTATAGCAGTGTCTTCAGGTGGGACTACAGCAATCCCAGTAGAAGAGTTCCTTCTCTGGCTGATTGAGTCTTCATGTGGGGCGCTCTGGTTTTTCTGCTGGGAGGAGCGGTTCAGTGTGTTCACCATGAGCTTCTGTACTGTTTTGTGCATCCCCAGAGCCCTCATCAAGTCTGGGTGTTGGAAGAATACTTTGTTGTCCATCAGTTCCCTAAAATATACATAACCATTTATAATATTTCATACAACATGGTAAATGTTTTCACTCTGGATTAACATGTACATATTTCCGGACCCCTCCCCCACTAATATTGGGCAAACAATATTTTGTACCAACTGTGATGAGTCCAAGGTAACAATGTTATTGGGAAAATATATGAGCCAGGCCTCAGGAAAAAGGGTCTTATCACAGATTTTTTCAATGTTTTGATTTTTTGTTTTTCTTAAAAAGCACAATAAGAGACCTTTCAAATGTGCCATGGCTTGTGTCTCAACAATTTTTCCTTGCAGATGCAGATCAAAAAGAAGGATTTGAATTTAGCACATTTTCCTCTTAATCTTGGGCACATTTTCGGCTCTGTAGCACAATTTAAATTTTTGTGATAAGACCAGTTTTTCTATGGCCAGGCTCATACATAATAACTTTGCAATTTTTTGTAATGTCGTCATAAAATTCAAGATGATTGACCAAAGTTCTGTAAAGTCATAATGCATGTTCATTAGTTAAGCTCTAGAGTTTTGTATTCTTGGTATTATAAAAATTGAACTCAGCAATGACTGTGTTGATGATGTAGTATATGGGTATGAGGATCAAGATTCTTCATACAATTTAGTTTAAAAGAGTTTATCTCTGTGTCACCGATATTCCAAAATAGATTCAGAATTAATATATTTTTGCAACATTGCTTTTTTCCTATATATGAACCAAAAATTGAAATTTGGCACAAAGTTTTTAACAGCACCAGCCAGTTTTGAGAGACACTGAATACTTGCATACGTACTGATGCAAGATATACAATGGATAGCTTGGGTCAGAATTCTTGTATACAAAGCCTAGCTGTCCTTAACTCACCATAAGCTTGTTTTCAATAGCTCCTCCTCCTCGCCTCCTACTTGTACATTCAGCAAGGCACGTGTGATCCCCAGTGCCCTCAATAGATTGTTAATGTCTTCAGTTGAGGCACTACTGATGACATAGGTCTTCTCCAGAGCCCTGCATACCTCTCCTAGACCATCATACTGTCTATGTAGGAGACTAAACATCTCACGCACAAGGGCTTGGCTGGCTATGAAGTCTGTTTTAGCCCAGCGCACGACAGTGGCTGCGATCAGTTTTTGGATGGAATCTACAATTCAATAGGTTCATCTTAATACAGGTGTTGGCTTGATTATCATTTTTAACATTACTGTTTGGTAACATAAGTTAGTTCGTACCACAATTTATGCATACTTTCAGGTTTATAGTGTGTATCTATAACAACAATCTAGCTCCAAGCCCTTGCCTTGAGAAGGTGTTTAGTCAAGTAGAGGGGGAGTCATAGAGGCTCGAAGCTAGACTATTATAACAAGTGACATGGCTAAAATTAAACAGACAGCTCCTCTAACTCCTAACTCACCTTAATTTTCATATCTCATAGCATTTTAAAAGATTTGCGCAATGTTATCACAACTTCATAATTTTAAAGATACTGAAATGGAATCATGTTATGAAACCATATCATTTATCATATACCTATACCTATACCTACTAGGGATCCCACGATTGCTCGATGCACCGATATAATCACTAGAAATCACCTCCGATTCGATTAATCGATATGGATTCTCTATTTTCGATATTATCGATAATCGTTTTTCAAACCAACTCACCCGCTAAGTAAGTAAAAGAGCTCAATTAAACCAAAATTGACACAGCAAACTCCGCGAAAAATTAAAAATGAAAAATATTTTGAAGAGCTAACATGACACGCCACATATTTTCGTGATTCAAACCGAACGTGAACTTTTAGCAATAAATGGATTTTCAATAATTTTGCGAATATTTGTGATTTTAGATGCCCTACGTGCATTTTCACACCAAATATTATACCATAAATTATCTTAATACGTAATAAATGCGATAGGGCCCTAGACGTATCTTTATTTTAATGTTTTAAGATGTTATAGTATCTTTTCAATTTGCAATATATTTAGCGAACGACAATAAAAAATGACATTGGAAACCTCGGCGAGGTTTAAAACTTTAAATCCCGTAAATTTGCTGATATTCGTAATATGGAGCACACCATCGCAATAAACACAACCTAAAATGTAAGTCTGAGGTGTGGAGGTCTTTTAAAAACCCAACAATCAATGACAACACAACTTTCTATGCTCAGAAGAGTAAATTTGATTTTTTTAATGGGCGGACTCGAACCCCCCCCCATGTAAACACAGACATTTACATGAATGTGTATCGAATCGTTTGTATCGAATCGTTTTCATAATATCGAGATACGTATCGAATCGAAGCAAAATGTATCGTGGGATCCCTAATACCTACCTATCTATCATTTACCAATTTATCAACTGAATCAAGAAAATGATCATATGATCTCATCTAAATGATGTAAAAAGGATGTATTGTAACTAAATATGTTCTGTAATTATACGTAAAAATGAAATGAAATAAATAAAGTAGAAAAAAATCGATCACTTACCTGGTTGTTCATTGGTTGGCGCCTCCACTGATAATTCAGTTTTCTTGGAAGCAACGAGGGTCATCAATTTTTCACCCCATGATACCTCCTTCTCTTCAACCTCCTTTTCCTTCCCAGACTCCCCCTCTTCATCTATTTGTTTCAGACGGCAAGTGTTGAGCAGGTCTAAGTGGAAGTTAGAGAGCAGGTCACGAAGGTCGGGTCGACATGAACACATGTTCGCCTCTTCCTCATTCTCAGACCTGGACATAAATATTTATAATGTTAATATTTACAGTGTAATGCTAAATTAACATGTTAATATTGCATAACAAATCATTTAGCAATGGATGACAATGGGCAAATTCTAGTGAATTCATTACAACTAGAATACCAAGAAATGCAAAATTCCTGAAAATCGCAGGCACGAATCTAAAATGTTTTACAATATATATTAAATGTTGATGCAAGTGACATCACAAAACTATTACAAATCAGCAACACATATACAGAGAAGTCCAAAAAGTGAACCCTTGGAATGAGGTATATCTCAGTTATTACCTGTACTAATGGGCTAATATTCTCATATGTTTTAGAGAAAGGTCTAAAGTGTTTGTGGGTGGTACAATAAATGTCACTCATTTGCTTAAGGTCATCTCATCCTTTTTTGAACCACCCTGTACAAAAAATATCCACTTAAGATTACTAAAAAAATTTCACCTCAAGTTAGAATTTCTAAATTATATATATACTACAGGAAGGTGATATCATCAATTTAGGTAATCGTTGAACACTCAGTGTATGCAGTCATTTGTCCAACAATCACCTACATGGATGACATTGCCTCCCTGTACTCTACATTACCTGAATGAGAGCAATGATCTCATTTGTTCCTGAGGTGGACACCTAAACTCGCGAGTCTTCCTTGCCATGACGGCAGGAGGGAAATCTGTCTGTTTGATCTCATGGTAGCGTTTCAGCTGGTCGTTCTGGCATTCCGTCACAAACTCATCAGAAAATGCAACGATGGCCTCGATGCGATGACGTAGGAAACTGTCACATAGATGTTGAAGAAGGAAGCACAACTGTAGAGAAAATGTAAAATATTACTTTTAAGGAGGAATTTGAACTGTTTCTTGTCACATTGGATTATGATTTGGGATAGTTGGGCATTTGTTTCCTTATGACTGGTGTACTTTTAGTTGTTTTCTTTTACTCAATGTGTTCTGTAACCATTTTTGGTACATTCCCACTGGCAATTGCTTATAAATTTTGGACCAAAAAATGTACAAACCTCTAGCTGTACTGGCTCAGCTAGCTTCATATGGATCAGTCCCTTGACACCGCTTGCCTTGAAGCTGTCATCAAATGATTGAGGATCTATAATCTTCAGTAGGTCCATGAGGTCCTTGTCATCCAGTAGGCCCATTACCAGGAGATTGTCACATACTTTCAGTAATGGCCTAAACACAAAATAAAGATTGTGATTGAAAGCCAGTTAGGTCTTTAATATGCAAAAGCATACCTTTCTTCATGCATATGATAGCAAATAACTGTTAACATACATGCATGTTTAGATAAATGAGAACCAATTCTGAAAAAAAGGATCATGACAACTCAAGACGAGATTGTTATACTCTTTTATTTAGATAACAAAATGTACTTTTCTGACATAATTAATGGCACCTGTCACTAATGCTTAAAGGAAGCATCAGATCTAGCTAATGGACTTCACAATATATCCAACCTGTGTGCGTATTTCTTTATTTTACTTATGATGAATGAATTTTACATGCTAAGGAACTCACACAAATAGGTTTTCATTAGATCCTCCAATGGGGTCTCTAATATGTTCTGCTCCTTTCTGAACAGCCTGGGTGAGTAAATGCATGATGTAGTGCTTCAGGCGGTCTAGAGGGAAGTAGGGACTTGTCAGGTCTTTGTACTCACTGGTGACCTTGAACCTATGGTATAGAGAATACATGTATATAATGCATGATGTAGTGCTTCAGGCGGTCTAGAGGGAAGTAGGGACTTGTCAGGTCTTTGTACTCACTGGTGACCTTGAACCTATGGTATAGAGAATACATGTATATAATGCATGATGTAGTGCTTCAGGCGGTCTAGAGGGAAGTAGGGACTTGTCAGGTCTTTGTACTCACTGGTGACCTTGAACCTATGGTATAGAGAATACATGTATATAAATGCATGATGTAGTGCTTCAGGCGGTCTAGAGGGAAGTAGGGACTTGTCAGGTCTTTGTACTCACTGGTGACCTTGAACCTATGGTATAGAGAATACATGTATATAATGCATGATGTAGTGCTTCAGGCGGTCTAGAGGGAAGTAGGGACTTGTCAGGTCTTTGTACTCACTGGTGACCTTGAACCTATGGTATAGAGAATACATGTATATAATGCATGATGTAGTGCTTCAGGCGGTCTAGAGGGAAGTAGGGACTTGTCAGGTCTTTGTACTCACTGGTGACCTTGAACCTATGGTATAGAGAATACATGTATATAATGCATGATGTAGTGCTTCAGGCGGTCTAGAGGGAAGTAGGGACTTGTCAGGTCTTTGTACTCACTGGTGACCTTGAACCTATGGTATAGAGAATACATGTATATAATGCATGATGTAGTGCTTCAGGCGGTCTAGAGGGAAGTAGGGACTTGTCAGGTCTTTGTACTCACTGGTGACCTTGAACCTATGGTATAGAGAATACATGTATATAATGCATGATGTAGTGCTTCAGGCGGTCTAGAGGGAAGTAGGGACTTGTCAGGTCTTTGTACTCACTGGTGACCTTGAACCTATGGTATAGAGAATACATGTATATAATGCATGATGTAGTGCTTCAGGCGGTCTAGAGGGAAGTAGGGACTTGTCAGGTCTTTATACTCACTGGTGACCTTGAACCTATGGTATAGAGAATACATGTATATAATGCATGATTTAGTGCTTCAGGCGGTCTAGGGGGAAGTAGGGACTTGTCAGGTCCTTGTACTCACTGGTGACCTTGAACCTATGGTAAAGAGAATACATGTATATAATGCATGATGTAGTGCTTCAGGCGGTCTAGAGGGAAGTAGGGACTTGTCAGATCCTTGTACTCATTGGTCACCTTGAATCTGTGGTAAAGAGAGCATATGTGTTTATTGCATGTCATAAAAAAATCAAATTTCATTGAATAATGGTTCCTCTTCATCGATCTTCTTGTTATACAGGTGTTTCTGCAGTGGAGTCTTTAGACATCATATTATAGGTAGGTTACCTCAGAGCAAAAGGGTTGCACTGACTTTTTTCAATAAAATGGTATGATCATCAAATTAAATAAAAAATGAAAATGCCCAATCACCAAAGTAGAAAAACTTTAGTGGATGAGAATGAAACCTTAAAATCTACAAATGTGGGTCAAGGTCATTTATTTGGGCAGAAATACTTTTTCCAATGAAACTGAATAGAAAATGAAACTTAGAAATCTACACACCTGTCAGCTGCTTCCTTCTCTATCTGGAGCTTTGGTCTTATGGAGACACCCACATCAAGGGGTGGTATAGACTTCCTCATGCGTGTAAGGGCATCGTCATTCTCATTGGGTCTGTTACATAGTTTCAGTGACTTGGGGTCAAACGCCAATGGGATGATGTACTCATTGACTGTCATCTCCCTGGAATGGTACAAGAAATAGGGTAAACTTGGAACAAAGGAACGCCATGTGTAAGAATGCATATATGGAATATTTCAATTCTTGTGTCGGATGTTTCCCCAGCATTGAGACAACTGAATGCAGTCCCAGTTAAGATCTACACAGGTCCATTACATTTGGGATAAGAAATTTTGGATATTTTGACAAGTTTTGAACATGTAATAGGTGGTATTAATGGAATAATATAGTAAAACCAATCTAAGTGAACACTTCTCTTTGTTCAACATACACAGGTTTTACTGTACTGAAAATTTTACACCCAGTTGTGAAATGATCCCGTGAAGAGGAAGAGGAATAATGTTATATTAGGGCTCCATATTTTATAGTGCACGCCATATTAATCAGTTGTCTGACCTTTATAGTGGATTTGGGACACATTTACTTACATTAGATGAGCATGTGTATCCAGATGTAGAGTAATCAGCAGGTTATGGAAGCCCATTCTCAGAGGTCCAGATACATCTAAAACACAAGGATTGGTTAAACAAGGTTAGACATCTTGCTTTTTTAGGTTTCAACAACAAAAGTCACATACCACCTTTTTTCCAAAACACAATGAAGGAGCTAACACCATTGTTTCTCAATCATCTGGATGGTTAACCATTTTGAATTTTTAAATTACGGTACTTTAAACAAATTATTATGAAGACCATTTATATGTGAGCTATTACATTGAGGGAACTGTCATTCAATGAATCCATATAATAATTTAATGAAATACTAATGCATCACAGAAATGATGGCTATTAAGAAAATGTTACCACTATCTGACCACTTCTTGGTGGTATGGCGAAATTCTAATTTCAGTTTAGACAATATCTACTCACATTCATTGAGAATACAGTACATCAGCTGTTTCTCATCTACATGTTTGATGAGTTCATGAGCCATCTTATGGTTGCCATGGGAACACACTGCCTGGTACAAGTCCAGTGTCTTCTTGTGAAATCTATTAGAAGAAATACACTTATTAAAACCATGGGTCTATTTCCAATAATTCGTCAAGGGTTCAAATCTTTACATTAAGGTGACATTTTAATAGTAACTGTTATAATATACATCTGTTCTGTATGTGTATATAATCACTGGGGATCAACTTGAAATTATGACATCAAATATTTGGCACGTATGTAGTGTATTGATTCCAGTTTTGAAATATGATTTCACCTCAGACACACATTGTGTAATTGTTTGGATCTTTACAAATCAATTTCCTCGCTTAGGAAACGAAGACAGTTTTCTGCATTGTAGCGATGAAACGAAGAGATATATGACTTGCAATGAAAACAATTAGTTTTTGCATATATCTACATAGTGATTATTATGCTGTCTTCATTTCAGTTTCAGAAAGCTAGGTACATCGTCAATTCTCTGAAAACTTCCTTACTTGAGAATATGTTCATGTTCAATCAGCTCCAGCATATCAAGGCATCTATCTTCCTCTGGTATGTGGATAGCCATCATTGGGACCGGGTCCTCACACAGCATACTGTACCCACGTATCTCAGATAGCTTCAACGTGTGCACCTTTAGTGCCTGGTTGGGGACTCGAGACCACTGGGATTGCTTGAGCACCTGTACATCCAGGCGTGGAGGGCACTGGGGGAGGGCATACTTGGTCCCTCTGAATAGCACGGATGACAGTGGAAGAGTGTCCTGCAACATATGGATGACTTTAATTAAAAAATTTTATCCAAATTCAATTCATTTATCTTTTTAAATAATAAATAGAATAAAATGGCACCATTCAGAATTTCTCACAACAGGCTAAATAAATGAAAACAACAAGCAAAATTAATGGAAATCATATATTTAACATGGAAAAGTGAAAGTGAAAGAAGTGATTTCTCAAAAAACGAGTCGAGAGTTGTACCTTAGTTCTTCCAAGCTCAAACTGCATCACTTCCTTACTGGTTGGTTCACAGAATACAGCAGGGAAGAGCATTGTGCCAGGTTCTACTGCAAACTTGTTGGCAACCTCCTTACCATTCAGTGTGAAACTCAGAGCACCTGCAAAATCATTATGCAATACAACATGAACTTTATTCAATACATACGTTTGGTGTGTCACATTCAGGGTGGAGCTATAAGCATTTGCAACATCATTGTACAATATGTACTTTGTTGAGTATTATAGTACAAAGTAATTGTTGTGTCACATTTAATTATTCTTGGTGTAGACAAGCAATAGAAACACTCAAAATCAAGGGAAATCAATTCCGATTTTAAAATCTCTATGGACAGTATGTACACTATAGACAGTAAAACTGTTCAATTTAACAATACCTTGCAGTAACGGCACTGTCTATTAAGAACTCTCTCCCATTTCATATGATTAACAATTTTACTTATCACCTTTATACACATTTTAATCAAACGCCTCATAAGAATCATACAAATACACCACCCACCTGTAGAGGTGTCTACGTGACAGCCAATGAGAAGTCCTGGAGATCCACGACGTGATGACGTTGCCTCCTGACTGCCATATCTGTGCTGGAGATCCCCTGCAGATACCATGTAGCAGTTCTTGCGGCTGAAGCTGAAAACAGTTTGACGATTTTAATATGAGGCATTCACAAGATTTTGAAAAGAAAAATGGTAATATTGGTTGACCTTATCAAAAAACCTGGACAATGAAATATTTGAAAAAAAACATTAAAAATCAAATTACAAAGATCAGAAAAAAGATCAAACCCGAACATGCCTACTTAAAATATATGTATTGTTTTTACTAAAGGGGTTTCATTAGCAGCAGGCAACAGGTGATTCTCACTGGTTGTTTTCACAAAATCGCCTGTAGTATTTAGAGACTTCAACTTTTCCATGTTAAATTTATGATTTCCATTAATTTTGCCTGTTGTTTTCATTTATTTAGCCTATTGTGAGAAATTCTAGTGAAACCCCTGTACTACAGTATATGGGTTTTTAACTTTTTAGCCATTTCAATCCCATTTAACACTACTCACCTTGACTTCATCTTATAGTTGACATCGAGTTGGCAGACAATCACATTCCTAATGCCCTTCATGTCAAACTCCTTGGAAAACATGTGGAAGCCAGGGGTGACCCAGCCAACATAGACGTGCGCTGGGTCCTGGCCAGGGAAGATGCGAACCCCATAGTAATACTCATCTATGATGTCAGCGAGAGCTTGGAGCTCACTTGCATCTGCATCAGACTCAAAATCATTCAAAGAGCCAAAGCTGGCATTTGGTCGAATGAATGGCTGAGCATTTGGTCCCAGATCAAATTCTGGTGGTACAGCAGGTGCGTGGACGTTGATAGCCGGTGCCTCATCGAATTCAGATGTTTTCTCATCACCACGATAGCTGCTGGTTTTCCATTTAGACGGTGGTTTGATATCCAATCTCTGACGATCCATTGAGCGATTTCTGAATGAGGAACTCGGGGAGGTGTCTCGTGATTTTGACTTTTTGAATAAACTAAATGGTGATTTCCCTCGTTCTTTTTTCTCCTTTGGAGCGTCTTTGTCCTTATGATCTTTATGATCGTTCAACTTCTTGGATATATCGCTAAACTTATCCATGATGGATGATTTAGAGCCTGATCGACCTTGTTTGCCGAGTCCTTCTGCTGGCACATCCAGACGTGTCTCGCTGGACCCACGTTTAAGGCGCCCATTACTAAGTCCTTCATCGCGTGCAGCAGTCTCGTCAAACGATTCAGATTGTTTGTGTAATTTTCGTGATCGCCGATCGCTACCATCTGTACGGTCATCTGTAAGGCCTCGTCTTAAGGCTGAAAGCAGAAACAGACGTCTGAGCGTACAAGTACAGTACAGTGGATTGGAGCTATGTTTGCACTTTATAAAACATAAGATGCTCTTATATCAGGTCAATGTTAGTATTTTTAGTCATTCAAGAATTTCATTATAAAGGAAATTGAGCATTATCGTGTAAAAGTACAGAAATGTTATAATCAATGATACTGCTGAAAGATTTCGTTAAATGTTTGAGATATAGTAGAAGTACAGTAGAAGGAGTTTTGCAGGATGTTATTTGTGAAAAGTTCAAATCTAGGCCTTAAGACAGTGGTTAATATGACATTTATCTTTACATGGAATCAATACAAGAAGTTATTGAATGATTTGAAGTGACTTCCAATACAGAATTTCTCGAGCAGGATATATCCTGTATTGCACTTCAAATCATTCAATAACGTTTTGATCGTGTGATCCTCTGTATTGCTCCTGAGATTGTCCCTTCCGTACCAATATTTTTTGTAATGCGGTGGAGATGATCAACGAGGACAATCTCAGTAGCAATACAGATTGGTACGACCAATCAGAGGGCTTTATTTTACAGATCATACGGTAAAGTAATCTATACCAAATCTAAAGTAATTCTATGACTAACAGTTTTCAAGATATGATAATGCAAAATTTTACCAAGTCCATTATATACCCAGATGCTGCAATAGCAGTATGTTCCATAAATATATACAAAAACAAGCAGTACACATGAACATATATACAAGCCATATTATATGTAAAGCACAAAAAAGATATACCAGTATACAAAAACAGTATAAAGTTCTTTGAAAATAGCATCCTTTGAACAAAGGCCTCCGGAACTGTACCTCCTTCTTCTGAGGTACAAGTTCTGGAGCTCAGTGGTAGAGCACTTGTCCGAAGTGAGGGGCAGTGGGTTCGATCCCCACTTGGATGGACCGACTTTTTCACATTAGCCCTTAGCACAGAATTTCATTCTGTGTTTCCATTAAATAAGACAATTAGGAGTTGAAAAAAACAACAACAACAACCAACAACAACTCCCTGGAGTAGCAGATCCCACCGAACAAAACATACTTTAACAAATCAACCATCATTTTGAACATTTCATGATAGAACGGACAGACAGACAGATAGATGGATGCCTTCTTTATCCCTACGCAAGTTTTTTTTCAGTGGGATTATGAATAAAACATGTATAATGTCAAATACACACTTATTTTGGTATAGCATCAAAAGCAAAAAAAAGAAATTTGTGCAAAATTATATTCACAACAACAGAACAAATTTGAAAAACTTCTACTGTATACAGTCTATACGCTACTTATATACTTCAAAAGCCTGGACAAAAATAATCATAAGCTCCTTGCAAAACAAACAACAACAAATATCACTTCCAAATCCAGTTCTCAACTCTTGGTGGAGAATCCTAAATGAATGAGAACATTAGCAAAAAATATTCACACAAAATACTGTACAGCAGCGAGTACATACAAGTCTTTGAAATCTCTATTATTGTATATTTTCAGGAGTTGCTTTGACATTATACCAAGTGTAGACATACTAAAAATATACTGGCTGACCATGAGGTGGATATGCCAGAAAACCTATCCGAGGAAAAAAATACTAGGCGAGGCGAAGCCGAACCTAGTATTTTTTGGGGGGGTCATCCAGTATTTATTTTATTATGCACCTCCCTACTTAATTTACTGAAGATAAATAAAAGATGGTGTTAAATTGTCAAGAAATACTTTATTTTAAAGAATGGGTCTACTAAAACTCCTCGAAAAGAAATACTAGGCTCGGCTTGGCCTCGCCTAGTATTTTTTCCTCGGATAGGTATTCTGGCATTTCCACCTCATGGTCATCCAGTATTTGTTTATTACTTTACCACCCACTGCCAAGGATTGGCCAATATTGCCCAAAAATCTTTGTGGGGCAACAATACAATTAAGCATTTCTAAACAGTCAACTACAATAACTGGAATTACACATAAAATCTTAAATAAGAGATTTCAAAAACGTTTAAAAACAAAATCAAGTTTAATACACAAAGAGCACACATATATGTGAAGTATACAGTATACCTGTATGGTGACCAGTTGGGCTCAGTGTGTTTGGGGAATCTAAACAATATAAGGTAAAACGTGATACAGTGAAATACATAAATGTACATGCATTCACCAAGGAGAAAAATTAGAATATAGAAAAAAGTACAGATGTTTTACAGCATGGGGGTTGGGTATTCTTAAGGCAGTTCTCTATTTTTAGAAAAAGAAATTTCAGAAATTCTTAAGGTAGTTCTCCAAATTTAGAAAAGTCATTTCAACATATTTCTAAAAAAATATTCTGATTAAGGTATTATGTAATAATGGTGGCGAATATCTACATCAAATTTTGAAAAGCAATACCCTTTTAAGTTAGTTAATTGTGATGGTGAAGATTATCGAAAATACTTATATTGCAGAGCTACCTTAACAAAGAGAAATCTGGCAAATTAATACATAGCTAAAAATAGCCATTTAAGGAAAAACAAAAATTAGAGACATGAGAAAGAGACAGGAGACAACATGATGTGACGTCTAAAAACCCCAAAGACTTTACAACATTATATCATAAGACGTTTAAGAGCCTCCAATTTGATACCCCTCGGTACACCCAAATATATTGCACGATTTTAAAATTGGAGGCTATTTAAAAGTCTCATAAACATCCACACTAAATGTAGAATGTAATACACTCTATATATTAGACCTGTTTCTTCAAGTGGACTAGGACGGAAAATCTTGCGGAATGCTGTGGAAAAACTTTTTGACGGTTTCAATGGACTACCTAGAAATAAGAATTCGTTATATTGTGAAATATGATTAGTACTTGTATTCAGAATTTTTTTTAATTTTGTTGATTGTAAGTTGCGAGCCTTACACGATTAGTAGCAGATAATAAAGAAAGTGCAGCTGTGAGACCAAGTGCAGCTGTGAAAATAAGTACATGTACACTGTTGGGGAAGTTTGCAGGTATGTTGATTTCATCAATGTACCAATCTGGCAAAATCCTGGATTTTTGTGTAATTTTCTTCTTTTCTATAAACCCTTCGCAGTCTGAGGACAATATGTCTCGGAAATTTTGAATTTTCCCTATTGTGCACTGATGAGATACCTTGCCAAAAACACATATTGTTTTTCTAATACTGTACCTTTATATATTGAGCAAGAAAACACTATGAAGGAGAAAACTAAAACCCAGAGGCTCATATTCTACAAAATGTCCAAGTTATCTTCAAAAAGTGCAGCTTAACCACCCAATATTGAACAAAATACATTCAGACATTGGTACTAGTCTGCTCTTGCATCTGTAAAATGAACTACAGGGTGGGCCATTTTTCTATTTATCCAATTGTCTTTATTTTTGCAGTTCAATCCACAAAACTTCAGATAATGATAAAATGATTATTTGTGAAAATGTTAAATGATTTTTTGTGGACTAAACTGCAATATTAAAGAAAATTTAATAAATAGAAAATGTTCCAATTTTTATTGGCCTACCCTGTAATAAGCGATTTTCCTAGAATTTTGATATCATTTATGTGGCACCTGCCACCACAAGGCAGATCACTGGTGCGCACCCAGACTGCAAATAATTAACCCGACTGCAAAGAGTTAAGCTGACTGCAAAGAGTTAACCCGACTGCAAAGAGTTAACCCGACTGCAAAGAGTTAACCCGACCGCAAAGAGTTAACCTGATTGGATGTTCAGCCAGATTGACACACTGATAAATCATCAAACATGCTTAAATCCTCCACAGTAAAACGGGAATATAACTTTGCAACAATGTTAGTAATAAAGGATAAGCAGTAAACTCACCGTGCTTTTTGTTTTTCAAAATTGGCACCGGTGCATCGCCATTTTGTAATGTGGCAGCTGACTCGATGCTATTGCAGGTGGGTGGACGCTTCATGGAATCTAGATTGTAGTAAATCATGCAGATGTTAAAAACAGTAACAGTTTTAATATGCCATCAGTACAATGCATGCATTCTATTTGTTAATAATATCAAACAAACAAACAAATAATGCTTCTTATTAGTCTAAATCAAACAATTGCTTTTTTCATTCTTTCTCCTTTTCTAACTATAACACTGTATATGCTTCTAATATATAAGTCTACTAATGGAGTAAAACTTGCTTCATGGGATAGGACAGAATTATCGCCTGTGACACGTCAATGTTGTTGTCGAGCAATAGGTTAAAACACGCTATGCAGGAATTTGAAGTTTTTGAAGTTTGCATGCTTACAAGTGGCTGTGTGATCAAATGCATTCAATGGAGTGAAGAACTGATTCAACTGGAACTTCTTCGGGATCGCAATTTATTTTCAAATGAGCGATAATACTTCCAAAAATATGGACTGATCCATGTGTCGTGTTTTACTCCATTTCCAGACAACTTCACTGGTTGCATTTTCAACTACTCATGGTAAAATGTAATGTATAGTACATGAATGGCATAGGGACTTATATATTGTTAACCTAACATGCAGATGTAGTTAGAATCATATCTACTGCAAAACTTGATGTTATTTATCCATGTGTAAGTAATAACTATAAAATGAGCACAATCAGGTTATATGAGTATGAAGCACACATTTGGGTTATAGAAGCACACATTTGGGTAATATGAAGCACAGATTTGGGTTTTATAGCACCCATTTGGGTTTATATACAGCACATATAATCTCTAGTGTTTTCTATGACAAAAGTACTTGGCAGCATATTACACCCCCATGTTTTCAGGTCAGCAATTCATCATGCGTTTTATATATAGTTATGGGGTATTATTTTCATAATTAGATATATTTGTGCAAAACTTTTTGAACGACCGTTGTATTACCATGGATTTTTTGTATCCATAAAAAGCAACCACATGATGAACAGATTTGCAAATCTAGTGTGGTAGAAATACTTGTATTAGAAAGTAGTGAGTTAGATGTGGGAGTGTACGATGATATATTATGTAAGGCCATTCAAAGTTAAATTATCATATGTTTAACATCTCTTTTCCTCGAAAATATATTTCAATAGCCCTATGCCTTGGGAATGAAGTCAGATACATGTATGTGTAGTTAAATACTGTGTTTCTCTACAAGTATTCTACATGTATGTGATGTTAATTAATGTGTCTATATGTACTAATATGTTAGTATTACGCACATGTTATTTCGCACATCTGGAAACCTTTCTGTCTTTCACCAAGCTACTCATTGAACAGTGCATCAAGTACATGTACATGGTGAGTTACATGTGGTAAGCTACACAAACATATGGCAAACTACACATACATATGGCAAGCTACAGATACATATGACAAACTACATATAATGCATGTAAATGCGTACAAACAAGGTGAACTGGGCTGGGCTACCTTTATGAAATACTTTAGTCAAAGACGAAAAAGATTTCCATTTGCGTTTCATGCTGGATTTATTTTGGGACTCTTGGGAACTTGTTGCTATGGTAATCATAGGTAACTCCCAATCATCTTGATCGGTTTCCAGACCTGTGGGAGATGATAGGCTCAATACATGGACACGATTGCTTGCATTCTCGCGGAGTGGGGACGAAGACGATAACATTTCAACTTCCTCGTCGGTGTCTGTAGGGTCATATTCAGCTCCCCCTATTGGTGGATTTAAAGATTAAAGTAATGTGCGATCTATCAGAAATGCAAGTATCTACATAAACCAAGAGGATTCTGACTGACATTCAGTACATATTACAGAGTGACCCTAAAAAACAGAAGCCACATATCTGTTCTGGTGAATAAATGGTTCTGCTTTTTTGGGTCACTCTGTATATTGTAGTTTACTATACTATAAACACTGCACAAACATTAATCAAGCCAGAAAATCTAACCCAAATTGTTCAGGAATCAAACAATTGAACATGCAGAATAAATATGCAATTCAATATTAAAGTGATAGTAACAGTAAACAAGGCATTAACATGCAAAATGTCACCACCACCTGCATTTGTTACAGACTCTGAACGCCGAACACAAGATGCCAAACACTGTCCACATAAAAGTTGGAGATTAAAACAACAATATGTCGCCACTTCTGGTGGTGACATAAAATGATACAAAGTAAATGACGTTACTGTTTGAGTATCAAGCGCATATAGCAAAGGCCACATCCATGGTGGAGAGAAAAAACATAATTGAGTGTATAAAGCATGTAAATACTGGATTCAAATATAGCCGCATACTAGGAGAAAACAAGACAACAAATCAATACAAAATACAAAATAGAAAACACATACTCATCAGATTAATATAACATCAAATCACAGGGCTGATTTTATAGACCAACTTTCTAATACATATGATGGGCCGTTCATAAAAATGGGCGGGATAATCATTTCATTCTATCGTACCTGCAATAATCTTGTTGCCGCCCTCACTGTTGGTGGCCTGGTTGAAGTGCTCTTCCTCTTCTTGACGTCGGTGAATGTTCTCTAAGTTAAGTCGACGTTCAACATCTGCCGCAGAGCCCTTCCTACAAACGCACGACGGAAATGAACACATTACGGTCAAGATTCATGACTCATGTTGGAAGCATGACTGACACCAATATCCATACTGGCATTCGGATCATTGACTGACAGGCAACTGTTTTTCCAGGTCCACTGAGTGAAAACAACTTGGCATTGGTAGTCACTGACTAGTCAGCTGGTGTGAGTTTTTAAGCAGCTGTGAATTTCTAAATAATATTCTGGATGATATCCCATATTGTTTTTTCCAAAAGTGATACAATAGAAAGTTTGTTACTATGAGGGTTGTCCCAGAAATAATGCACTATATGCTCTAACTTTCTCGTATAAGTGATGGTTCTTTGAGATCAATTCTTTATGTAGCGTATTCCATTCATGTTATCTTTATTTTAACTTTTAGTGATATCAAAAAACATTATAGTTAAAACGCAAGCTTAGAATATTTGCTGGGGCCTCTCTTACTTGATGTGTGTGAATTGGTCCTGACAGATGACAGGCATGGAGAGTCGCAGGAACTCCAAGCGAACTTTTTCTAGAGTGCCAAAGTTCTTGGAGTTCACCTTCAGGCAAGGGGGACTTCCACTTCTGCAATATAAATCAAAATAATCATTATGGTGTTATAAATTCTGCATAATAAAACTAATAAGTGCCGTTTTGAAGAGAAGCTGAACATGTTAATGCATGCATTTGCTTTTCAGCAGTGCTTTTACACAATCTGAACAATATTGGATAAATGATACCAACATATACATATTTTTCTGTGCCTAGTAGAGTTTTAGGAAGATAAGTTGGTAAGATATATCCCATATCCTGATTTTGAGGTTTCCATATCCAGAACCTCCATACCTCCCACTAAATCTTTCGCTCCTGGGTAGGTCTACTCACTTCAAGTAAATGAAAAAAAATTGAATTTAGAAAACTCCACTGAGTGTAGGATAAAGCAGTTATGTATGTTCAGTTTGGACATTGGGTTTATCCCTCAGGAGATATGCATATCTCCCTCTGGATAAACCCCATATCCAAAGCTCCCAATGCACAACCGAATTTTTTTCTCAACTCGAAAATGATTCGATTCATCAACTTCGACTCGATTCGACTCGACTCGAAACCCCAAACCCGCGAGTCCTCGACTCATCGGGTTGTCGTCTCACCCCTATATATCATACATACCCTCCTTGAATCCTCTGTACATCAAGTCTAGGATGAGCTTTGCTCATTGGTTCATAGATGGCCTGGTCTTTCCCATACCATAGAGTCATCTGCCGAGTCATATTCCTGGAACAGAACAATACACATCTTTAAAATTAAGAACTCCAACAATACATGGGACATTGTGGATTTTGATGGGTCTCTTCTATGGGACTCAATAGAAAATCATGGGATCTTACCTGATGAGGAGTCCCCATAGCGTATACATTTACTTTTTACAGTACACACTTTTACTATACAGTATGGAACTCAAGATTTGGGTGAAATAAAATGAATTACAGAAAAAAATTGTTGAAATTGAACACCACTTACAGAGGCATTCCATGTTACAAGCTTTTCTGTATAATGCTTGGCCTTATACTTACACACAGAATGGTTCATATCCTTCCTGTAGGCCACAACATGTGAAGTATTTCAATGTGTTAACATCCTGGCCAAAGTTCAGCTTGCCTAGTTGTTTAGCTCCAAGTGTAAAGGCAGGTACATAGCCCTCTGTGATGCTGATGTCTTTAAAAGCTATCTCTTGGCCCATGCTATCCATCATCAACTCTCCATTCAGTGAAAATGCTACAATATCATACAAAATTATTGTTGAAAATATTTATCGTATTTAAGCGCACCCCCTTCATCTACACATCCACCCGCACACATGACTAGCAGATCAAAGTAATTACAACTAATAACTCTTAAAGTGTGATAACATCAAAATGGTTTGTTCTAAATCAAGGTGACAAGATATACTTTACTACAAAGTAATTCCACTCTACTGTACTTACTAATGGTTTTATCTGTTATATCAAGCAAGCAGCCTATGACGTCACCTTCCTGCCATTGTTTACCATAGCTTTCAGCACCCTGGTGCCATTTCTTGGCCTGGAGAGATTTATGTAAAAACCAGTAAGAAATCTGTCACGATTGATCGTCAAGGTTTGACATTAAGAGCGGAATTCAGTGGATTCAGCAAAGGGTGAAAATAGAACAAGAGGCATGGAAACAAACAATGTACTTCTTGAAATAACTTTAAATTTCTTTCAAAAAAAGATGCACATTTTTAAAATAAATAAATGAACCTCATGAAATATTGAATATACTTCTAAAACTATATGATGTACTTCTTGAAAATCCTACTTTACAATAACGGTACTCACGGCATATCCATCAAATCCATATGATTTGTCATCCTCCCCAAGTTCCTTGCCAGGCTTGAATGACACTTTACAATAGCCGACCCTCATGTACCCAGGGGTAATGACCTCTAGTTCATAGTACCATTTCCCGCTGGTCACAGCATAGGTTGTCTCACCGCGATATGTCCTGTATGGTTGTTTCTTGTCCGAAAGATCCCGAGACAAACCTATAATGCCATATATGGGCATGAATTTAATCGGAAATGTAGAGGTATTTTTCTTGTATTGAACTAATTAGTATAATTACAACTAATTGTTTACTGGTTTAAGTAATGCTACACATGTCTCTTAATTGTCTATTACTAAATTTTTAAAAGTTTATTCTAGCTTTTTTCTAATCTCACCATCACTACTCTGGAGTCCATTTATCGAAAAAATTATTGTGAATTATTTTTCATGAAATTCAGGACTTATAATTCACAATATTTTCCATAAATATGCTCCTCAGGGGTCGGTTTTGAAACTGTCGCGGCATAAGATTTTGTTGCAAGTCAGTGTTTGTCATAAAGTAGACAATTGTTTTTCTCAGAATCTTAAGTTACAATTGCCCCAAAAACGAACCCCTGCATACCTTTTTAAATGTATAACAATAGTTGTAATTGATGTTAATCCTGGTTAACCAATTAAAACATTAAACAATGCAAAACAAATGTATGTCATCCATATGTATAGTGCTGCATACAAACTTGGAAGTGCTTAGACTTGAGTTAATGTATGAGGCAGCTCAGTTACAGGCTTGACAAAATCAAAATAATTTTGGACAGCATACTCATAATATTTAAGACAGAATACTCAAGATATTTTAGTCAGCATACTCAAGATATTTTAGACAGCATACTCAAGATATTTTAGACAGAATACTCAAGATATTTTAGACAGCATACTCAAGATATTTTAGACAGCATACTCAAGATATTTTAGTCAGCATACTCAAGATATTTTAGTCAGCATACTCAAGATATTATGTAAAATGATCCAACCTTTATCATCAAGAGATTGATTAAACTTTGGTTTGAGTTAGTTCAAGCCAATATATTTTCTTTCATCAAAACATGCCTCTTTCAATTACATGTACAAGCAAAAGCGTACTCGGAACATAACACTGTCCCAAGTACATGTATTAAGCCACACACAAACTCAGTTGTATTAAACAGTACAGTACAGTACAGTACAGTATAAAAATGCAAAATATGTTCATAAATACTTACTGATGTCTTTAAAAACTTGTTTATTTACATAACCAATTAACCAGAACATACATATGTATTTACTGATAGAATGGCATGTACAAAAGTACATCGACTGATGATACATTAAAAACATTAAAATAGACAGTGAACGCAAGAATGGTCAACAAAAAGCAGTGTCCAGCATAGAGCAATAAAGACAATTAAAGGGGCAATCTTTAAAATCCAAATTATATACCCCAATTATTTTACAATCATTATAGCCTGTTTTTGGCATTATCAATAGATTCAAATTGGTTCAAACCTTCTTTTTTGTAAATATTGAAGCTTGAAAAATTGCTCATCTAAAATGCTTGTGACATGACAGGATCCAAATTGAAACAGATGCTCTTACCTTTTTCAATTTTAAAAACTTGATCAATTCATTTTAGATGTGAACAATATTGTTAAAACTGCTTAAAACTGCTATTATTTATGCAACAAAGTTTGTTGTTTGAGTAAAATAAGGATTATTCTGATGTTCTTTAATTTAGTTGTTAGACTCCTCTTTTAATCAATTAATTAAAAATCAATTATATCCACTTGATTGATATCTCATCATCCCCTTTGGAACCCTTTGATAAATAGAATAACAAAAAATTAGTAACTCTCAATCCATTGCTTTAGGATGAGGATTTATTGGGTCTGTTATGGCTGGAGTATTGCTCTATGTGGATATGTTAGTATTAGCATTAAGCACAGACCTGAGGGTGACGTACCACTCTCCCCTGCCTCATTGGTGGGGGGTTCTAGCTGGTATCCATAAGCAAGTAGTGTTCTCACTGTCTCATTGGCAGTCTCTCTGAAAACATATCGCAGAGTAATAAGCATTAACAAATATGCATATAGCATATAGAAAACATTTTGTGCAAGACACAACTGACATTTTATCTGTGAATAAGCAGCTTTTCAGCTAAAAAAATTGTGTGAAAATATTGAAATTTCTTGTTCCGCCACATTATTCAAATTAGTCAGTGAAACCCTGTGTTCATGTTTAAAGAAGTGCTTATCGGAGTCTTGTTCAGGTCAGACAGGTTTTACTGTACTTAAATCATACCTGTTGGCTTTCTTGATGAGTGGATCAACTTTGTTGTAGGGCACCAAATGTGGGCTCCTCCTGGTGTACTGGTCCTCAATGACACCATACGTCCAGCCCTGCTTGATACGGTCCCTTGCCCATACATTGTGAGTGTTCTCTGCCAGGCAGTCAACCAGTTCATCCATCTTGTCATTAAGCTGGATCCCCATAAGGTCTAGAGGGGTGGGTTTATAGCCATTAGGCTGCAGGTAGCTGGAAAAGTAAGTTGCATAATTTCATGAATGCATGTACGTAGCTTGGTAAATAAGTTGCCTGTTCATAAATGCCAGTAGGTAGCTGGAAAAGTTGCTTATTTTCATTAATGCTTGTAAGGTAGCTGGAAATGGCAAGTAGCATTTTCTCCTTAATGCCTCTAAGCCATTGTTTTACTAAATCATGAACTTCGGTGAAATATTTTTGCTACTTGCAGTTTTATATAAATCAGAGTTGTACCTGGTAGTATACTACTTTCATCAAACCAGAGAATTGGATGTTTATTTCTCCAAAATTCATTCAAATCACTTCAACGACACTTGGTTAGTGACTTACTTTTGTGGAAGCTTGACTGTCTTGATCCTGTTGTTCTCCTGCACCTGTGGATTGATGCTGATATGATAGCCTAGAGCCAGTAGTGTCCTGCAACATTAACATGTAGGTAGATGAAAGAATAACTTGCATATTTGTTTAATGCATGCAGGTACCAGTAGCTGAAAAAGTTCCATACATGTAATAAACATAACATAAACAACACAAACATCACAAACAAACAAACACAAATGTCCTTTCATCATAAATTCAATAACATGTGCATTCAATTCAATTTATTTCATAATTTCTTGAATGATATACACTATAAGATCATGCAGTTACTCCCATGGGCGTAGATTTTTACTACATATAGACTACATTCGATTTTTTGTCTATATGGACTTGTACATTGGACTGTTTATAGATGGCTTAGTATGTAATATGCCATAGGAAGGGTGACATGTTTGTACCAAAATTGTAAACCAAGACATTACTATTAATCAAGACTGCATCTCTCTTAATCTTAGTCATTGGTTGTCAAAATGTAAGATTGAGCAGAATTGACTATTGGATCGAGACAAACATATTTCAAATTATACCTCAAGGTTTCATATGCGAGTGTGATATCATACTGCCGTTCACTGCGAGGCAGGCGCTCAAACGTCGTCAAACATGGATGAAGACGTCTCTGGTCATCACGCCTCTCGTCCCAGACCCAACCTTGTTCTATCTTGCCCATAGCCCACAATTCGTGGATATTCTCAGCCAGTCTGTCTCGTACATTTTCTATATAGGCAGGAAGTTGGATATGGGACGTATCAATGGGGTTAGGTACAAAGGCGATGTGCTCTACAGCTTCGTTAGGCCCACACAACAGTCCCCGTGGAGCATCGCCAAACTGGAAGCATGGCTCGATACGCAGCTTCTCTCGTGGAAGCAAAGACTCAAATACAGGAGCGTGGCCCTCTGGTGGACCATGTTTCTGTTTACCATGGTCTCCTCCTAACATGAATCGGCAGCTAAAAAGATATGTACATCAAATATTATTCACCATAGAATTTGGATGTGCAAAATCAGCTGTCAAAATTTTCCCTTTTAAATGACATTTTAGTTTAGTTAATGTTCCATTCAAAGTATTTTAACATTAAATTTTAAAAATATAACAGCACAAAATATAATAACGTTATATTTAATAAAGATACATGTATATGTTCATACCTGGATTTTGCCGACATACTGACAACTGGGTAGAACATGCCATCTATATTGAAATCCCTGAAATATCCACGTACACGGACCCCATTGACAGTAAACATCATCTGTGGGACACTCAGATCAAGGGCGCACCCTATAATGTCCCCCTTCTCAAATTTATGATGAGTGGTCCTGACAGATTGGGGCTTGCCACCTAGACAGAAAATAAAATTCTTATTTTCATTTTGTTTAAAATTTCTGAAATTTGCAAAAACATGGGTTTTCCAGAGAATGTCTTTTGAGAGTCTTAACAAAAACTGGAGATTTTGCCAAAATGTTTTGTAATTTGTCCTAAATTATCTAGGAAAAGCATTTTTCCCAATAAATATTTCTCAAGATTCAGGTAGATCCTTTTGGATCCATTCTGTCTAAATTCAACTTAATAATAAAAAAAAAATTAATTCAAAAAATGGATTAAAAGTAATATTACCTGTCCAAAGACTTGTTCCGTCAAATCCATACGAGTAGAGATCATCGCCCACCCCATTGGCCCCCCAGTGTTCACCACCCCCGGGGAAGCAGCTATACCCCTCAGTGTTGGCAAAGCCAATGCGAATGTGAGGCTCTAGATGCGTCACTGTCTCTAAATGGTCCACGACAACCTCAAAGTACCACCGCTTATACATGGATGACCCCTCACACATACCAACAAATATATTGGGACGCATACTGAAAAATATATGTAATTTGAAAGTTTATTTCAAGATAACTTCATATTCATTAATTGTCACATAGTAATTCAATGTATGGCTTTAAATTGAGGGAGTTTGATCCAACATCCTTGTAAAAAATGTTCATCAAAGCTACTAAAACCTGTATAAGTATATCAGTATATTGTTATTCCTATCATTTCCTTGGTTTAACTACCTTTCAACTTTCTCCAAAATTGATTAAATGTCATACAAGTAGAATCGTACCTAAAAACATGGTCCACCATCCTAGTTTGTAACAAAAGATCGCGATTGGGTAGCAAGTTCTCACAGATGAGATTCTGATTGGATCGGACTGCAACGTTATTCCCGACACACAGCGAGCACAGCACATCCAGGACTTTAGGCTCACGACCATGCTTGTCGATGAGAGATATGATAGTTACGATATGTTTCTCTTTGATCATATTCAGTGCTTCGGGGCTGTCTATAAGCACACAGTGGAGGACGTCTAGGACCCCACTGGATGACTGCTGACTCTCTAAACGCTGCACTAGCCAGTCAAGACGGTAGGATTGAGCAAACTGGGCGCAGTTTATACGATTTCCTCGGATCATCGCAGCTGGAAAGTAGAAACATGAGGATATAAAGAGAAACCCAAATAAAACAGCATTCATTGTAACAAATATGAAATTCACCAATATTGCAATCCAATACACTTTGTCAATGAAAAAAATTAATATTTCCAAAACAAGAAGCAATGATAAAAAATTTTAATCTTCTGAAGCTGAAAACAATGGCCTTTAATCTTTGATTTATACAGGATATACAAAATCATAACTTCTGGGACACCCCGTAAATATACTATATTCTGGTATATTTTAAATACTTCAACAAAAAATTCAAATGCACAAATTCAGAAACATATAGTCAGAGACATACAGGCTCAAAATACAAAGCTTGTAGTATATTTCTTACCTAACAATAGATAGAGATAGCTTGAGATGTCGTCATAGCTACTAGCTGCCTCCTCTCCAGCAAAGTGGGCAAAGTGGCGGGCACTCTTAAATTGACTTGTCTTGTCAATGGTGTCTAGGATCAAAGCAATCATGCCTTCTTCCTGGAAGAGATCCTGTCTGTTTCGCAAAGCTTTCAGTTTAGTTTGCTTTTCTTCATGCTCTACAACAGAAATATTTCGGATTGTTACTTTATTTATTTATTGAAACATTTTTATTTTTGAAATGTCTTTCAGGATTTTACCTTGAATACCCAAAGTGATGGATATATCAGTCACAAAACTTTTTGTTCAATATACATACACAAAATAGGTATAAGATGTATGTAATTTTTCTGTGTTCAGTAATTATACCAATTTTTGGAACAATATTTAAAAAGATAGAAATAAAGCAAAATTAAAAAAAAAATGTCCTCACATTCACGAGGCAAATATTGTATTTCTAATGTACATAATAACAGATTGTACAGACAGCCTGTATTGGCCAAATTACCTTCTCCTTCATCTGGAAAGGCAAAATAGTCGATGAGATCTTCCAAACACTTGACAACCTCCCCCATTGAGAAGCGTTGCCATGCTGCACAATTCCTGCCCTCCAATTTCAGAGCATCAAGTCCCCTGAAACGACAAGCAAAATATTCATATATTTTGTAATCATATTATAGAGCCGTATTACAAATTGGATTAAGTCATCACAATAAGTAATATCCAAGTTTTTCGAATCAGGGTGCTAAATCTTTATTTCACCCCATTGACTGGGTGCAAACTGATTTCAACTGGGTGGCATGTAATTTTTAAATTTCCGGCAGGGTGAAGCACCAATTTCCCCTAATGCTGGGAATATAACTTACAATGAATATGCTGTTGGTCACCCTAAAATTTTCCCATTTTGACAGTACCCTCAAACCTTAAAGCCCATATTAATGTGAAGGCTAATATAGATGACCAAAAGGAGGGACAACATTGGGAACCATAATAACACAGGACAATGGACACACAGTGTTGACTTTCATTTAAACTATTGAGTCGCCAGAAAGATTGCATTGCTATATATTTTGAGCTTGTTGGGATAAATAAATCAGCAAAACAGATTAGGAATATGGATGGTCCCAGGTGTGAGCTCTTTATTTGGCAAAAACAATCAAAGGAATTCGGCAGAGTAAAGTAATAAGAACTCACAAAAGTAAAGACGCTATTTCAGTGTAAGACTATACTTTCATATTTAAAAATGTCAATGTTAAAATTAAAAAATATGACTTGATAATGAACAAGTATGACTTTGTCCTGCATATAACCCTGAGAAAGTGCTCAGATGTGAGCTTATAAGCTTTATAAAATTTCAATGTTTTTTCTGGCTTGTATGCAGGTGTATGGACTGTGTATGTTACCTTGTAAATCTGGTGAACAGAGATGTACAAGTCCTGATCACCCTTGCTGATCTGGATTCTTCTTCCTGGGCCCTTGTGAATGTAAAGCCATCATCCATGTGGCCCTCAACCAGCATAACAGCCTGAAATACAAAGATTATTAAGATTATCATCTTGTTATCCAGATTCCTTGGCTCTGTGATTAGGAAAACAGTGTGAATCGCATCTAGACAAGGTAACACCATAGGGTATAAGTTTCTCTAAACATTCCCCCATGCCAGTTTTAAAAAAATTCAAAACAGAATACTTAATAGAATAGCAAAAGTTAACTTGGCTGACAATTTTGGACACTCACTTTCTTCTCTTCGACGCGCCCCACTCCTCTTTTCTTAGTTTCGAAAGTTTGGTACGAAAGCCACAGACCGGTGTTGACGTGTTGCAGAAAGATCATGGAGTCGCCATATTTGATTTCTGCTGTTCCCATTCCTGCGTCTTCCCGGCTTTCTGTGTGTTTGCGGTCATCCTGGAATACAGAGTTGCTTTATATTTTCTTAACCTGATTTTTATATTAATGAAAATCATCTTACAACTGTCTTGTCTCTAATGCCTCAGTCATGTTTGATCTACAGCAACCATACAGTGGCCATGACTTCTCAAATTCGAGAGAAATATTTATCATAAAATATAGGATAAGCAGTTCAATGTGGAAGTTCGATTTTATGAAGCTAAAGCCATCATACGCACACTGTAGAGAAAATATGTCTACGGCTAACGAATCTAAAGTTAAGATTTTTAAAATAAAAGTGACATTAAAAACATTTCTTGAGCCTGAATTATTTAAAACTAATTGTTTTAAGGAAAGTGAGCTAAAAAGCATCTTTATACTAGCTATCTCTGTGACTAGAAATCAAAATAAGCGTCTTCACAAAAAAAAAAAAAAATTATGAGCATGATCAATTAAATAAATAAAATTCAAATGAGTAACTGAACTTCTTTAATGGTGTATACGTTTCCTCAAGAATTTCGATCTCTGATTTTACCTCTGAAATTAATACTCAATTTTCCAGCACCAATCTACAGAATGAATGTCTAGCTTTGGGCAATGTTACGTAATATAAGAATCTGCTAGGTAGTGGCACCATAGAAGCATTCCCGTATCCCAGAATAAATAGCCACAGTTCTGGTTAGACTATACTTCGAATGATTTACATATGAAATCACCAGAAAAGTAAACAGAGGAATCTTCCATTAAGCCGAAGCAGCATTCTGTTGAATATCAAAATCGAAGAAAAAAATGGAGCTTTGGTAAAGAAGGACTCAGCTAATTTTAATTTTCTTATATTTTCCAAAATTTATTCCTCTGTTAAACTTGATGTTCTGCAGTCTACCAATTTAAACACATATAGTCTATAAATGTGCTGGAGCATGATTAGGGTTGAATCTGTAAAGAGTGCAACTTTTAATTATCTTAAAAAATTCTTGTAAACGGGTAAATTAAGATAGTAAAGAAATAAAGAAATCTACACCTGCAAATTACACCACTAGGCTGAGTGCCATTACTGATAATATCCATTTAACTAATCTATGGTATTTCATATTTTTCAAAAAAAAATTCCACAGAGTGCTTGGTATGCAAAATGTCATGAAACCCATTTAAATTGATTTTCAAGGTATCACCATTGGTAATATAGCAAATGACGAATGGATTTTCCAAAGTTAAACTCGAGATTTTCCAAAAAAAAGCCTTTTAAGCATTAGAATTGGATTTTGATGGCATAGCCAAGTTTGGACACTACCCAGTATCTGCTAAGAGAAGCAGTATGTTGAGAAAAGAATTACATGCAGTAGAAGTAATCTACGGCGAAACCGCCTTTCCTGAATAACAGCATTCTCAAGATATGTACAAATCCGTAAATATTCTAAAAAAATTCATTCTATGATGAGTTCAAGTCATTCATAGTTTAGTTTGAAATGGTGTGAAGTATATAGTTGTTACAAAGTTTCATTAAGAATATGAGAGAACCTTAGAAATTAGAATATGGGTGATTCTTATATGTAAAAACAGAAAATGGTAAAGTATAAGATCTTATGATGTGCTATAGTTAAGTTGATATACAACACTAAAACAAAGAGGAACTATACAAGTTATGAAACTAGACAAAATTTAGTACTAAAGTGATAAACTATCTAATAAATCTGCCACCATAGCAACTGTATAATAAAATAAACTGTTGCTATGGCAACAAGTAGATAAAGAAAGTTAGTATACTTCACTAAAGCTAACCTTTTTATACTCTGAAGGGATCTAGAATGAGAGAACACAAATGTAGCATATTATATAAGGTGGTGAGTTATAACATCCAATATAAGATAACTCCATGGGAATCAGTCTTGGGGGGAAGGGGGGATGAGCGTTGCATGAGGCATGAGGCTCGCCTCACCAACATTTTGCAGAAATAATTTTTTTAGACATTTTTTGACAGAACTTTGGAAATGAAGTTCAAATGGAAAAAAAGAAATGTTCCACTTTTTTGGACCACCCTGTAGTATTCTCCCTCCTTTAGCCTAGATTTGCCTTGACTTTTTGCATTGCCTAACTTTAGATTCTGGCTACACCCCTGATGGGGTCAGTCTTTGGGTGGGTTGGGCCCCGAGCACTTCAAAGACCCCCATTGAGTTTCTATATTGGAGAATAAGCTATACCCTGTATATCAAATCACAATTGAGTTTTTCACATGGAAAGGCAACATATGTGGACAAAAAAACAACATGGGAAAAACACAATATGATGTGATCTACAAGGGAACATATCACACTACTGTACTGATATACCATATAAATACTAGTAAAGATTGATTATCCAGGGGGCCATTTCTCAATCTTTAACAATTTAATATGGGAAAAATATGATAAATCAATATTTCTGAGAAACAGGTCCCAGATAATGGTTATCCGAGGGGCCATTTCTCAACCTTTAACAATTTGGGAAAACAAGATTAAATCAACGAATCACAATATTTTTGAGAAACGGGTCACAGAGAATGGTTTATTTTTACATTTCAAAAGGATAATCAAACTTTGAAACAAGTTAACTTTGGTGTGAACTGAAATTCAATTAGTGAGAACACTCGATATTAAATATACATAAAATGCAAGGTGGTTGACAATGTCCCCATAAAATGTTTCATATTTGACATATTTTTGAAATTCTTCCAACAATTGTTCCAAATGCACTTCTTTGAAAAATTATTATTGCAGCGTTGCGTATCAAAGTATATTAAAAACACTTCTTTATGGCCATAGATGACAAATGTGCACAAATGACTTTGAATGTCAATTTCCTTGACAAGACCCTTTAAGTGTCAAGTTCCTTGACAAGACCCTTTAAGTGTCGAGTTCCTCGACAAGAATCTTTAAGTGTCAATTTCCTTGACAAGACCCTTTAAGTGTCGAGTTCCTTGACAAGACCCTTTGAATGTCAATTTCCTTGACAAGACCCTTTAAGTGTCAATTTCCTTGACAAGACCATTTGAGTGTCAATTTCCTTGACAAGACCCTTTAAGTGTCAATTTCCTTGACAAGACCCTTTGAGTGTCAATTTCCTTGACAAAACCCTTTAAGTATCAATTTCCTCAACAAGACCCTTTAAGTGTACAGCGCGATTACAGAACATTACAAGGAATGTAACCACCATTACATTGTATGTTAATGAAGCTATTTTAACCACTCAAAAAACATCACACTATTTAAATACTTATACAACAATTTTTATAACAGAGCTTGTGTAGTTAAATTCACTATAATACTCACTATAGGCAGGATCGCAACTCAAAACATGTTAAATTATACCAACAGTCGACACACTTGACTAGCTGTCGCTATGGCAACAGGTACATTTCTTACTTTTGATTGACGTAAATAAAAAGCGGCTACATCCTCCGTAGAACGATTCCTGTGGACCGTCACCACTTGGTTGTCCTCGGCAACAGCCAGATAGCGTCCTGATGTGATGTGACGTAAACGCACTGGTTGACCCCAGCCGACATAGCCACCAGCCCATCTGCGTGAAATAAATAAAAATATGTCACGGTTGGTTCTAGATATGGGATTTATTCAAGGGGAATATGACTTCTGCAGTTTAACCTTACCATGGGATTCACAAATATTTTCACAAATATAATCACATGTATTTTGTTGCCAATGCAGG